CTTTAAAGTTTTTCCCCGCCCCCGCCCTTTTTTGCTCCTTTTGGGGAAGACTTGTTTTAAACATTTTTTTTGGCATTTTTTGGGCAGGGTTGGGTAACCCAAAAAAACTTTCGGCCTTGAAAAATGGGCAAAATTTTTTTTTCGCTCCTCTATTTTTAAAGCGGTATTGATTTTTGGGGGGGGGGGAAAAAAATCAAAAAAAGGTTTGGGGGGGAACTTTCCAAACCAAGAAGGAAGGAAATGGGGGGGGTTTCACCCCTTTAGAATGGTTTTCCCTTTTTTTTTTTTTGGGTATAAAAGCCCCCCCCCCCCCCCCCCCCCAATGAATGCTATCAGCTATATACTTCAGAAGGAGAAACTGTCGAATGGTTGAACTTTATGATCGAAAAGATCTGGAGAAGTATTGACCCCGAGTTTTTTGTGCTTGTTGAAGACCTGTTGGAAGATACTATCAAGAGTGTACAGCCGGATGTAGTAGTAAGTGGTTTAAGAAATCCAGAAAATAGAAACTCTTAACCTTATTTGTGACCAAAATTTTAGAAGTTTATGAAAGTAAAAGACCTCGATATTGGTGTACAAGCCCCTAGAATCCAATCGTAAGTACTATAAGCTTATAAATACTCCAAAAAAACTGAATTTTATAAAATACGTAGAATCCGTGTATTTCCTTCTCTACCTGGCCAGCCTGACGAAAGCATCGTAAGGCTCAGTTCATATTCGTTTTTAACACACTAACCTTTTCAATTAGTTTGGAGAAGCATCTTTTAGTTTCCATGCACACCCTTCTGCGTCTTTCTCAGGAACTCTTAATGATGCCGCCAAGCCACCTGGCATTAGCATTCAACTAAAAGCTGGCATAGACACTCCAATCACTGTCAGAGCTGAACTGATGGCCTTTTCGGGAAAAATACGCTTCAAAGTTCTTACCTCGCCAGAGATTCCATTTGTTTCAAAAGTTACAATTGCGTTTACAAGAAATCCTATAATTGAAACAGGTGTCATGCCACTGACAAAACATTTTAATATTATGCATGTAAGCTATGCTTGTCAATAGAAATAATCTCGCATAGCTAACCTTAATTATTTACTAGTTGCCGATGGTCAAGGCTTTGGTAAACCAGGGTATCAGTCTCGGGTTTGCCGAATTTGTTGATCCAAAGAGTATGACTCTGGATATCCAAGCACTGATGGGAGCAGATGCTGTTGATGTCAGAGCTATTGGCGTTGTCAAGGTTGAGATTCGAGAAGCCTCTCGCTTAGGATCACAGACTATTCAAGGTAGCAAACATTATCTATGCAGTACACAAATGGCTCCTTAACACATAAAATCGTAGACATGGAGGACTCTTATGCAACCCTATCGTTGAGCAATCAGCCGAAGAAGACTCTTTCGAGTACACGCGTCCTTACTAACGACAAAGACCCGCGATGGAATGAGACACTATATGTTCTTGTTAACGAAGGTAGTTTTGGTGGTTTACTAAAGAGGAACTGTCAATTAAATAAGCTTTTACGTAGATGATATTCTGGCAGATACCAAGGTAGATATTAAGGTGTGGGATGCCGATAAGGTCAAATATGACGACCTGTGGGGATCTGTGTCTTTGCCGGTGAAGGACATCGTCCAAGGCCAGATCGACAAGCTTGGAAATGTTTCGCATTGGTGTAAAGAAGAGCGTGTTGTCTTTGATGGGTAAGTTACTGAAACTGAGGAATAAGCAATGCCTGACCATAGTCTTTAGGTGGGCTCCGATCGATGGGAAATCGGAAGCAAAGTCCAAGATAAAGCTTAATTATAAGCTTAGCTTTCATCCTAAATATACGCTTCCAAAAGCTGATCTGCTTCACGGCGGCGCCCAGAAAGATAATGGCAAGGAGACAAAGCCCGAACATCAACAACAACAAGAACCATTGAATCCTGATCACAATAATGGTAATTACAGTCCATGCTGCTTCTATAGGGTCTTATCTAATACGACTTTGTAGGAATATTGAGTATTCAAATCCATCAAGCTGTTGACCTTGAGATTGGCGATCCAGAAATAATAGCCGCTGACGAAAACAAACATCCATACAACCCAAACCAGATAGTCAGTCCTTATGCTATTATGTACATCAACGATAATAAAGTGTTTAGAACGAGAACAAAGATGCGTAACCCAAGTCCTGTAAGTAATCTAACGTCTATATTTCATTTGATTGAACTCTTTTCTCTCCTCTTTATAATAGCATTGGAATGCAGTCTCAGAAAACTTTATCGCAGACTATAAGAACGCAACCATTAGAATTTCGGTAAAGAACTCGGTTGATTTGGAACGCGATCCAGTCATTGGAACAAAATGTATTCCCCTGTCTGACCTGTTTATTGACCAGAAAGATACTGTAAGCTTCACTCTATATAGTGTCTTTAACATATTATATTTACGTTGATATACAATAGTTTAAAGGAGTTCAAAAGTGGATTCCTCTCGATAATGGTATTGGATTTGGAAAAGTATTGCTGACAATCAAGTACAAACCAGTCAAGCTTAGTCTATCGCGTGAGCTTCAAGGAGCAAGTAAGGCTATTAAAAAAAACACTCCGTAGAATCTTAACTAATTAAGCTTACACCACAACTCGATTAGACGTTGCAACTTTGGTTGTAGATTATGTCAGTCTCACCGATCTCAAGCCACCATTTGATCCTAAATATATCAACAACACCAAGGTTGTCTTGGCTTTAAATCTCGACCCTGCCATAATCAAGAGACTCAAGCCAAAACATATGAAGCAGCAGCAGAGCTCTGATGAATTGGCAGCTCAAAATGGAATGTATGGATGGTGGCATCAGCACCTCTATTTTCCTCTTTCGATGCGATACCGTACTGCGTTATATGTTCATATTCATCAAGGTTCTCTTACAGCCACAAAGGCTTCTGGCCGCATATGGTTAAAGAATCTGGTGGATGAAGAATGGCATGATATTGTGGTCGGATTACACCCGTACTGCTCAGAAAAAAGCAAGGAGTCCAATCGAAATCAAGATGATTGGGGGATTGATGGTGAATTGGGTCAAGTAACTCTAAGAGTTAAAGTGATTCCTGGGTTCTCTCCAGTGCACACCCATCTACACTCGTATAAGAAAGATATGGTTGGTGCTGATCCATTCCATGACGACGCTATCAAAGCAAAGGCCCAACAATGGATCCAGGAGCAGAGTGCTGATAATAACGACACCACGGCTGACCCAGAACTGAAAGAAGCAGTCCAACAAGAAAGAGAGAAAAAGGAAGATACCGAAGAATTGAAATATAGTAGAAGGCGTTCTTCGAGTATGTCATCAGAGTATGGAGCTGAAGACGACTCGGATATTGGAGACGACGATTATAAGTATATGCAAGAGATGCGAAGTATGTTCAAGTCACCAAAAATCAGACGCAACAGCGTGAGCCGAAAGTTGGCTTGGTGCACAGACAAAGCAAAGAATAAAATGGACTCTATTCGCGATGGATTTAATTCAGAAGCCCGTGCAGCTAGAAATGTCACAAAGGAGGGATAATATGCTTATTACAAATCATATTCAATAAATCTGTAAATACTGTGAAAGTAGCTTGTAAAATTGAGTTGTATTGCTCCAAGAATTAAAGATGGTCATTCATTGTAGGAACCAATTGATGCCATACGTATGTTAAAAGTATAAGAAAATCTATAGTGATTATATTTAAATTGTCGTGCAATTAAACGTAGATTGGTTAATTTTATTAAAAGTGTATCAGACTCTAGCAGCCACAATTGATAATCTATCTTTTAAAGCTTTACTTGAATATATTATTCAGTATATTAAAGGAAACTTTTGCTAGCAGGCTCATCAAGATAAAATTATTAATCTTTCTACCTTTAATTTCTGTAATACTTTTTTTTTTGCTGTTTAAATAAAAGATTATCACTGGCACTTGGGCCTTGTCTTCGTTGCTTTTTTGTCTATCAAATGAGCTTTGATATTTATTTTTATGTACAAAACACTAGCGAAAATAGTGTACAAAGAAAATTCTAAACTTTTCAAAAAAAAGTTTGGTATAAGGTTACTAGAAAACCTGTGAAGCACAAACTTTTAATATACAAATATGCTGAAATAAAATGTTGTATTATTGCGTTTTATGGTGTATGTAGAAAATAGAATGTATTATACTTTGTGAAATGGGATATCCATTGTATGAAACGCCAATAAGGCTTTTTCAAAATAGATATAATAAATAAATGTGCGGTATAATTATATAATTAGGTATATCTAAGCCAAGGAATATATCAACTGTTTTAAATGCTAGTTAGTTTTCTGGCGGTTATAAACAAAATGGTTGGCACCAATTCCTTGGGATAAAACGGTATTTCGTCGCTTCATCTCTTGTTCTTTTATTTCATTCTCTTCCATTTGTTCGGATGGAAGTAGTACAGCGCGATCAATGGCCGCCGGAAGTCCTAAAGAAAAATTAGAGTATTTGTTTTAGTAAATTTGGAAATATATAGTTTAGTTGTATTTTTCCACTCTTTTACCTCTGTGTCGGCCTCGATACATAAGTACCATAATAACAAGTTTACTGAGGGTACGGTACTCGGCTGACTGAGAAGGAGTAGTCCCTGGGAAGCCAACAGAGGCACCAACGTTACCAAATGCAGAAACACACTCGTAAAGTATGGTCAAAAAGGTTATCGGCGATGGGTCCATAATTGGTCCTGATTCAATTACACACACCAAGAAGACACCAGCAATCAACCAACAAATTTCGTTTGTAAGCTGTCGCTGAATCTGTGTCATTACAAAAAAGTCGGGACTACGGATCACCTTTCGCGAGTTAGTTAACACGCTATTGATAGTTGGATGACGATCGAGTTTGATTATCTTGGAGAATGTCTCTGGCTTATACTCTTCGTTTTCCCCTTCTTGATCTTCCTGTTCATGATGAAATATACCCAGTGCACGCTCCTAAAGATTTAAATTTTTTTTTAAAAAAAGAAAGAAAGATTGAGTTGATCTACCTATTGTTTCCAAAATAAACTTGGTCGTGCAAAACATTTAAAAAAAGTCAATTCCTATCGTATATCTCTTAATTACCTGGTAAACGTTACTGTTACGCATGGATATTGCGACAGGGTAAACACTAATATACATAGCAATAATATACACCAGTTGCGTGCCCGGGTTGAGGTCGATCAAACTCACTACACTGAAACCAGCTATGAAACAAAATAAGATTTAGAAAATTGGAATAGTCGTACAGACTAGATAACATACCGCTTCGGGTTGCAATAGATTGAAAGATGCCATCTAAAACACGGGAAGCCCACGGAATTCCATTCAATACTGGAAGCCAATAATTAAGAGCAAGGAAACTTCCGATTTCAGCCACAGTAATTGCAATCAATACAAGCAATAGCCAACGCGTCTGTGTAGCTGGAAATAAAGTTGTATAACATCTTCGGGGATGTTCAAGCAAATAGTGTAATGTTTCACGAAGCATAACGTACGACGGAGGTGTACATTTTTTGAAGGACCAAATGATAAAACGAAGCATTAAAGCATAGGCCGTATTGCCTATAAGCACCAAGAATGCAGCCATAATAAGCGGAAACGGCGCGTTTTGGAACGGAACCATGCTTGCGTCTACCAGACTCAGACCAAGGTTGTTAAAGGCCGAAATAGAGAGAAAGAATGAAAACAGCCAAGGATTAACGGGCCCGTTACCGTTCGAGGTTTCAAGAACATTGCGAGCATATGCTGATGCGGCTATGTAGATTCGAAAAATGAAACCAAAGCCAATAATGAAGCCAATATAATACAGAGGCACCAAACGAGTCAACATATCAATTGCACGGTATTCAGCTCCACCGATTTTATAGCGCTGTTCACGGGTCAGCTGACTTTTGTCAATAGTTTCACTCATCAGTTTCTTAATAGCTTGATTTTCTTCATAAGCATTGTACAGTATATGCGCCGTATCAGGAACATGGGGTTCGGAGGTTACAAGAGACTTTAGGCGTTCGCCAACAAACTTTTCGTCGATTTCATTTTGTCTGTTATATTTTTTACGGGCGTCAACACGTTTTTTGTTCAAGTTGTTATCAAAATTGATTGCAGTTCGTGGAGGTGGAGTAGATGTGTCCCTGGGATCGACATTGTCAGGCTGAGAGGTACTCGGAATATTTTCCGGATTTCGTGATTCCGGAATGTCAACTGAATTTATTTCAGTTGGAGATGATGTCAATACTGGCTCTCCATTCTGATCATTAGACTGATCCAAATTGTTATTAGGTGTGGTATTTATATTTAAAGATCGAGGTTTCATTATTGCCATTGCACTGTCGGAAGTTCCCCGGCTATTTCTTGTCCGATTGCTATCTTCATCGTTTGGAGTGTTGAGAGTTTCTGGAGCAAGAGACATACGGCGTTTTTTGTGGGCATCCAAGTATTTGTCTCGAGTCTTTTTGAATTTATCAAGTTGATCTTGAACCTTCTTTGAGGGTGGACTACTGACGTTAAAATCAACTGAGCAGCTCCTGTGTCTTCCGAGCTTAGCTTGCTCGTTAGCAGCCTTTTCGTTCTCCAATTCTGTTATGTTAGGGGTGAAGATGGACATTCGACGCTTCAAACCTGGCATGGCAGTCATAGCTCTTTCACGGTATTCTTTCTTTACACCACGTTCGAGATCAAGAATTGAACGTTCGAATCTTCTCTTATTTCGTTCTTCGCGTTGACGTTGACGATTGAACTTGATCATATCATCGAAACGGATTGAAAAGAAGTGTTTTCGAATATAAAGAATTATAAGCGAAATGGTTACATGAGAGCCTAGAAACGACGTAAAGTAGAGTACGAGAACTTGGTACGTGCTCATATCTGACATGCGTATAACGTTGAGGCCGGTGTTTGTTGCACCAGAGGTTGCGGTAAACAACGCATCAACATAACTCCATTTGTTGTCGGGCTGGAAGTAATAGAATGCAGATGTGATGAATATGAGAAGGGTGAAATATATATAATGTAATTCAAGGAAGCGTATTTTCTCAACCCAAAGCCACTTTAGAAAGTGTTTTATGGATTTCCAAAACTTCCACATAAAAAAAAGAAAGAGCGATGTGAATTGGATTGAAATGTCTGCGCTGTTTCTTATATCCTTTCAAATGAAAGTCAAGGACGGACAATACATACTTAAGGGTGGGACATTCGGACCATAAGTTCTCCCAACCACTAACGGAAAAAGAGCGATAAACAAGGGCGCCGATTTGATTCACCAATGTCGAGTGGTTGTATGATATACCTAGAAGACGGTCTTCGTCTTTAAGATTATTAATGTTTGGTATCCCAGAAGATTTTTCATGGTACAAACCCCTTGAAAGTTTGTTGGATATTTGTTTTTTTTAAAACAATCTAAAAAAAATAAATTTAAAAGCTATGATAAAAAAAAGTGTAAGAATCAGTCAAATAGAATATTGCTATCTTCTATAATGTATCAAAATTGCTTGGCAAAGATACTGCTGCAAAGAACTAGTTTTGATCTCTTATACAGATATGGATATTTTGGGTCGCCTGGTGTAGTTTTGACTATATGGGATTGTCGTGTAGCATTAGATTGTACGATGTGGCGTGATACTGATGACATTTGCTTATTTGTTTTATATATATATATATATATATATATTTGTATTATTTGCTATTCGCTTGTTACTTTTTTTTTCTTTGTAAAAGACAATGTTACTTTTCTTTTTTCATATCTTTAAAGTGTATCGGAATTTGCTGTCACGTGATGAATAGGCATTGGTACATAAAATAGCATATCTCAAGTCTTATACAGCCAACAATAATAAGAAAGATAACTCACAGTGTAATTGTGTGCCTATCAGAATATAGCAGTATAAAATTGCTACCTATATCTTGTGAGGAGGGGTAGTTAAGCTCCTAACTCGCCTTTATTTTTCATTTATTTATTATGTTTTAATTTCTTGCTAAAGAGTACTCTCGGCCAAACAAGCCGCCTGTGTTACTATACATCCTCTTTTGACAGATGTCTCTCAACGGTGTTCAAATAGAACTTGTCGTCGCGAAACACTCGTTCTTTTTATGTTGAGGCATTTTACCCATATATATTTCAATCTTTCAATTTTCACAGCCTTTTCCTTTAATGTATTTTAACTGGAGCAATAAGCTTTATCTTCTAAATTTCTCATGGTTCCAAATTTTACATCTCTTGTTATTGTGCTTTTAACTGTAGACGAAAGGCTGTGAAAGCTATTCTAAATTAAAAGATAATAATATTTTTCATAAACTTTCCTTTTTTTTTATGAATTTCATCTTAAATTTAGCTCAAGATTTACTTGAGATAGACACAGAGATTTTTAATTATACAAGTTTTTTTTTTCTCTTGCAAAATATAGGCCCAAGGCACACTTTCCTTGGACTCCATCTAAGTATACGCTCATACACACAAAATAAAAAGACGCTAAAGATAAGTCTTCTTCTATTACCAGTAAGTGTATAGGTTTATACCCAATAAAAACCAAGCTTAGTGCTTTATATAATACAGATCGATATTTGAATATTTTGATCCATGGGTTAGGGTTACAGACTCCTTTTAATTTTAATTTTTTTTTTCGTTCAGAATATTCATTCTGTTAGTCTGAGCAAATAGACTTCTTTTTTTGTTAAAAAAAAAATTGAGATTTACAAATGCTGGTTAAATTTTATTACATCTTTCATTTTATGCGATTTACAAACGGTTACTTTCCAATATTTTGTTTCCTGTTTATTAATCCTTGCTCTTCTTCTCCTTCTTCTCCTTCTTTTCCTTCTTCTCCTTCTTCTCCTTCTTGGCCTTCTTGGGCTCAGAAGAATCCTCATCCTCAGCAACACGCTTCAAGGACTTCGTGGAGTCCTTGTTTGCGACCTGAACAGCAGTAATCTTGGGTGCAATACCGGCGGCAGCGACGGCAGCCTCGGAAGGCTTGCCGAAAGCAGGAGCAAGGTCCTTGCCATCGGGGTTATTGGTGTAGTCAACGTAGGCAGTCTTCCAGACTTCGGGGGTTTCGTCAGTGACACGACCGAACTTGTCGAGCTTACCATCAGACTTGAGCTTCTTCTTGGCCAAGGCAACGGGGCCAAGTCCCCAGCGGCGGGGGTATGTGTCGCGCTCCATAATGACACGCTTGACCTTTGCAACAACACCGTGGTCACAAGTAGCCATAACAGCAGTGGTCATTTGTGCGTAGGCAAGAGCAATAGCTTCACCCTTGGTGGTCATAAGGACGATCTCCTCGTTGACCTCAATACCGCTCTCGTAACGCAAGAGACCGGGAATCATCAGCTTGGCACCGTAGCAGACAGCGTTTACGGCACTGTCCTTAACAACGACACGCTTGTAACCAGTCAAGAGAGTCTCGAGAGGACGGACAACGCGACGGAGGTAAGACTCGTCCTTATTGTTGTCAAACAACCACTGAGCATCCATGACATCGTGCATTGTGACGATCTCATCCTGTAAAAAAGAATATCCCAGTTAATATTCCGCTCTATATTTTTTTAAAAAAATTATATGATCAACTTACGTTCTCAGACATGGCACCAGAGCGCACACGACGGAGCTCCTGCATGTGGCCACCAACGCCCAACAAGAGACCCAAATGTACACAGAGAGTACGCATATAAGTACCAGCTTCACAGCTGGCCCAGAATACAGCCAAGTGACGGTCGTTATCGAATTCGAGGAGCTTGCTCTCGTGAACGGTACGGACACGCAACTGACGCTTGACAGCAGAGATAAGAGGAGGGCGTTGGAAGAGAGCACCAGTAAGGGTCTCAATAGCCTAAAAAAATCAAACACAAAACCCCATAAAATTAATAAACACATCCAAATCGTAAAAATTATATTAAATAACTCTAACTCTCAATTCTTGATGGTTTACCTGTGACAACTTCTTTTCGCTCTCAAGAGCCTCGTGAAGACGGAGAACGCACACATACTCCTTACCAGCACCTTGCTGGGACTTAACAAGGCGGGTAGCACGATCAACACAGACAATCAAGCAGCCGGTAACCTTGGGGTCCAAAGTTCCACTGTGGCCAGTCTTCTCCACACGGAGGATACGACGAACCCAGGCAACAACTTCGTGAGAGGAAGGGTTGGCAGGCTAATTGATATTATTGAGTAAGCTTATTATACTCAAACGACACGATTATAATTTATTATCATTTTCTTAAAAAAAGAAAGAAAGAAAGCCTACCTTGTCAAGGTTGATGACACCATAACGAACGTAATCGTTAAGAGGGCGTTTCAAAGGAGAACAACCATTGGGGATGGGTGTGTAATGACCAGTACGGACATTGAGCTGATCGTAGTTCTATTGAGGCGATCCACCTGTCAGACCTGTTTTTCTGTTTTGTTTCTTTGTTTAATTTTACCTTCAAAAGAAGAGGCCACTTTGAGGTGTCAATGGCAGGTGTCACGGCTGTTGGCTTGATCACTGTTTCGTCAGCCATGTCGCAATTGTCTGGAAAATACAAAAGTTTGACAGACGGGCAACTTGGTCCCTTTTCAGCCTGTGAAGGAATTTTTCGGTGGCCCAAGCCACAATGACTGCTTTCAGGCTCCTCTTCGAGCACTCCAGAATGAGCGGTGACTGGCAAGCAAGTGTCATTAGCCAATCATTTTGATAATATAATGAAGCCTACACTATAAAGAGTGACGGGATAATTAATGCATTATCATACTCTATAAATGTCTCTCCCGTAACATAAGAAGAATTATTATGGGAAAATAGACAGTAAGTCTAAAATACTAAGAATCATCATTGCCATGCCAGCGCACTCGTTTTTTGGATCTTCCAATTATATCCTGGGTACTGTTACACAACCACAGTCACCTCTTAAGAGAAGAGTTGTAGCAATGAAGCATGAAAAAGGATTCAAAAGATTGTGATTGGATGGATTAAAGCGTTCGAATGACGTCGGATACCCTGTTGTGAGACGGAAACCTTACGGACAGCCTGACAGGACAGCCTGGACAGTCTAAACGTATGCAACGTCACTCATAATTAATATTTCGTGGTTACACGCATTTTTTTGGGTTGGGGGCCAGACTTTGCAGCAATCTTACGGGGACGACGTTTCTTGGTGGGATACGATATTTCTATCTACCCGGACTAATCAATTCTGACTACATGTCCGGGACCCAGTGTCTTTCTCTAATCCTTCGGGGCAAAATGGCGTGTCCTGAAAAAACACAGTAGGGGGTTTCATTATCTCTTTGGATAGATATTCAGATAGGATTCTTACATCGGGCTTTAAACCTGTAGCCAATGAAAGTGAGTATAAAATGTCAATTATTGAGTCCCCCTTTTTAATTAATCGTCTTATTCTTGTACCTGATATTTTATTAGAAGCAATTAAGTCATTTTCTATCGCTTATATTGGGAGTTTTTTATAAGAGCTGGTATATAAGATAGAAATATGTAAAACAGGCAAATAAGTTCATAAAGTTTTGCTTTAAGTATTCCAAGACGTCAAAATGAGCAATCCTCAGTTTCAATCCGAAAGCTTTTTCCTTTGGATTAAATCTACACATTTTAATTCTATTCAAATTCTTCTCAGCCAATAATTTAATTAATTAAATCCCCGCTGCCCGAATCCTAATCTGAATTTCTATCCGAAGATATAATGAAACCCCCTAATATATTCATTGTATGTATTAACATTACTACTTTGTCCCTACACTTTGTGTTTATTAATCTCTCCTCAGGCACCTAAATCCCATTATTTTAAGAGACACAGCCTGTATTTTGGCAGCTTAATAGTAAAATACTGTCTCATACGAAAAACAAATCCTATATATTCAATTAGTAGTCCTGAATTTAGACTTGAGAATAAAGAAATAATAATAATTCATCACAAATACACTACATCAATAGTAAGTTATGCATGAAATTACAAGGAGCTGCTGCCATTAAAGTGTGGCACAATCTTGTTAAATATTTTACTATTCATTGGGCTTCTTACGCGTATCATGATTTTCTCTTTCTTTCACCACCGTATATTCCCAGAGTCTGGCAGTACCAACTGGTAGGTAATCCCCATCTACTTATTGTTTTTTTTTGCAAAGCACAAAAGAAAATATTTATGAATATTTTGTATCTTTAGGAACCAGATAGAGTTATTTCATGCCAGCAAAAAGGTCACTATTTGTGGTCCGGTAGAATCAAAATGTCGCCACCCACCATGAAATGTCGTCTCCCTAAAATTAATGCCCAGGCTGTCCCGCCAGGCTGTCCCGCCAGGCTGTCCGTAAGGTTCCCCTTGTGAGGCGGACATTCAACGCACGTTTTCCCCTCGCTCGCAAGCTAGAATATTTTTCAGGAGCGCCCATCCCTAGAGACTTTCTATCGGTGTACAATAACATAAAATACATACTTTAACAACACAATGAGTGAAGACCACAACTGGAAGTTTGCCCAATGCTTTGGCGACAAGGGAGACTCAGACGACATTACAGAAGGTAATAAATGCCATAGATTTTAAGAGTGACATACAACTTAGTAGGATAGACTTGCATCATCTTTTTCTACTATGTCGTCATTGTCAGGAAAATCAGATGTAGAAATAAGATAAAATTATACAGGAGATGCATATTATGATGGTCTAACTGTTTGGTTTTTATAGCTGATATTATTACTACGGTCGAATTTGATCCAACCGGAGACTATTTAGCCACCGGTGACAAAGGAGGAAGAGTTGTATTGTTTGAACGCAATGAAAGTGTAAGTTATTATTGTTATTGTTATTATTTATTGCTGTTTTGTTTATGTATCATTTAATCTGAAGATTTATGATTCCTTTGGTATTTAGAAAAAGGGGTGCGAATATAAATTCCATACTGAGTTTCAGTCGCATGAAGCCGAATTTGATTATCTTAAGAGTTTAGAGATTGAAGAGAAAATCAACAAGATCAAATGGTGCAAGAGACAAAACTCGGCACATTTCTTACTGTCAACCAATGGTAATACAACAAGAAAAGATTGTATATATCTTGATCTTGAGAGTTAATGGTAGCTGATCCATGACCATTGGGTTTGCAGACAAAACAATCAAGCTTTGGAAGGTTTTTGAGAAATCTCTTCGGGTTGTATCTGAGAGTCCAGTAGCACCTGACGCTCCTCAGCCCGCTTTGAGAGTTCCTAAGCTTACACATCGGGATACTATTGTGGCTGCTGTGCCACGTAAAGTCTATGCAAATGGTAAGATATGGTAAACGAAAGAGAGAGAGAGAAACATATACTGATATAAAGAGCTAACTTTTTATGTATGCTTTTATAGCCCATGCGTACCATATTAACTCTATATCAACAAATTCGGACGGCGAGACTTATTTGTCAGCAGACGACCTGAGGATTAACTTATGGAATATGGATATTTCTGATCAGAGTTTCAGTAAGAAATAAGGAAATGTGTTTTAAAATCGAATTAATTAATAGATATGTATTTGAATAGATATTGTGGACATTAAACCTGCTAATATGGAGGAGCTCACTGAGGTCATTACTGCAGCAGAATTTCATCCTTTGCAATGCAATGTTTTTATGTACAGCTCTAGTAAAGGTTCTATTAAGCTGAGTGATATGCGTCAATCTGCATTGTGTGATCAACACGCTAAAGGTAAAACTAAAGCGAATAACATGTGCGGCAAATTTGAGACAGCTATTTGACACTCGAGTAGTATTTGAAGAAGCAGAGGATCCTGCCAACAGATCTTTCTTTTCCGAGATTATTTCATCTGTATCAGATGTTAAGTTTAGTCAGGATGGTCGATATATTCTTTCAAGAGATTACCTTACTCTAAAGATTTGGGATATCAACATGGATAACCGACCTGTCCAAACTATCCAGATTCACGATCAACTGAGAAACAAGTTGTGTGATCTGTATGAGAACGACTGTATTTTTGATAAGTTCGAATGTAACTTTAGTGCGGATGGGCAGTAAGTATATGATTTTCGAAATGTATAGTATAGGATCATTTATTTCTGCGGGTGACTTTTTTTCTATATAGATCTGTTCTCACAGGATCTTACAGCAACACATTCCATATCTATGACCGCGAGGGCAAGACTGATATTGCTCTTGAGGCAGATAAAAATGCGTTCAAGGCTAAACGCCTTGGATCAGCCAAGAACAAGCTTTCCATGGCACGAGGTGGTGCCAAGAACGGGATGTTGAATGACTCGATGGACTTTAGTAAAAAGATCCTTCACGCGTCGTGGCATCCTCATGAAAACTCCATTGCTGTGGCAGCTACAAACAACCTTTTTATCTTTACGTAAGTATTTTGTTTTATTGAACACAGACCCACCTTATTGATAAACGTATTGCTTTGTTTTTAGTGAGTAATGAAAGGTTTGGGTTTAAGCGACAAAAGAAGAAAAAAAAAAGACAGAACGTCGATCGCTCGTCCATGTTGTCTTCCTCTCTTTCCCCTCTTCCCTTTTTCAATGTTAGTTTCTCATCATGTATTTCCTGTTTGCCACCACTGCGTTTTTTTTTGTTTGTTTTTATGGAGTGGAGCTCTGGTTTATTGGTGGGACTCTTGTCCAAAAGGCTTAAGAGGCGCCACAACTTGTTTTTGTTTCATTTATTATTTAATTTTTTTGGGGATTTTGTGTTTTTTGTTATAAATGAGTGTAAGGAGAATAGCAAAAAAAAAGAGAAAGAAACGCGATGAATTTAGACAGGGAAATGGCATTGATCAAGATGTTCTTCATATTGTAAGCGGGAAAGCAGGGTGTTGACGGTGGTAGTGGCATTGATGGCAACGAAATGCGATTGATCGAATATGAAAACCCAGTGATCTCGCCACAAGGCTAAAAGAACAGAGTCAAGGATTGAGACAGGATGAAAAGTGGGATTAAGGGGAGGAAAGAAGGCAAACGTGTACAGTGCATTGTGAATGTCGGAGGTTTGGGAGGAGAAGCTAAAGTGCGTGAGCCAGAATGTATGCCAGAGAGGAAGCTTTAGTGAGCATGCGAAGAGAAAATGGTCTTGAGAGTCAATTTCCGTTCCAGACAGCGAACAAGTGGGGGATGGAAATGAGGTTGGAATACGGTGATGTAGCACTGATCGATATGAGATCTTGTTGTGAAGCAGCCGGAACCAAATGTTATGATACATACGGAAGAACGAATAACCACAATTGGCACCATGTTATGGCTCTTATGTTTTGTGGTACACCCTCGAGAGAAGAGGTGGTCACTTCACAGGAGGAACGGAATTGGCGTGTAGACAAGCATTTCCAACGAAAGTTGGGGATAGGGCTGGCAGGAGTGTGGAAGGATCAACCTCGGTTCCCGTGTGAGCCATCCAGTCGGGGAATTGCTCAATCAAAATACTTTGAGGCAGGCAAGCGCGAATGATGAAGGCGCGGAGGAAGAGAGAATGATCATCTGTAGGCTGAAGGGCTTTGTGAAGGATGCGTGGTGAACGAGGAAAGGAAGAAGGTAAGCGGCGAGAAATGATATTCAAAGTTGTGTCGATATCGTAGGCATCCCGGATCCGGAGGTGACAACAAGCTGGAAAAGCGGGGAGACCGTGTGGAACCATAACTACAGAAGCTAGAAGAATTTTCAGGCAATTCGTTAGATTCATCACGGTAGAGTAGAAATCGTGAGGCAAGAGATCGCAGGCAACAAAAAGGTTAAAGAAAGGACTAGTATATGATCGAAATCGAGGATGCCTGATGTTAGAAGAAATGAAAGGAAGATGGAGATGGACATCAGGCAGATAATGCCGAAGAAGATATAGTAGTCAAGGTATTACCAGGCTAGAAGGAGACGAAGTAGATTGGAGCAGAGATTGAAGCCAACGGAGTTGAAAGGCACCTTGTTGCAATTTTAAATTCAAAACCCATAAACCGCCTGTTTTAATGGGGAGACATAGGGTGCCAAATCTAATCGGTGGGAGGCTTCGATGTTGAAGAAAACGGCACGTGAGAGATCGATCTTTGGTAAAGAAGGTGCCAAGAACAGATACAACACGAAGAACGTACCAGAGCTTTGAAAATATAAGAGAGTTTAGGAAAGTAGCACGGCCACGGAAGGACAAGGCGCAGGAGAGGTGGATCTGTGAAGCTCACTCTATCTTAGACAGGATTTGTGAGCAGAAGGAGTTGCGTTGGGTGAGGGAGGAGATGATCGGAGAGCCAAGGTAGCGAAGAGGTCCGGGAGAGCGACTATCATGCCAGTCGACAGCCTGCAAGCTGTGAAGTGTGTCCATCCAGTGGGTATGGGGTCTGCTTGACAAGGAGAAAGCTTGGGTCATGTCAAGGTTGGTGAGTGCGTTGGAAGCAGAGGCATAGGTGGCGAGATGGTGCTGCAATTTGGACATGTCCTGGATCTGCTAGAGGAAAACCAGAAGGTCGTCGGCATAAGCGAGTAGCTTTATAAGTGGAGGTGCGGGTTGGTCAGAAGTACTTTGGATCTCAAATCTAGGAAACTGAGAGTTGTGTATGAGTTGGTGCAAAAGTGGTTCAAAGGCCAGGTTAAACAGAACAGGGAACATGGGGTCACCCTGTCTGAGTCCATGCGCTTGACAATAAGGACGAGAAAGAAAACCGTTTACATTAATCTTAAGGCCAGAAGAGAAAAAAAGATTAGTGATGCAGGTTATAATAGAAGAGGTGAAACCGAATTCAGCGAGAACTTAGTTGGGATATTCCGGATGAACCTAATCATATGCTTTTTCTTGATCCAGGAGGAACCCAATTCCAGAATGGCCAGTGGAATTGGAATGATCCATAACTAGCTTCGTAATAATACTATTATCAGCAATAAATTGACTATGGAGAAATTTTGTTTGGTATGGTGATACTAAGGAACCAGCAGCCTTGACCATGCCTGCGTTGAGAAGGCTAGTAAGAACCTTGGCGTCGGAATTTATCAGGGCAATTGGGTGCCAATTCTTCAAGGAGGAAAGATCGCCTTTCTTGGGAAGCAAAGAAACGCATGTGGTTTGTCAAGACAACGAAAATTGGTCACTCTTGAAAGTCTCGTTGTACATTTGGGACAGCAAGGTCGAACAGGAAGGTTGATAAAAAACAAGTTGAATAATCTCATAGGGGGGGGGGGGGGGGGGGATGGTCAAGAAGATCGTTTATGGCCGTCTGATCTATTTGTTCCGGTGTGTATAGAGTTTCATAGAATGCAGTAGCCGCTTCTGTGATGCTATCGGGATCCGAGTGCAGGTGGCCTGTGTGATGGTGGGGTAGATGGGTTATGGTCTTTCGGGACTGTCGTTCTGCAACTGTACGTTTGAGGTAACCGGCTGAGATCTCTCCAATGTTTGCCTGCACGAAGAGCAAGAATTTCCACTCTCTCCAGCTGGACTTGTTGCAACTGTCTTTCAATAATGGGCAATTGGAAGTTTTGGGCGGATTGTTGTCTGAACTTGTAAATCAACTTGTTACGTTTACTTTGAAGTCTGGCCTCCAGTGTAGTGAGTGTTTGTATGCAGCACCTAGTAAAGAACTTGATGAATTTTGTAAGCATGTGTTTTAATCTATCCTATTAGTCTTGTGGGGATATATATAGAGGAAGTAGAAATATAGACATCAAATTCTGTACAGAAAGTGAAATTGCAGGCAAGTTGAGAGTTGGCGTGTCACATTCCCTTTCCTGTTTCATGATTGACAGTGAACTTAAAAGTAGCAGCTACTAGACAATGATCAGACCAATTCGGATATATATAGGACACAAAAGAGTACTCGCAGCACGGAGCACGGATGGAAGATACAAATACATAGTCTATGGATTAGGAGCAAAGTTGTCGGTGAAAGGTTGGGGAGGGGCCTTCACCACTCAGTGTTAAACAATCCATGAAATGGTTAGATATAAAGTTAAGCCATTCGGGAGGGGTCTGGAGAGGGTTAGCAGAAGTAGTGCGATAGGTATAATTAAAGTCGGCCGAAAATATGCATGAGGATGGGAGACGAGGGAGTAGTGCCGGAGAGTCGAGAAGAGAGCGAAGGAAAGAAAAGCTGTTCCGGTAGGAAGCTGGAGCATAAACACCTCATGCACGGAAAGAGGTAATTGAATTATTTGTATGTATGACTGTAGTAGAAATGCAACGGCCACAAGGGCTGAATAGGGGGTTAATTAAAGATAAATGCGGAGAAAGAGAAACAAGATCGCAGTGCGGAGAAAACAAGGAATCTTGGGCATGGAATTGTGTATGAAACATCTGTTGGAGAGGTTCAGTATTGGCATGGGTTTCTTGAAGGGCAATTAAATCAATCCCGCACGATCGAATGTATCTTAAAAATAGAGAACGCGTTTGTGGGTAGTTTCTTCAATACCCTTCATAGGGTCGTCTTCGCAATTTTGTTCAAAATATGTCTCCACCTATGCCAAGTCATCGTTGGTGAGTGTGAGATTATCAGCAGGAAATGTTTCCCTATCTTCTAAATTCGCCTCAAACGTGATGGGAAGTGTTAGCGGTGTCTTTGCGCGTGTACACTACAAAAATTATCTGATTTGACTTTGAGAAACTTCGGTTGAATCAAAGGGACAAATTGATAATATTTCAACTCCTCGGGGTTTTTAACTTTTGATGGATATAACTCCATTAAGCTAATTATATTGGATATAACAAAGGCTATGACTCTGGGCATTTACTTTGACCAGTGCTTTGCACTGTCGCCAATCAATAAAAAAAAAGACATTTACTTTGATATTAGAGAGGTATATATCTTTGCTTAAATAAACCACTTTTTTTGAAACGCTGTTCGTATTCCACTATTATCTGGAATCTACATATTTGAAGCCAAGCTATTTTTCTTTGTTTTTTCTTTTGCACTTTTTGACACAAATTTATAATAACATTTTCCATTTTTTTGCTTCTTTCTTTTACTTCTTTACTCACTGCTTTTGTCTTCAAGCAGGTTGCAAAGTTATATATCTCCTTTTTGCTAAAGTATATGACTAGCAATATGACAATAAACATATGTTTAATAATAATTCTGATAATATAGCTACCATTATATCCTTTTGATGCCACCCGTAATGATATTTACAATTCATATTGTTGTCTGTTTTTATAAAATATATGTATTCTAGCTTTGCTTTTATATCTGACCTTTTTTTGTACTATATTCAATTAGGACCAAGTATTATTTTGTCAGAGCAACAATATCGGGTAAGTCTTTTACAAAAAAAATCCTGTATACACTCATTATATACAATACTAAATGTGATATCTTGTGATAGCAATTAGCATATCAAGAGCTTTAATGTCATAGTGTTTGCAAGCTGTCATTTCTTAGTCCATGGCAATTATATCAAATCCGTAAGTATTGAATTTCATATACTTTACTGTCAATGATATTCTCTAATATACAAATCTTTATTTTCTGATGTTATTTAGTCGACTATCTTTTCAAGTAAGTATCAGAATAAGTGTTCAAAACAATAGCAGGTCAACAGTATATGGTAGGAAGTATTGTTGTATTCAACAGTTTTACGAAATGAATGCACTAAGAAAAACTAGAATGCTCGTCAAGAAAATATTATTTTTCAACTATGAAAATAAACAAAACAAAAAAATTCACTCAAAATAATACAAAAACGCTTCTTCAAAATGCATGCTTTTCCACGAATTTGAGTTATAAAACTATAAATCAATATACAATGAAAAAAGGGGAAGTATTCCTGCTAAAGAAGTATTTTTATTGGCTTTAAAATGAGTGCTTTCCGATAGATTTTATATGATGAAATATACTTTCCCACAAATTCGTATTATATAACTTGGAAAAAAATATACAGGAAATATAAGGAAAAAATAGATACAAAAGCAGTATCCATATCTACTTCTTTTAGACTAAATAATGACCTAAAATGGAATACAATGACTGTATGTATCAAGAGCGTGAAGTATACACTCACTGCTTCTATTCGAATGCAATTGACAGATTAAGAAAGGCTATTATCACTCAGCGAAACAACACTTACTTCAGGACCTCAAACTTCTATCTACCTGATATAAGTATACTAAATATCTCACGGGTAATATTCATAAAACCACGCAGAAATTTCTGCTTTAAACTCAATATTCGCCTTCTTTCTACTCGATGAAACTATATAATTTTTGTAGTATTATGGGCAGAAGGTCGAAAACCGAAGAAGGACTGGTCACCTATAACTCGTCGCAACAAAGGTTTAAAGACCAAATTGAACAAGAAGGGAGAGAGAGGGTAGCCTTGGCGGAGACCACGCAATTGTGTGAGATGACGAGAGAAGAAGCCATTAACGTTGATCTGAATTTGTATAGAGAAAACCAATTTTGTGATACAAGTTATTATAGACGAAGGAAAGCGAAAACGATTAAGAGCTCGGCGCAAGTAGTCCAGGTGGACTCGGCCATACGCCTTCTCCTGATTAAGAAGAAGACCCAGACCAGTCGAGCTTTCCTGGGGAGCCTGAGCCATGACCATCCGGGTGAGCATCCCATTATCAGCAATAAATCGTCCTTGAACAAAGCCAGTTTGGTAGGGAGTAAGAAGAAGAGTAACAGCAGGGATCAAACAAGAGTTAAGAAGACGAATGAAGACCTTAGCGTCTGTGTTAATAAGTGCGATGGGTCACCAATTCCGAAGAGAAGTAAAGTCGCCTTTCTTCGGGAGAAGATACACGCAGGTAGACATCCAAGTAGAGAGAAAGACACCATCCAACAAAGCTTCGTTATACACACGCGGAACAAGAATGGAGCATTCGGGGTGGTCAAGTATGAGTCGCAGAATCTCATGTGGCAACTCATCAGGACAAGGGCTACTGAAATTGGGGGATTGAGAAGCACCTTGGCGAATAGTATCTAGAGAAAACTTGCGAGTGAGACAATTTTGGGTGAGATCAGTGAGGGCAAGATTGTCCGGAAGATTTTAAAGAACGTCAACAGCAGCAGAAGTGATGGGCTCAAGATAGTACAGATTCTCATAGAAGAAGGCAGCAGTCCTTGTCATGCTGTCAGGATCGGTGAAAAGATAGTCAGTAATAGGATGGCGTAGGCTGGTGATGAGCTTTTTTGACTGGCGTGTAGTATCGGTGCGTTTAAGGAAACCGGCAGAGGTTTCACCTTGTTCGCGCCAATGTCGACCATCCAAGAGAGCAAGAATTACCACACGTTCCAGTTGGACCTGTTGGAGCTTGCGTTCAATAACGGGGAGTTGAAAATTTTTGGCGAGTTGATATCAAAACTGAAGAATCAACTTATAACGCCGACTTTGAAGTCGTGCTTCTATAGTGGATGGAGAAGGCGAGGTTCGGCGAGAGAAACGTTTAATGAATCGAGCCACTTCGAACTTGACCAAATCCCAACTTGCCTATGGGGAATGAGAAGCTAGGAGAGTGGGGACGAGGGTGTAAAGAAATACAGAAAGTTCGTTCTGAAAGGAAGTGAGCTGAGCAAGGCGAGGGTTGGCTCGCCAAAGGCCTTTGCCACTGATCCGAGAAGAAGGAAGGGGGAATGCGACTGTGATCAGACAATGGTCAGACCACTGCGAGTGTATATATGCCACCGAGTGTGAGGAGGCACAAGAAGCAAGATCGGAGGAAGCGAATATGTAGTTAATTGTGGAGGATGATGTCCCGCCGTGAAAGGTAGGTTAAGGTACCTTGCCGGTGGAAGTGACATAGTCCACAAGATGGTCGTTGAGAAATTGAGGTCATGGACGAGGTGGAGTGGTATGGGGTGTTGAAGTAGTGAGTGAGTGATTGAGATCGCTCAATAAAACCATATTGGTGGGTGACACGGGTAGCAAAAGATGATTACGAAGAGAGGTAAGGGACGAATGTCGTTCGCGATGAGTAGCGGGAGCATAAATAACACAAGCACGGAAAGAGGTGAACATAGACTGTGAGTAAGACACAGTAGCAGTGATGCAGCGGCCGCATAAACTAAACAGCGGGTCAGTAATTATAATACCTTTTGAAAGGCATAAAAGCTCACAATGAGGTGACCAAAGAGAAGAAGATTGAAATTACATGGTAAATGTGTCTTGAAGAGAAATAGAGTGAATATAAGTTTCTTGAAGAACGAGAACGTCAATTCCCTTTGAACGTAAGTGGCGTATGAATAATGAGCGTGTTTCGGGTCGTTCAAGGAGGACACTGCCAGTGCCATCGAAAAAGGTATAACTCTCACGGACCACAATTTTGCGCACAGTTCCGAAAGGGGCAAGGCACCGTTGGAGTCCAGCTACTAAATCAGGATAACAAACACCAAGGTCTCGAGACAATGTTACCCGATATACATTGCGACTAAGAGCAACGCCAATACAGACTGGGAGGAGTTAATCAGAGACAGAAATAGGGTGTGCGCACGCAATGGCACAGGAAGCAGCGTCGTGGAATTGGACCTTGAGAGAAGTAGGAGCAGAACGACTAAGAAGAGTAACTTTTACGATAGTCTGCAAAAGCAGAGCTTTTCAGGGCATGCCATAAGGCGTTGTGGAGAGGAGAAGTAGGAAGAGGAGCATTATAGAAACCAGAGTGGGGTGCGTTACCAGAACATCAGATGCGTGGTAAGCCATCAATCGAGTCGCCATATATAATACGAGGCTGGTGAAGAAGAAGAGCAGTGTGTGCGAACGTAGCGGCGCCCAAGTATGTGCGTTGTGAGGTGGTGGGCCTGGATGTGGTGGTAGAGTGAGGTGAGGGTGAGCCGAGGGTTGAGGGGGGGTTCCCAAGTGGATCCGGTGGAGTGGGAAGAACCATGTAGAGAGAAAGAGAGAAAGAAAGAGAAATATTTTCGTCTTTTGTCATGCCAAACGCGCTCTAATGTGTAGTAACACGTTGTTGCTGTCCAATCGGAGGACTGCACATGGAGACGGGGAATCATCGCCTCTTTAATAACCGTCCTTGGCCTTTCCTGCTTCCCTCTCATCACTCATCCCAAACATACAACTGCGATGTCTATGCTGGATGTCAGCAGTCAAAAGACACTGCTAAAAACGGCCATCCTCGGCTTGATTGCCGGGGCTGCTTTTTCATCTCGTTTATTTAGCATCGTGCGTTATGAATCAGTCATTCACGAATTCGACCCATGGTAAACCCCTTTTCACATGCGTTATCGTTCCAGGAAGCTCATGACAATAACATAGGTTCAATTATCGTGCCACTCAGATGCTCGTTAAAGACGGCTTCTACGAGTTCTGGAACTGGTTCGATGACCGTTCATGGTATCCTCTTGGACGCGTCGTGGGAGGCACAGTCTACCCTGGTCTCATGGTTACAGCCGCCGTGATCCACAACATCCTTCATTTCTTCAACTTTCCCGTCGACATTAGAAACGTGTGTGTACTTTTGGCTCCTGTATTTTCAGGAGCAACTGCTTATGCTACCTACCTCTTGACCACTGAATTGAAAGACTCGTCCGCTGGTCTGCTCGCAGCCGCTTTTATTGGTATCGCTCCTGGTTACATCTCGCGCTCTGTCGCGGGCTCATATGATAACGAAGCAATTGCTATCTTCCTATTGATGTTCACATTCTTCCTATGGATTAAGGCTCTTAAGACAGGTTCAGCTTTATGGGCCTCGCTTTCAGCATTCTTTTATTTTTATATGGTTGCAGCATGGGGTGGATACGTATTTATCATAAACATGATCCCCCTCCACGTATTTGTTTTAATGTTGATGGGGCGATTCTCTAGCCGGGTTTATGTATCTTACTCGACATTCTATGTTCTCGGTACTCTCATGTCGATGCAAATTCCCTTTGTCGGTTTCCAGCCTACTCGTACTTCTGAGCATATGGCTGCCCTGGGTAGGAATTCCCTTTTTGTTTTAGTATTTTCGAATATTAATATTCAATGCAATTACTTTATCACTAGGTGTTTTTGGATTGTGTCAAATTATGGGATTCGTTGATTTACTGCGCGGTCATTTGCCTGCAAAGCAATTCCAGGTTCTTCTCAAGGCATTTGTCTTGGGCTCGTTTGTAATTGGTTTCAGTGCTCTGGTATTATTGACGATGAGTGGGTTTATTGCTCCTTGGACAGGTCGCTTTTATTCGCTTTGGGATACCGGATACGCCAAGATTCATATTCCTATTATTGCATCTGTTTCAGAACATCAACCAACTGCATGGGCATCGTTCTTCTTTGACCTTGAGATGCTGATTTTCTTGTTCCCTGCTGGTATCTACATGTGCTTCCAAAAATTACGTGACGAGCATGTTTTTGTAATTGTCTATGGAATCTTTGCTTCGTACTTTGCTGGTGTCATGGTCCGCTTGATGCTTACCCTTACACCCGTTGTTTGTATCTGTGCTGGTATTGCTGTCTCCACAATCTTGGACACATATCTTGATCTGTCAAACGAAAAGTCTACTGCCATTGAAGAGGAAAACTCTGAACTCATTGGAACAGAATCTACAATTTCATCAACATCAACATCAACATCAACATCTTCGTCTTCGTCTTCGTCTTCTATCACTACAAAGACGACAACTGTTACTAAAAAAGGAAAGACCACGAAGGTCACTACAAAGGAAGTTAAAGATGTTAAGAATGGTACAGATGGAAAGGACAAAAGTTCAAAGGGCTCAAAGTCTAAGAATGGAGAGAAGAAGTACTATGGTATCCTTACTCGCGACTCGCGTGTCGTTGTTGTTGTCAGTTTTGTGTTCTTCTTATGTGTCTTTGTATGGCATTGCACCTGGGTGACCTCGAATGCATACTCCAGCCCCTCTATTGTCCTTGCATCTCGTAATCCTGATGGTTCTCAACACATTATCGATGACTTCAGAGAGGCGTATTACTGGTTGCGTAAAAACACAAAGGAAGATGCTAAGATTATGTCATGGTGGGATTATGGATACCAGATTGCTGGTATGGCTGACCGTCCTACACTTGTGGACAACAACACTTGGAACAACACACATATTGCCACAGTTGGTCGCGCGATGTCATCGAATGAAGAGGATTCTTATGAAATTATGAAACAGCATGATGTCGACTACGTTTTGGTAATTTTTGGTGGACTCTTGGGATATTCTGGTGATGATATCAACAAATACTTGTGGATGATCCGTATTGCTGAAGGTGTTTGGCCCGACAAGATCAAGGAATCTGATTACTTTACACCTCAGGGTGACTATCGTGTTGACGACCAAGCATCTCCCGCCATGAAGAACTCTTTGATGTACAAGATGAGCTACTACAGATTCCACGAACTCTACAATGGACAACAACCTATGGATCGTGTTCGTCAACAACGTCTTCCTGCTCAAGGTCCTGAATTGAATGTTCTTGACGAAGCTTTCACATCTGAGAATTGGATTGTGAGAATTTATAAGGTCAAGGATTACGATAATCTTGGTAGACCTCATTCTATGGCTAAAGCGTTTGAAGCCGGAAAGAAGAAGAAGAAGACCACGCGTAGTCAGAAGAGCAAAGAGAGACGGAGACGCACTGATCTTGATTAAACATAGTCTTAAAATTATATTTACATATAAAACATAGCTCAAAATATTTGGCTTTCTTCATTTATAAATAAAAAGAGATAAACATAAATACTTATTAATTATATTTGTGTGTCTTGTATTCGAGCCATTCTGTATTTCAAAGCACATTTCTTAATTACATTTGCAAGAGTTTATTTATGACATTCACCATCTAAAGCCTAATTAATTATTTAAGATGAAACAGTTGATCACTATAAGAAAAAAAGTGGGTATTTTTGGAATTTGTGGCTTCATCTTTGGCCTATAGTAATTAAAACACACACACACACACACACACACACCAAAAATCCAAGGTGAAACAAAAATGCCAGGTTCCTCAAAGGAACTGGCCATTTCACTGTCAATTTTGGAAAATCGCAGTGGAAGCACCACTTTTTTTTCTATAGTGACTGGATACAAGCCTGACGCCAGCGTACATGAAACTTATCAAGGAGAAAGTGAAAGATGTATTAAATAACAATCGAAACACATTGATTAGTGCACAGTTGTTTGTGAGTTTTTATGTAATAACCCATTCTGATTAAGCTGTAAACAAGAAAACCTTTACGCAAATCATTTGGTATTGTGTACTACATTTAGTGTTAAAAAAAATACCAAAGAGCACTAAGGCCATACCAAGGACATGTCAAACGATTGGTTAACCTTTTGGGAAAGCTTTCTTTTGAGATAAAAAGTAACTTATAAGATATCATTAGTTAGTGGCTATTATAATTATCTAACTACTACCTGTGTCTAAATGGCTACCGCACGCGCAAATCCTATTGTATATATGCTTTGAATCCAGAGTAAAGCTATCTTTTTCCTGTTATATTGCAAATTTATTTCTAAATGCAAATATACACATAATTATATTATTGTTTCCAAAATAATTAATGGGCATGTTTTGGCCTTAGCCCAACAAAGTTCTTACAAAAGGATTATTCATAAGAATTACTATCAATATGTTTGTGGAGGCACACCAGTTTGGTCTTATGGTCTTCCTAAAGCTTATAATTACAAGAAATTGGCAATTGACAAGACATGCTGTGAATTTTTATCGATTGAAAATATCTTCTTGATTTATCTTCGTTATACTCTGTGCCTTTACTGAAATAGAGCTTTATAACAAAGAGCCCGAACACTCTTTCAACTTTTGGTCAGCATTGCTGTCTCGAACGCGGTTTTCCTAAGGAATTTAGATTCTTATAAGCAATTTTTTTTATAATTGTTGCTAAATTAAAAGAGTAAAAGTCTTTAAGCATTACCTTAAAGACTTTTTCTTATGTTTTTATGCTTTTAGTTTAATATAAACCCAAACTTATAAATCTAAAATTCCTTTAGGGCTTTTGAACCCCTAGTGTTTTAGAAATTGGATAAGAAAATTTCATAACAAACGTGTCAAATAAATTACAAAACTTATAGAAAAAAAAAACAATATTCAACTATAAACTGGTTCATAACAAGCTCTGAAAGCCTGTGGTTTGGCTGTGCATAAATATGCTCGTATATATATATATATATAAATAATCCAATTGATAATTCAAACAAATCCGAAAAGTCTATTTCTTCGACGTTATATAATGAAAAGGTAATAATGGCAGAAATTTTATCTAATAAATTAAGGTGATCTTGTATTGATATATATATATATAACCAGTCCTGATTTTATATGAACAAACTATAACTGAAAAAAGCGCGAATTGTATACTTAATTACAAGGTTTTGGACATGTGTATTAAAGGAGTATAATAAACACAAGGGTCATTGGGTTTAATTACATAAGAGTCATTTAGTATTAGTATTAGTATTAGCATTAGAATCAGTAGCTTAATGTTGTAACTTGCTAGTTTCAAAATGAGCTGATTTTCATGCGGAACAGGAGTGGAGAATGTTGAAAATCAGAAAGGTATAGAAATGTATTGTATTATTGTAATTGTATTATTGTCTTTATGTTAGTAATTGTATTCCTATGTAATAAGAGTATATATATAAAGGCGTATGGGCTAAATGGATATGTGTACATGAGCCTAGATACTATCAATATTTAAAATCAAGGTCTAAGCGCCAGTAAAGGATATTTGAACGAATTTCCAGAAGAACTAATGCAATAAAGAGTTATATCTTGGTTGTATGAATGACCGATCTTGGGATCCATAAAGAACTCGATGTAACATATGATAAAAGGGTGATATATGCATATATAGTAGCAGCCATAAGTGAGGAGTAAGCTATATTTGTTAAGATCCAATTATACAAATTGGTAGTAAGATCGATTATCTCCGTATAACCCCTTTTATGCGCGCAACATCCTTTCAAAGATATCATGACCCTAAAAGCACAAATGTACTGTTCTTTTTAAGGTTGTTAACAGAAAATATTTTCCCTAAAAGCAAGTGATAATGTAGCTTAATTACCCGTATAAAATATTGATATTTGCACGATCCAGGTACAAATTATCCGAATACCGGGTTTGAAAATATGATAATGAATGAAAAAAGGAAGAAGAAAAGTATATAAAAGTGAGATTTGGCGTCTTATAGCTGCTTACATCTCAAAATGACAAGTACAGGATATCAAGAAAAAAAAACTTTCAAAATATGAAGTGTTATTTACATAAAATTAAGTAATTATCATATTACATAGTATTGACTCATTAGAGAGGTTACAGTGGCTTAATTTCAATTATAATATATCGTTATGCCTACAACGACTAAATGTGTTACATATTTTAGCATTGGTCTTACAGTTTGGCTCTTTAATATGCTATAAGTTATACTTTGTTCGAACTAAAAAGTAAAAATAAAATAAAAACGAAAATTTCTTGATATATTTCAATATCCTGGTAATTATTATGAGTTTGTAGTACTTGAAGTACCCAAAGATCCTACATATATATATAACATACCTATTTAAAGATAATTAATTGGAAATGTTTATCCGAGATTGGTCAAAGCACTACTGTAATGATTTTATTTTCTTCTGTGTTGAAGAAATGTCCGGATCCCTAATATGCTGTATTTATTTGCTTTTATACAACCACGACCAAAATAAAGAGGTTCTTTATTAGACCCAAAAAGATACATGTCTGTAGTAAATAAATAATAATAAAATTGCTATCATAGAACGATTGCGGTCTTTATAATATACATTATCTTAAGTACGGTGGCATCATGTACATGTACATGTACCTGGTTTAAACTAGTCTTATCAAGATTGTAAGCTTTTCTTTCTTTCTTGTTTCTTATAGGAGTACTAGTGTACAGCAAAATATATCTGTAAGGGCATCAAAGAAACTGGATCGAGTTTACCTGGCCGAAAGTCTCAACTACGGTGGCATCTTGTAAACGTACCTGGTCTAAATCGGCCCTACTGATGTTGTGGTATTTCTGGGAGTGAACTGGCTCACAGTAGAAAACAAACAAACACCAAATTAAGGGCTTTAAGGAGGTCACGCCTCCTGTACCTGATAGAATTAATAAAATCTACAAAATAATCTGTGCGAGAACATAAAGACACTTTATACAAGTTGTGAATAAGATTAGTTTATGTCTCATAGTCGTATTAAATTCTATTTATAATTGATTTAAGAGTTTGTTTGGAGTTGTATGGAAAATGTTTGACTGGGGGGGATAATAATTAGTGGGTGCTCTATATGTTTTAGCTTATAATACAGACTTTACATATGCGTAGAGAGCTGTAACTACAGTCAGAGCCACAGCTACAGTCGGGTGGGTTTGGTGAACATGAATAACATTGTAAGCCAAGGCAGCTGGAATAACATGGCCTAGAACCTTCTTCCGTAACTTAAGATCAAGTAAACAAAAAGGGTAAGAAAATATAATCCAAAAATACAATAATGGCTGCCATGATATTCTACATGCAAGCTTGCAAAAAGAAGCGCATTTAATCAAGGGTCCTGAGAAACTTATCTTCTCGATATCTACATTCGAACCCTTTTAAATATATTTGGTGGGATCTCAAGGCAAGACTTTTAGTGAAAAGACCATAAAATAAAGTAATTAAACATCCGATAATTAAAGAGAGTGAAGGAGAGAAGGCTTTGAACATTACCTTTGGCACAAAATATGTAAGATCTAGATCAACTTGTAGTCTCCAAATACACTAATATCGAACATGAACTTGGTGCTTCTTGCATGAATTATGCACAAGCCAAGTTATTATTTTTTTGTATTATACACGTCTTTTAAAGGATATTTTTTTTTTACATTGTACGTGTTCCAAAATGGGCAAACCGGTCTGCAAAGTGAACGGATTTATTTCCAAGCTCTAGTGCATTCATTTCGAGAAATCAAATAAGAAAATCAAATAAAAGAAATTGCAGTGCAAGTAAAATTAGACCCCAAAAGAGATTATTTCAAAACCTTACCTTTTTCAAGCATATTTACTCTTATTTACTTTTTTTTTCAAAGCAGCGCAAAATGCTCTCTTACAAAGTCAGAATCCTTAAGTCTAAATAACCTCTGTCTTTACGGCTTTTCGAATTGACCGTTTAATCTAAATTGAGTCAAAATCAATGTATTCATTTTTGCTTTAAAAAGTCATGATGAAATTTTGGAAGAGCGCCATCTCCAGGAAAAATGCAGTAACATTCAATTTCAATTTTCTCAATGATCTCTTCACAAAACTCAGCTGACCTTTAGGTTTTCCTACTCACATTCCTCTTCTCATACACACAGCATTCATCACAATGGGCCAAACAAAAAGTAAAGAGAACCGGGCATTGGCCAAGAAGACCCATTGTAAGCAATTCTATCAAACCTATTACTATCATACTAAGCAGTATCATCAAACGATATAGTCTCCACAAAAGAGATCAGCAAGTTTAGACACAACTTGGAAGAAGCTACTTTAAATCAACAATCCAAGAAGACCAGCATTACAGAAGACGTATTTAAAGAGGTATTTAATCTACTTCAGAATTTGCCATTCATTAAAGTCTCTCTTTATACAAAGACGGTGAAAAAATGTGTGCCGTCTGTGTCGTCTAATGACGATGTGTTTCTAAAACGACTTTATGCTGCCTTTGACGTCGATAACAATAAATCATTAGGCTTTGGGTAGGCCAGATAACCTTATTACAGCACTAATCTCACACAATAAAAAAACCCCCCCAATAGTGAATTTGTGGATGGCTTGAGTATCTTTATGAAGGGAAATCCAGAGGAGAAACTAGCATGTAAGCCAAGACCTGCGCAATCTAATCTTGATCGCTTATCTAGTACTTCTCGATTTCTTTTCAGTGTCATTTAAGCTCTACGATGTCAAGCACGATGGGCACTTGACAAAACCCGAGCTTGAACGTGTGATGTTGCAGTTGGTAGGTGCATGAACAAGAAATAATGACCCGACGGAGTTTAACATGGTTTCAAGTCGCATACGTTCTCAGACGAAGACCAAACAAATGAGATCCACCGAATGGTAACGCGTATGTTTGAAGATCTGGACGTAGATGGTGATGGAAAGCTTGTGAGTCAATCAGAAAGAATTAATAGCTTGATTGTGTGATAGCTAAATCATGCCAATAGACCTATGAAGAATACAAACTATCCGTGATGAAGGAGCCTTTAGTGGTTGATTTTCTGGAACGCTTCTTAGCTGAGCATAATATATCTAATCAACCAAGAATGCCGTCAAGGCCAGCATCTTTGCGATCCTATCACTCCACACGCTCACTGACTCCCATGACCCATTCGCGGGTTCCAGGTTCGTCCTCTCCTCCCTTGACAGCAGTGAGCCCTTCCCGCCTATCTGTCCGATTATCTCAGGCCGAATTACTGGATTATAGCCACCATCAACAGCAAAGAATGAATAGTAGTGGACCCACAAGCCCTTCCTCATCCGCCACAAGTGGGACCCCTAGCCATGGCCGCAGTAATAGTCCGGGGAACCCCAATAGCCCAAAGTCTAATCATGCCCGGCTGAGCAGAGGTACTAGTATGACCAGCTTGGATGCTGCCCTGACATCGATGGAGGAGACATTTGACTGGAAGAATAAGACAAATGGTAGCCAACAACTTTAAGCTTATATATCAGTTAATTCAATCGTATACCTTTATTTGAACAAAAGCAGGCTTTACATAGCCTTTGCTTATTATGTATTGCAATTTTTATCGATTATTTAGTCAATATTCCTTATACACGTGTAAATGAATACATGTAATGTTTATGCAAGCATGTATTGTAATTTATGAAGGTGCCAATTATTTAAAGTGGTCTTATTGGTATTCTGCGACTCCTTCGTCATCTACGTTGCTAGCAACGCGTTCCACTTGCCGAAGAATTCTTTCGCGCCACTCCCAATTGAACATGAACCCAGCATGATCAAGACCTGTCATAAGCCTTGCGTCTACACCACGCCCTGTAAGATACTTGCCCACCAGGGGACTATTGCTAACAATGTCTAGCTCTGATAAAAAAACTACTGCGTTTTTTAAGGGACTGGACGGGTCAAGAATAGCTGGTTCATGAGTAGTTCCATCTTCTGCTGTTTCAGGATGAACAAAGAATATGGTATCAACCCATTGGAATCGTCTCTTAAGAAAATAACAAGTATATAATTCACGTCCAGCAAAATAGCGCATAGCATACTATTTAATTGATTTTTTTTAAGAAAAGGAGTGTGAGTGAGTAAATTAAACAAGATGCTATATATGCGTATATGCGTATATATATATATATATATATATATATATATCTATATATCTATATAGCTTTTTACCTCCACTGCTCGTCTAGGTATACGAACTAAAAAGTTGAAACAGAGATTGTGGTAGTGCATGAGAAAACAGATTGGATCAATTAAAACTGAACCAGCCACCCGTTCAGGCACTTTTTTCATAAGCCAGCTGGCAATTGCTGTCCCATATGAATGAGATACTACAACTGCACGCTCGTACCCATGGTTCTGTAGCATCCCTACAACTTCCTGTACGGTCTCATCAATTCCGGGGGCATACTCTACCATATGCATTGATACATAAGGCAATTCAAGAACAAAAATAGGTCTGTCAAGGCTGGCGAGACGATGGATAAATTCGGTGTAGCACACTGGCCCAGCCCCTAAACCATGGATAAACAACAAGGGAGTTTTGTTCGTTGCGGCTACAGAGGGGGTTCTATACCAATACACGAGGCTCTTGTGCTTATATTGGGGGGATTTAGGGTGTGGTGTTGACAAATCGTGCGTGTTTCTGAAAACAGCTTGAATCCCTTCCATTATAATGTGGGGGTACTCAAGGAAGCCACCCCAGAGAACAGAAGGGGAATCAGTGCCGTATCTTCGGAATCCCCAGGCTGTTTTGAGAAAGAGAGTATTGAAGATATAAGTGATGATGTACAGGCTGACATAAACAAATAGGGGTCGATGTACTGCTTCGATTGGGTCGAGAGACATTCGAATACAACGGATCTGCGGATTGCGACCTTCTGGGAATTTTACATTGAACATCTTTTCCGTTTGCTGAAGATAGCCATCAAGCTCAGCTGCATATTCTGGATTTTGCGTCACAGGTTCAAGGTAATCATTCCACAGCGACCCGGCAAGCCTAGAAAAGACAAGAAGAAGATATGTATATATGTATATATGTATATATGTATATGTATATATATATATATAGTTGAGAGTTACTGTGGCTTTCATTTATTATATATTCTTACTCCTCACCATTCAGCCAGGTTGTCTTTTTTAATATCCTCAAATTTAGGATTCTCGATAGTATCGGCATCGTAGTACCATCCAGTTATCCAAGGTTCGATTTTTTCGATGGCGTCAACACAATTTTCAAATAATTCCAATCGAGCTTTTTTGGACATTGGTACCATGTGAGAGCGTTCCTGCTGAAGACGACTCCGAGTGGTTAAGAAAAAGCACCAGAAAAGAACCTCGAGTACAAGCCAGGTATGAATGATATTTGATAGTATAGGAATGATTGCATGAAATAAATGGAGCAAGAGTGTCGGAAGAAATATCTGGCCTTTCATAAGAACTAGACTGGTGTATAAAAATGAGGCCGGGGCTATAGCTGATACAATAAAAATTCCTCCAATAACGACACCCCGGGTAAGAGGTGTATCAGGCAACATATTAAAATAAAATAAAAAAGTGAAAAGGAAAAAGGAAAAATGAAAGAAAAGAAGAGGAGAAAGAAGAAGAGAAAGAAGAAGAGAAAGAAGAAGAGAAATAATAAAAGCGAAAAAAAGAGAGAGATGAAGTGCGCACGATTGTAAAAGACTCAGATACAAAGAGATCCCTTTTTATAAGTATAACTACAACCAGGAAAAAAAATCCAAAAATAAAAGAGGGGAGATGATGCTATATGTTGGGTCTTTACTGGATCTATTGACAAGCAAAGGAGAACGATGTGATAAATTAAAAAAAACAGGAGTGTCGAGTCAAGATGTCCAAGGTGTCGAACAATGAGGAGTACATTTGTTTTGTCAAGAAGAAGAAGATGAAGAAGAAGAAAAAGAGGAAGAAGAGGAAGAGGAAGAGGAAGAGGAAGAGGAAGAGGAAGAGTCCGTAGATATCAGCCTTTTCTTACTCTTGCTTTTGTTTTTGTTTTTGTTCTTGTGCCGGTTCTTGCTCTGGTTCTTGCTATAACTCTTGTTATAACTCTTGCTCAAGCTCTTGTTCTTCTTGTTATTGGTCTTCTTTTTGCTCTTCTTCTTTCATTTTCATTTTCACGTGTTATGGGCATTCCTACATTTCAACTTTCTCGGCTGGATTCTTTAGGAACTTTTTGTTATTTCAAATACGTCAATTCTAAATGATAGGAGTTATTGTTTGTGTGTATATGATGTCGTAAGCAAGTACCTCTCAAACTGGCGCGAAGAGAATCTAACTCGGGTATAGGACGATCAAAGTGGTACTAAAGAAAACGATCGAAAAGCATAAGTCTTTAGAGCACCCTACAGTTTTACTATCGCCCAATTGGGAAGTCTACGCACGTTGAGTTGGGAAGATACCCTTGGGACCACGTTATCGAGAACGAAAGATACATTCATGGACGCTGCCGAACGCTAAGTAGTCTGGTATAAGTACACGCGCCATCATTCCATAGCATACAATATCTTATTACCTGCTCGTCCGTAAGGTTTCGTTTGTTGGCTTCTTCAACCATCGTACGCAAGTAATAATCTGTCAGTCTAGATACACTTTCAACTACTGTCGTGTACAGCTAAAGCAAAGTATAACATGTCCAATAACCATTAACTCTCCGTAGGCTTGTTTTAAAAACTACTGATTTTTGTCTTTTTTATGTTTTTGCGTTTGTTTTTACCTGAAGCTTTGCAAGTAGACAAACATCGTTCACAAACTTGATCAAGAGATTGTAGAAGCTTACTACACTCGATGTTACCTTTACATCTGTGCCTAAAGTCCATACAATACTTTTTAGTTAGCCACAACCCTCATTTTCGGTGTATCATTCAGCCGTATTGGAATGTAATTACCTAGATTCTGACTTGCTACAATAGAGAAGTTGTCATTTTTGGCAAATCTATCTGCTTTTTCCACGTTGCGTTTTTCATAAGTAAGAACTGTCTCCTTGATGTTCTCCAAAAATAGATCCTCCAGAAGAAACTTCAAATCGAGTCCAACCTTTCGAAGCTAAATATAAGGTGCTGGTGTCAGTCCCTTAAAAGTATTGTGTTTTAGCAAGTCTTACAATCGCACATTGATCTAGTGTTGATTTAAAGCAGTCTGATATAATCTGGCAGCTCAAGTGGCTGTTGTTAAACACTTGCCGCTTATAGATAGTTGCATAAATGTTTGTCTGTTCACGGACCCAATTTACAAAACCTATTATAAAAAGCGTCCTTAAATAAATTACATTATACCTGTTGTATATGTGTGTGTTTTTATTTATCTATTACCAGACGCCATATCATTTTGTTTAAATGAATCTCGATACCATTCACATGTATTTCGGATCAAGGTAAACACCACAAGTGCGAGCTCACCAATGTACGTTGGAATATCTCCTTCGAATATCAACTGCCTATGTACAAAATAATGCTTAATTATCAATAATCAATGCTCAATACTTAATATGTATACCCTTGTAGATATACTTGTCAGGGAGAGGGGAGGGAGGGGACTTGCCTGATTCTTTTCTTGATAATAAGGGATCGGGTGGCCAAAAAGACTTCCCGTGCCTAAATGAAGCCAGGATGAGCCACTTGTTTTCAGAATAATGCACAATAGTACCTGCTCTCCCTTGTCTAGTCTAAGGAGCCAGCCTACAAAACGCTGGAACTGCAACTTGGTCAAAAGGATATTGCCAAGGTCATTGCTGATTGTTGTACACAGCAAATCTGTATATTTCTGCACTTGCGTTCGAATGTCGCGCAGTGCTGCAAGATCGGCAGAGTAACCCTTGAAGATGGTTCGAGCTTATTTTTTTAAAAAAAAAGTTAATATAATTTTAGGTAGAATTGTCTGTTCTCATTTTTTTTTACCTTTTTCAATGAGCATGACTGCATTTTCAAATTCACGGATAGCAATAAGAACCTCAAGTTCATCCGGGAGTTCTGTTAGCCACTTTAGGTCGTCTGGATCAAGGGACGTGGGTTGCTGATTGTCTCGACCGTTATTAGACCGGCCATTTTCTACATTCTACAGAAAGTATGTTAAGAGAAAATATATGACCGAGGGAACTTTTATTTTATTTTATTCTTATATTAATTACCAAAGATTTGTAATCCCCTAAATACAGGAGAAAATAATAATAATGCATTGTTAAGCCGATAATACTCAAGAAGGAAAAACTCATTTTCTATACACTTCAAGTATATATACATATATATCTTTGGGCTCACAACTTACCGTCACTGGCTTGATCCTGGCTTTTATCGTTGTCTTCGTCCATTACACGCCTATAAGCATGTAATAAACCTAGTTTGTCTTCGGGTCTATCTGCACGGAAAAGATATGTGTTTGGATACACGACAATCTTAAGGGAATTTTGGAGTTCTTATCGAGAGTGATGAGTATATATATATATAGAATCTAATATTTACTGTTTTATGCATTAATTAATCAAGTGTATCTCCGATTTACCTGGGGAATCTTTAATGTCAAGCATTGTAGTATCTTCGAGATTCCAGTAATACTCAGCCATGAGCTTGTATTTATTTGCTATAGATCGCTTTCTACGAGAAGCAACCAGAATGCAATTGTTGAGAAGGAATATATGAACAGCTTGGTGTGGCTGCCCTGTACGGGGATCTAGCTCTACAAAATTCACGCATTCACGAACAATCTGGCGATCTTGTGCATAAGGTATAAACTTCTACTTAATAATTACATGGTTAGGTTTAATGATGGAGGCTACAAAACCAAAAAAAAAAGGGAAAGAAATAAAGAGCGAAGAAATAATATAATTACCTGTGATCCATCTACATTTTCCCAAAGCGCTACTATCTGAGCACGATGTATGGTCTGCATATCTGTTGTCATCAATTCACTTCGCCTTCTTAAAGGAAGAATTGGCTCAGAAAATACACCGTCATCTGTAGAACAATACTTGGGTGAGAAGAAGCAACATATAAAATGCATGTTATATCTAACTTTGATCTTACTTGTTGGAAGTAATTCATTTGAGGCATCAGTAGATGCTAAGAAGCCTTCCCATATATTGCGCAATTCATTTAGGTAGCCTTTAAGATGAAGAACATCGCCGTCAAGGTTTGAGATTTCCTTTGATATGGCGACAAACTCTGTATAGTTTCGATAGACATTTCGTTGCAAGTCACCACCCACGACATGCTTTGATTCTATTAGTGATTTGTGGAAGGCCCTGATTCCTTCCTCATTCGCATCTCCTAGAGCACGATGAACGTCTAGATTGTACCTTTTGGTTAGAAGAAAAAAGATGGTATTTCTCTGGATTATTTTACATACACTCCTCAGGCTGCATGTTCTCATCTGCAAATCTATGAAGATCAATGACAATAGGAGCTGTGGAAGCAAATGTTCCGTTAATACCGGGAGGTGCGCGTGATGATGGTTTAACTGAGATTCCGGATTGAAATGCAGATGTATTTGATGATGCATTCATTGCTAAAGGAGACCCAATCCTTCCTGCTACTCTATCTTTGTCTTTTTCTTTTTTTTTAAAAGCATCACTGCTGTTCGACTTCTTTCGTAGAACACTTGCTGGATTCATACTTCACTACACCACACTTCGCTATAAAAATGAGAATTGTCTTTGATTATTTAAGCATTCTGAGCACGTGATCGGTTCACCTGCAGGATTGCTATGCGGATTTGTAAAAAATAAATAAAAATAACTAAAATTGAATTTAATACAGTTGGTGCAGACAATAAAAGTTAAAAAAAAAGGCAAAACAGGGCGAAAAAAAACATTTTTTTTAATCAGCTCTAATAGGCTAGTCTTCTTCCATTTCCACTAGGATTGAGAAGAGAAGGATTTTTTCATGGAGACGATGTGCGACAGAATAAAAGGTCTAGAAAAGCTGGCAACACCAAGGGAAAATTTTGATATCAAATAAGGAAATCCAGATTTCCAAAGGTGCTCATGGACTGAAGTGTCAATCGACCAAAAAGTGGCAATTGACCAATGGTGATTTTGCCGACAACTCGACAACGGCTGAGGATGTGGTAACTGCCCGCCCATGGTATACACGGTAAAAAAAAGCTGTCGTAATTTCCAAAAAAAAACAAAAACAGCAGCTTTCGGTAAAAAACTGACACGGGTGTTGTGTGTTCTCCAGTTTCGACCATCCTGATTTTTTTTCTTCCTCTCCGATCGTTTCCCTCTTCCATTTTTCTCGTTCATCATTTACATAATCACTTCATATTATCACATTTTTTTATAATCCCATTTTTATATTTATTTTTACCTTTATTATCACTTCCACTTTATCTCCTGCATATATTCTCCTTTTGGCATCTTTACCCTTTTTACATACATCTTCCCATTTCCTTTTCCAGTTTCTTCCCTACAGTTATTGTATACACACACCATACATTCCTCCATTATAATTTATCTCCATCCACATCTTCAGAATATACTTGTATTTCTTGCATAATTTACCCATTAATATTCGCATTTCATTTTCTCACACTACAATTTTTCAGTATTACCATTATCAATTTCTCTTTCTGTATCCCATTCTTTCTCTTAAAATCACTGTCCCTGAATTACTTTCTGCCTGACCCGTAGAAAAGCAATCATACATCGCATTAAATTCAAATATATCTGTTCACAAACCCCATTTCCTTTTATCTTCTTTCTATTCTTTTTTACCTATGTGATTGTTCTGAATGAAATCAACCGTGTTCTCCTATTTCTCTTTTATCTTATCTTTTTTTATTTTGCTGACCACCTGCCTTGATTTTCCCAAGTGAAATTAATTGTGTTTCTATATTCTTCTTCTATCTCATCTTGTTGTGTCTTGCTGTTCTACCTGTCTGGACTGTCCCAAGCGAAATTGACAATTTTCCTATATCATTATTCCCCTTTCGTCTTAATATCTTTGCTGTCATTCTACCCTCAACTGTCCCAAGTGAATTTGAACATTCAATCTACTTTCTAAAGGTTTTTTTCTAGTATAATCAGTTGTAATAGTTGCTATATTGGAAGAATCTCTGACTTTATTGTAAATGATAATTGTGACAAGAAACATTATTTGGGATAATTCTATTTAAGAAAATATACATTACTGTCACATCATTCCCTCTCTAGTTAAGGGTTTAGTGTTTGTAGAAAAAGGTATAATTGTTCATAGTGAGCAGTTGTGGTGCGCTTTGTCTTCTTAGTATCCTCTAGTAAGAAACTAGTAGCTTCTTTGTTTATCTGCTTTTTTATTTTCCAAGGACCAGTAAACTTTGCCTTCGGAAATTTACTGGTTTCCTTTGGTCTAATCTTCATAACTATGCTACCAGGTTTGAGGTTAACTCTCTCTTTTCTATTTTGGTTTTAGTGATGCTATTGTCTTTGTTGGGCTTTTTGGACACCAATTCGAATATCTTTCTGGATGATAGGTAAGTAATGATTTAGATATGCAATCCATGACTTAGTTGTATTAGTCTGCATGTTTGGATATTTAAGTTCTGCTGTTGTTGAGAGCGTTGCTTGTCTTCCAAACATTACTTCAAGAGGCGACTAGTTGGTCGATGTTTGTCTTGAGGTATTCATTGCAAATGTTATAAAGGGAAGATATTTGTCCCAAAGGTGTGGTTCATTTTCACTACGGTTTTTTGTTTCTATGGAGCGGAGCTCTGGTTTATTGATGGGACTCTTGTCCAAAATGCTTAAGAGACGCCACAACTTGTTTTTGGTTTTTCTATTATTTAAATGTTTTTGGGGATTCTGTATTTTAAGTTGTAGATGGAATGTAAAAAAAATGTGGAAACGAAGAAACGCGATGAACTTAGACAGGGAAAGGGCATTGATCAAGGTTTTCTTCAGATTGTAAGCAGGAAAGTAGGGAATTGTCAGTGGTAGTGACATTGGCGGCAATGAAAGGTGATTGATCGAATATGAAAGCCCAGTGATGTCCCCACAAGGCTAAAAGAACAGAGCCAAGAATTGAGGCAGGATGCGAAGTGGGATCAAGGGGGGAGGGAAGGAAAAATTGTTTAGCGCATTGTGAATGTCAGAGGATTGGGGGGTGTTATATATGGGAGAAAAATGGTATGTAAAATAAAACAAGTGCAGACAAGAGTACGGTGAGAATTTGTTTTATTAGAAGTGAAAGAATCAGAAAAGAGATCATGTTCTATTGCTATTAGTATTGTGTGTTTATATAGATATTGTATTTAGCTTGGTGATGATATTGTTGTAAATGAGTATTGACTACTGCTGTAATTGAGAATAAGTCTGAAGGAAATAATATAAGGCCTCAGCTATTCCAGTCAAAGGTGTCTACTGATTACTTTATTATTTAACACACAGGTTTAGCATGCATGATAGTGATTATATTTTATATGATGATATCACCATAATATGGGATACATCAGTGGATTATTATAAGCATAATTATAACTCATAAACACATTTACTTTCGATGTTAATACTTCATTGAGACTACACACATGTATATAATTAATCATATATTAATTATCTCAAGATCACGTTGCTCTGATTAAGACTCAGATAGGATCGATTACCTGACCCCAGTCATATAATTTTCCCAATCCAAAACAATATAAATAGCAGTAGTAGTTCAGTGTAGGAACCTGGTCAAACTTTGATACAAAATCTTTCTCAATAAACAAAACCTACACAAGTTCTCACGAATCTTTGTTCCTAATCTCAAATCTTCAATTCTTCCTCTTAAAAACTTCTTCAACTTCAACCACCACAACAGCCACTTTTATAGAAAAAACATAGATAAAAAGATGCTTTATATTGCTCCTTTGAGTGCTTACCTGTAGTGCCACCTTTCACAATCTTTGCATGACATGATTCAACGCCTTCTGCTGAAAGAGCAAATAGAATCGTCACGTTTGTTGCTCTCTTGATTTTAGTTTTAACAAAGGCTGGTGCGCCAGCTTTTGATCGAGTGTGACCTTTAATCATATTGATATTAAACCCTGCCTCATCGATAAAAATACAATTATGATTGTACAAAATCCCCTCAGGTTGAAGGCTTAATATAAAATCCTTTCTTTTGTGACAAGTCTCTTCATCGTTTCTCTTCTCTTCTATTGGAGTCGACCTCTTCAGTGTAATCCTATCAACATTATTTAGAAAGTTGCACAGAGTGGATACACTGATGCTCTGAATGTTGTCAAACTCTTCTAAAAGTAGAATCTTTAATTCCTCTAGGGTGATGGTGTTGTTTTCATCAACAGCGTTGACAATAAATTGTTAATGATGGTCCTGGATGATACTTCTAAGGTCACCACCTAATGACTGGTATTCAATTGTTCCCGTCTTTTCAAACTTATTTATAATTCCACAGACTGTCTGTCTGGGAATATCAAGCTCTCAGGAAATCTGTGTGGGAGTCTTGAAATGGTTTGCACTCTTTTCAATAATAAGATCACAAATGTGTGTAGACCTGGTGAGCTGTGGGTGCCCAGATCTCTTGACAGTCTTTTTGTTCTGGTTATCAGCAGATGGTATTCTGGATCCTGACATTTTATCAATATTGGTGGCTTTATTCTTAGATGCTTGAGTTGTGTTTGAGTGGAAGAGTGACTAAGAGGTTATAATGTAAGTGGAGCTTGAGATGAGATAGTACTGCTTAGGCAACCAGATTGAATACAAAAGAGAAATAAAGAGAATTTGAGCTTGTGAAAGATAATGTTTATTCAAGAGAATTTGAAGCTATTTATATGAGAGAACTATGGATAGAGATACAGACAGATAGAAGAAGAAAAATGTTTTTATGCAGATGCATGTACCTGCTTGTAGTAGTTCTTTACTGCTGCAAGAAGAACATTTGTGACTCCCAATCACGACAAAGTAAAGATCTACCCTCAGGAATTAATGTCATTTTAAATCCAGTCTTATATCACCATTATGATATTTGAACTTTGCCCATTTAATTTTCACCAAAAGCCGAAAGTTTGCAAAAAAAGCTCATTTGGGTCCAAAAATCCTGTATTTTTCTGCAAGTCACAGCATATTCAGCCAATCAAGAGAGCAATTTCTAAAAAATGAAGAAATATCATAAAAAAACAAGTTAATGTGTTATTTTTCGAGAAATTGATTAAGAAAGATATACTTTTTATTAGACAAACCGATTCAGCAATCATTCTTTACTATAATTAAGTTTATATAAGAGATAGTAGGTAAAGAAGTATGGAGTAAATCTATCATATATAAAATAAGTTAATCTTTTTTAATATTTGTGACTTGCACAAAAGTACTTACGATTAGCTTTGACGTATTTATTGAGTGTCTGTACTTTTAATTTAAATCTACGATTATGTTAGATACAACAGAGGAAAAGCCAAAATGTGCGAGCCAGAGTGTGTGCCAGAGAGGAAGCTTGAGTGGACATGCGTAAAGAAAATGATCTTGAGTGTCAATTTCTGTTCCACAAAGTGAACAATTAGGGGAGGGAAATAAGGTGGGAATACGGTAATGCAGCACTGATCGATATGAGATCTTGTGGTGAAGCAGCCAGAACCAAGTGTTGAAAGAGGCATATGGAAGGACAAAAGACCAGAATTGATGCCATTTGATGGCTTATATGTTGTGTAGTACATCCTCAATAGAAAAAGTAGCTACTTCACAGGAGGAACGGAATTGGCGTGTAGACAAGCATTTCCAAAAAAAAAAGGTAGGAGAGAGGGCCAACAGAAGTGTAGAAGGGTCAATCTCAGTGCTCATGCGAGTCATTAAGTCAGGGAAATGTTTGGTCAAGATACTTTGAGGCAGGCAAGTGCGAATGACAAATGCGCGAAGGAAAAGATAATGATCAACCACCTGCTGAAGGACTTTGCGGAGGATGTGTGGAGAATGAGAAAAGGAAAAGGATTAAAGAAAGGATTGGTATAAGTGCGGAATCGAGGGTGTCTGAGGTCAGGAAAAATGAAAGGAAGATGGGGATAGACATCAGGCAGACAATGCCAAAAAAGATATAGCAGCCAAGGCATTATCAGGCCAGAAGGAGATGAAGTGGATTGGAACAGAGGTCGAAGCCAATGGAGCTGAAGGACACCTTGTTGCAATTTTGGATTCAAAAACCCTAAACCGCCCATTTTTGTGGGAAGACATATAGTGTCAAGTCTAATCAGTAGGAAGCTTTGATACTGAAGAAAGTGACATGTGAGAGAGCAAGCTTTGGTAAAGAAGGTGCCAAGAACAGATACAACACGAAGAGCATGCCAGAGCTTTGACAATATAAGAGAGTTTAGGACCGTAGCATGACCATGGAAGGACAAGGCACAGGAGAGGTGGATCTGTGAAGCTCACTCTATCTTAGACAGGATTTGTGAGCAGAAGGAGTTGCGTTGGGTGAGGGAGGAGATGATCGGAGAGCCAAGGTAGCAGAAAGGTTCTGGAGAGCAACTATCATGCCAATCTATAATCTGCAAGCTGTGAAAAGTGTTCACTCAGTGAGGATGAGGTCTGCCTTACAGAGAGAAAGCTTAGGTCTTGTGAAGGTTGATACATGCGTTGGGAGCAGAGACATAGGTGGCAAGATGGTGCTGCAATTGGGACATGTCCTGGATCTATGGGAGGTAAACCAGAAGATCATGGCATAAGTGAGTAGCTTTATGGGTGAAGGTGCGGGATGTTCAGGTGTACTCTGGATCTCAAATCCAGGAAACTGAGGGCTATGTATGAGTTGGTGCAAAGTGGTTCAAAGGCCAGATTAAACAGAACAGGGGACATGGGGTCACCCTGTCTGAGTCCACGTGCTTGACAAAGAGGACAAGAAAGAAAACCGTTTACATTAATCTTAAGATCGAAAGAGAAGAAAAGGTTAGTGATGCAAGTTATAATTGAAGGAGGAAAGCCGAATTTTATAAGAACTTGTTGAAGATAGTCAGGGTGAACCCAGTTGTAAGCCTTTTGCTAATCCAAGAGAAGAAAAATTCCAGAGTGACCAGTAGAATTGGCATGGTCCATAACCAACTTTATAACAATATCATTATCAGCAATAAATTGGCCATAGACAAATTCATTTTGATATGGAAATACAAGCACTCCAGCAGCTTTGATTGTTTGAGCATTGAGAAGCCGAGTAAAAACCTTGGCATCAGCATTGATCAGAGCAATTGGTCGCCAATTCTTCAGATATGAAAGATCTCCTTTCTTGGGCAACAGAGAAATATATGTTGTTTGCCAGGATAAAGGTAATTGGCCACCACTAAGAGCATCATTGTAAATTTGTGTCAGCAACTGGAAGCAAGAATGGTGATAAAAAACGAATTGGGGGATCTCATAAGGGAGGCTGTCTGGTTCTGGGTTACTTATTTGTGGAGAGCAAGACACACCTTCTCGTATGTCTTCGATGCAAAGTTCAGCAGTCAGAGAGGAACATATAGTATCAGAGAGACAGAGATCATAGGGAAGGTGGCGAAGTAAATTGTCTATGGCTAGTTGATCTATTGGTTCAGATATATACAGGACATTGTAGAAAGAAGCGGCAGCTTCAGTCATGCCATCAGGCTCAGTGTGTAAGTGGTCAGTGATGAGATGGTATAGTTTGGTGATGTTCTTTTTGGCATAGCATTCTGCAACTGTTTACTTGAGATATCCTGCGGAGATCTCTCCATTCTCTTGCCAATGTTTGCTTGCACACAGAGCAAGAATTTTCATTCTCTTCAGCTGGACTTATTGCAACTGTCTTTCAATAATGGGTAATTGGAAGTTTTGGGCGGGTTGTTGTCTGAACTTGTAGATCAACTTGTTACATTTACTTTGAAGTCTGGCCTCCAGTGTAGTGAGTATCTGTATGCAGCATCTAGTAAAGAACTTGATGAATTTTGTAAGCATGTGTTTTAATCTATCCTATTAGACTTGTGGGAATATATATAGAGGAAGTAGAAATATAGACATAAAATTCTGTACAGAAAGTGAAATTTCAGGCAAGTTGAGAGTTGGCATATCACATTCTCTTTCCTGTTTCATCATTGACAGTGAACTTAAAAGTAGCAGCTACTAGACAATGATCAGACCAATTCTAATATATATAGAACACAGAAGAGGACTGATGACATGGGATAAGAACAGAAGAAGCAAATACATAGTCTATAGAGAAGGAGCAAAGTTGTCAGTGGAAGGTTGGGGCAGAAACTTCACTTAATGTAATGCAATCCACAAAATGGTTAGAAATAAAGTTAAGCCATTTGGGAGGGGCCTGGCAAGGATTAGAAGAAGTAGTGCAGTAGGTGTAATTGAAGTCACCCAAAAGTATGCATGAGGATAGGAGATGAGGAAGTAGTGCTGGAGAGTTGAGAAGAGAGCATAGGAAAGAAAAGCAGTCCTGGTAGGAAGCTGGGGCATAAACAACGCATATATGGAAAGAGACAATGGAACTATTAGTATGTATGACTGTAGTAGAGATGCAATGGCCACAAGGGCTGAATAGAGGGTTAATAAAAGATAGGTGCGGAGAAAGAGAAACAATACCACATTGCAGAGACCATAAGGAATCTTGGGCATGGAATTGTGTATGGAACATCTGTTGGAGAAGTTCAGTATTGGCATGAGTTTTTTGAAGGGCAAGTAAATCGATTCCGCAGGATCAAAGATGTCTTATAAATAGGGAGCACATTTGTGGGTAGTTAATTTTAGCTAATTCACAGCAATTCATAGATGCAATTTTTATCATAATTATTATTGGAGGATAGTTTCTTCAATACCCTTCATAGAGTCGTCTTCGCAGTTTTTCTCAAAGTATGTCTCCACCTCTGCCAAGTTGTCAATGGTGAGCATGAGATCATCAGCAGGGAGTGTTTCCCTATCAACTAAGTTCGCCTCAAAAGGGAGGGGAGGTGTTTTTGGTGTCTTGGTATGTGAATCGGTAGGTACAGCTTTGGTGGTGTTGGCGGGTTGTGTTGAGGCCCAGCAGAAGAGAGGGAAGGGTCAAGTAGAACATAAAGATTGGCTGTGGTGAAGGAGGGGGGAAGGGTCTTCTTCAAATGTGAGCCAGAGTGAGTGACAGTGGGTCAGTTGGTGGTGTTGCGGGTGGCAGTGGTGCGATGAGGGCCATGCGGTTCAGGAACCTTGTAATCCCATTTGTATGGGTTGTCCACTTCAGCAGCACGAGGACATTTAGAGCAAAAATGGCCAACCTGATGGCAGCCATAGCACAAGTAAGTTTCTTTTGGTGGATTGTGACAGTTGTCATAGTCATGACCCATAGTTTGACATAGAGTGCAATGGACTCCCATATTGAGCCAAGTGGTCAAGAACGTCATATTATCATCGAAATCCATTTTAAAGCAAAGTGGAAGGTGGGCAACTTCCTCATATGAAGAACGCTCCACATATGCATGTCCACTTCTATCCATAAACCCAAACAATGTGTTAATGGAAATATTGTGCACATAGTTATATTTCGTGAGAGCATTACAAAGTTTGGTATCCAAGGTAGCATACACTTGAGGAGGGAATTGGGAGAGCTTTGACAAAGTCAGCTTAAACAATTTAGATAAGCTAGCAATGGCAGGGAAGGCAAGAGCAGTTTTGTTGTTGTATCAAAAGCCTACACAGCAAGCATGAGCACAAACATCTTTGGAGCTCAAGTGGAGCTCAAAGAGAGTTCCAGCTTTATTGGAAGGGTTCAGGCCAAAGATTTTTCCAGGCAAAAAGAACTGGAGCAGAGCGTCAAAGAAAACAATGAATTCAGGAGAGATTTCTGGAGGAGTAGTGTAGTAAATAGAGAACTGGCTAGTACTTTCTTGCCAAGTGCAAGGTTTTGTCAGAGGGTCATTAGACCCAAGTATAATAGCATGGCAGAATGTTGGTATAGTGTTTGTTAGTGTAGGCACGTAGGTAAAAGAGAGTCCTAGTATGTGTGTTGTAATAGTTGGTGAAGTGTTTGTATAGCCAGTTATGAGGTAGTTCCCTGTGGGGGGTCCAGTTATATAGCAGAGAAAGCCATGAAGTATACTAAAATAAGTGTTATATGTCGGGATTAGAAGTTGCCTTTGAAGCAGCTGGAATATATCACAAGAGTAGTTTTTCAGAAGAATAAAGATAATGTCTTATTTCGATGAAGCAATTTGTATTTATACTATCTTAAAGAGATTTTGCTAGAAGTTATCAGATATTGAAAACTTCTAGCAAAGTGTAGTATTTCTGAGAAGGATTGAATTGGATTGCCTAGATTAGAATTTAGATTCTAGGAATGACATGCTCATGACAATACACTACAGGAAAAAAGGGGCATTTTTTGTAATTGTGACTTCATTTTTGGTCTATAATAATTAAAAAATTACTAAAAAATCAAAATGAAACAAAAAATTCTATCACCACAAAAATTGGAAGCTAAATATAGTAGGGTATAGTATCCAAGCAATATTATTGGCCTAGAGAATTTTTCTTTCTATAATTTTGTGACTTGGATATTTTTTTTCCAAATAAAAAAGAAAAGAAGGTTTGGTCTTACTTAAAAGTTTTTTGCTTACAACAAAAAGCTGTTCAAGTGAGACTGTGATGTACGATGTTTGATTGTAAAGAGTGTTTGTCTAGACAACAGCTAGAAATTCGAAGTATAGTTTCAGATTCTCAATCTCAGTGCAGTCAGTGCCAAAGAGCAGAGCAGAGCAGAATCTTCCACGAAGTTTTATAATGAAAAAATAGAGTAGACTTTAGATGCTGTTTATTAATTAAGATATTGAGATATTTATATTTGTAATTATTGATAAAAAAATGATAAGATATAGATATAGATGAATGAGACTGGAAATTTGTAAGCTTGGTTAAACAAAAGAAAATCTTGTAACACTGAAAAGAGAAGGTTAAATGAAGGTTTATGGGTTTTTTAAAGCCAGATTTAAACTACTAATATATATAATATCTCTATGAGTTTTCAAAATCAGATCAATGTTCTTAAGCTAAAAACCAATCATTTTTTGTGTTCTATATATCTGTGTTTTAATATCTTTTTTTAAAAATTACTCTGCGAATATTTGTTCTATAATAACAGCAAAACCAGATTTAGATAGCCCAAATTTCATAGATATTAATCAATAGTCATCATATTTTGGTACTGTTTTTTGTTGTGAATGTTGTAAATGAGTATTGACTACTGCTGTAATTGAGAATAAGTCTGAAGGAAATAATATAAAGCCTCAGCTATTTCAGTCAAAGGTGTCTACCGATTACTTTATTATTTAACACACAGATTTAGCATGCATGATAGTGATTATATTTCATATGATGATATCACCATAATATGAGATACTTCAGTGGATTATTATAAGCATAATTATAACTCATAAACACATTTACTTTCGATGTTAATACTTCATTGAGACTACACACATTTATATAATTAATTATGCATTAATTATCTCAAGATCACGTTGCTCTGATTAAGACTCAGATAGAATCCATTACCTGACCCCAGTCATATAATTTTCCCAGTCCAAAATAATATAAATAGCAGTAGTAGTTCAGTGTAGGAACCTCATCAAACTTTGATACCAAATCTTTCTCAATAAACAAAACCTACACAAGTTCTCACGAATCTTTGTTCCTAATCTCAAATCTTCAATTCTTCCTCTTAAAAAATTCTTCAACTTCAACCACCACAACAGTGAAGATAATGCAGTTTCAAAGTTTATATAAGAATGGTAACAAATATGCTTTTGAATTAAAGGCAATACATAAAAATAATAAATATTTTTTGACTACATATACTTTTGGCCGACTTATTACAGTTACGTTTTGCTGATGCGGAGAGTCTGGTTCGATTCTAGCTGGATACATTTTGCACTCTGTATTTTTATTTGATTTTTTTTAAGATATAAAGCTTATCTTATACCTATTATTAGATGTTGAATGATGTTATTCTTTTGATATATTTGAATTAAAATGTATTTATGTTTTGTTTTTATATTATTGTTTTAATATTATTAAAACAAATTAATTTAAATCCAAATTTTTTATATTTTTTTATTAAACCATTGTAGAATCAGTATATTCTTCATCTTCATCATCTAAATATTCATAATTTGTAAATATTAGGTTGTCAACAATGCTTCCAAAAAAAACCTCAGCTAACATCTTTAGTATTCCTTGTCACAATCTGTTCTCATATTTTTTTCTCTATATGAATTCCATCAATATCTATGGTATCATTTGTTTTGTTTACACTCTGGCTGTTATACTTTTAGAAAAGAAAGAAAAACAAAGTGCAGACGAGAAGTATGGTGAGACTTTGTTTATTGATGAAAAGAGAGATGATTTTCTATTGTTATTTGCTATGTGAGTTTATATAGACATTGCATGTGTATTTAGGATAATGATATGAGTATATCATGTGATGTCTGTTTTCTTATATCATAGATAATATATTGTTAAGTTATTACCCACGCTCTTGTTTGAGTGATTAGTGATGTTGACTAAGGTGTGTGACCTTGTTATCGGTATATTCTTTATTTAATAATAGTGTGAGAAATAATGTATAATTGATACTGGTCGCTTATTCAATATGTCTTTGTCTTATTGTCTGTGTGCTCTATTTGAATCTACAATTATGTTGGATACAACATTACCCCCCTCCAGGTTGGAACAACCGTTTGAATTGCTTAGGGGAGTATCTGTACATGTATGAGAGCAAATGTCTTTATTTGCGTACGTGTTTGCTAAAGCGTGTAGGTTCTTGTGTTGGATTTGTACGCTTGTTATGTATAATTGTAGATTTATTGGTGGGTTTCTCTGGACCTCGTCTTTGCCAATATTTGTCAATTATGCTCAGATTGTTGAAATTGCTTGTGGGTTCCCAAGTGTCTTGATCTGGTACATAGTTTTTCCAGTGCACTCTGTAAAGATAGTCACCTTTTTCTTGATGGTGATCAATGGTGGCCTGTATCTTGTAAAAGCTATCTGGAGATATAACAGTATCTTGTGAGATCAGCTTTATCTGCGAAGGTGGAATGTTTTGTGATAGAAGTGCTCCCGTTTCGTCTTGCAAAATGTAGCTGCCTCCCTTTGTTCTGCCCTTGACTGTGAATGGTCCTTCATATCTTAGGTCCGTCTTAGACTTTCTTAATATGTTCTTTATCATCACATTGCTGTCGTTTGGGAACTCCATTATTATTTTATGGTCTTTGTTGTGTTTTCCTTTATCAGCAGCTTGTGTAGCTTTGATGCGTTTGCAGATTGCTGGGAATACGACAGTCTCCATTTGTTCAATTCTTTTTTTCATATCTGATAGACTGTTAGGAGCGTTGTGCGTGCTCTCTGTTTTTCTGTAATCAGCAAAATCATTTGGTTGTCTTGCAAACATTAGAGTGAATGGGCGTGTGCCATGTAGTTTAGCATATTTGCTATTTATGGCTAGCTGTGTGCTTGGGATATATATGTCCCAGTCTTGCTTTGCTCCCTGTGTTCTCTTGTTGATGACTTCCTTGGCTGTGTGTACCCATTTTTCAGCAACTCCATTTGCTCGCGGATGATAGGGTGTTACAAGCCAATGATCAATTCCTGCTGTATTTGTGAAAGTCTTGACGAGTTCGTTGACAAACTCGGTACCATTATCTGACTGTAAAACCTTGGGTAGGCCAAAGTCGCAAAAGATTTGAATGAGTTGTTTTGCAATTGTTAAAGATGTCTTATCTGAAATTGCGCGGAGTATGCAGAATTGGGAAAAGATGTCAACCATTACTAGCATGTAATGATTACCATTGCGCGAGGTGGTGTATGGGCCAGCTAAGTCTATGGCCCAGTGTTCACCTGGTTGACTGGCTGTAATAGGATTCAGCGGATGATAGCCGTGTTTTGAGACATTGAACCGTTGGCATTTCAAGCAGTGCTTTACTGTTTCTGTTGCCTCTTGCTTGAGATTAGTCCAGTGTAGTCCATCACTATATATAGCATTGACAATAGCGTCTGTACCAAAGTGGCTGAGTAGATGTGCTTGGTTGAGTAGATGCTGTCTGTCTTTGATAGGTGGTGTTATCATATCCCCTGTGTTGTGCATGCGTTGGATAGCATGTGTATTTTGTGTGTTCTTTGTTGGATGATTCATAGAGATTTCTACAGTTTTACCCTCACCCAGCGGTTTTTCCGAGGTGAAAAGGCGCGATAAAACATCTGGCAATATATTGTCAATGCCAGGGTGGTGGACTATGTCATAAGTATAGTCGCAGAGTACATCAAGCCAGTTTATTATTATAGGGTTGGCAATTTCTTGCATGTGAAGGTACGTGAGAGCCTTGTGATCTGTGTACAACGTGAACTTGTTACCCCACAAGAACTTATAGAATTTAGTCAAAGCATAAATGATGCCCAAAAGTTCGCGTTTGGTGACAGGATAGTTGCATTCAGATTTGGAAAGTGACCGTGCCATAAAACCAATATAGCAATATTGGTTGTCTATGATCTGATAGAGCACGGCGCCAATATCTGTGTTGGAGACGTCTGTGGCAACCAGAAATGGTTGTGTGGTATTTCAGGTACGAAACAATAGAAAAATAAAATATTTGAGAATAGAGACGTATAGAAATACTTTGAGACTGTATATCAGTTTTTTATTCATAAATAAAAAGTGTCCCTTTTTATAAGAAAACACAATCTGCTCTTGTCATTACGTCTTAGTTTCTTAAGGCTTTCTTCCTTTACTATATTTGGTTATTAGAGTGTATTTACTGCTTAACTAGTGTCGGTGTTACAATTATGACATCAAGTCATAAATCGTACTTCTTTAGCTCTTAGCTATTCTTTTCTCTTTTATACTAGAGCTTTAGGACTTCCTACTAAATTAGCTCCATATCGATCTGACACAGTTTACCTGGCAGTATGATATAATTATCTTAACAATCTTTAAGATATTATCTACAGTACTAACTGTAATAATTATTGGGCTGATTACTTAATCGTTTATATATATTTTATACTGACAAGATGATAGCTACTATGCTATCCCAATATGAATATGTTCTTATATGTGATAAATCCAACATCTGAGTGTCTGGATCACCACAGGTTGGGCTGTGTCAGAGTGGCTTAGGACTGGTGCGTGTGTAAGTGCAATTTTGAGCTTGGAAAAAGCTTGTGTTTGTTCTTCTGTCCATAACCCGTGTAGTGAGTCAGCATTGCGTAGTTTGTCCAGAGGAGAAGACAGTTGTGACAAGTTGGGAATGTGCTCACGAAAATAGTTGACGAGACCCATAAAGTGTTGAATGTCTTTGCCAGGCTTGGGTTGTGGCCACATGGTAGCATTGTGAACCTTGCGAGCATCAAGATCAATACCTCTAGTGCTTACAGTAAAACCCAGTAATGATACGGAAGTTTGTGCAAAGTGACATTTCTGCAGATTGAGAATGAGATTGACATCTGTGAGCTTTTGAATAGCCATTTGAATGTGTTTAACATGGTCAGACATGTTAGTGGAAAAAACTACGATATTGTTGACAAATGCAGTGACATATGGAGTATCGTGATAAATCAAATTGACTACTCACTGAAACTTGGACGACAATGGCTTGAGACCAAAGGGACATCCTCGAAACATATACTGATTGCCTTCAAATGTGAATGTAGTCTTGTGTCTATCGTCTTCATGAATTTTGAATCGATGAAAGGCACTCTTGAGGTCTAGCGTAGTGAAGATTGTTGCACCCTGTAGTCTGTGAAAGAGTTCAGAGATGAGTGGCAGAGGGAATCTGTTGTCAGGTAGCAGAGTGTTGATAGCTCTGGGATCTAAGCAAGGACGCTTGCCTGTGGGATTACCAAACTCATCTTTTTTAGGAGCGAATGTAAGTGGGCTGTTCCACTTAGTATTGATGGGTGCCCTTTGTATGGTGCCATCAGTAAGCCATTGGTTTATATGTTTGGCCATCAGTGGAACAAGTTGTACAGCAATAGGACATTTCGTCTATAAACTACTTGACCTGGGGGCATTGGTAGTCATACAATAGATTCCTTAACTGTACAAAATGAAGTGATGGGTATGGCTTCATTGGCTTTAATAAAGGGTAGTAGAGCCTTTATGAATTGAGAATGTTCAGTAGGTGTACCAGCTGGTGAATTATTGAGCTTTTCTATTTCAGCTATGGGTGTAGGGGTCTGAGGTGTATTAGAACCGTACCAACTCTCTGCTAGTCCCAGTAAATGAATACCAAGGCTTGGCATTAAATCTGTACCAATACTAACATCTTTATTCTCAGCAAGATCCAAAACTTCAAAAGAATGTATAATGTGTTTGTTGTTATAAAAAAACTTTTATTGGTTTTGTTACTCCTAGTCTATGAGCTATAGCATTACTAGTGGCCAACACAATTTTCTCTTTGCGAGGAATTATTGACCACCCAAACTTGCTACAGAGCTTGGTGTTGACAGAGCTGATGGTGGCCCCAGTGTCTACCAGTGCCTGTAGTTTTTCCTTTTCTAAAGAAATAGGAATGAGATAGGAGTGAGTAGACTGTTTACTGAGATCTACGTGAGTGCCCATGTACTTACATGGGGAGCACTGTTCAAAGTTCATGTGCATGGACTGATCGTCCTCAGATGTGCTGACATCTGAGGGAGAACTGTTGTCAGAGACAGTGTGGGCAAAACGGATGGTGAAGTGGGGAGCAGAGCCCCTGAGAGAGCCAGACGCAGAACTGGAAGAGCTGAAGGAACCAGCAATGGAAGAACAGCAAAGTTTGTGGGACCAAACTTCACCACACCAACGGCAAGGAGCAGAACCAACGTACTTGTTGATGTAGGGGGCTTTTTCAACCCAATTGCCCCCTTTTGCTGCCAGTGCGTTCTTGAGGATGTGGCAGTCTTTGGAGTCATGGCTGCCCTTGCCATGGAGCGAGCACCTCTTGCTGGAAGAGTGCTCACGGCTCTGTGTGGCTTCATGGGAAGAACCAGGGGAGCGGGCAGAAGAGGTGGCAGCAGACATGCGGGTCGTCTGTTCTGGGCTGAGATGGCGGCCTTTGGGCACAGGGTCGTTGTGCAAGCTCATCAGAAAGACCTTGCTATAGATGAACTGGGCCAGAGAAGCAGCCTTGTCAATGGTGTCCCGTTTTTTCCTGGGCATGTTGACTTGTAGCAAGGAGACTTGTCTTGCCAGCTCAGGCAGAAGTGTGGCAGTGTATGCAATGGCTGCCTGTATGTTGTCTGCCACGTCAGCTTCCCAACGAACCCTTTGGTAACAGTCTGTGTAGTTGCTGACAGTTTCTGTAGGGCTCATTCTCATGAGCATCAGCTCATGTGTGAGCTGTACTTGATGCTCAAGGTTGTTGATTCCATATACCTTGATAAAGGCGTCGCGGACAAAGGACCAGGAAAGCTCGGGGGAACTACAAAGGTAGTTGTCATACCAGGAAAGCTGTTCTCTTAACAGAACAATGGGGAGTAGACAGTGCCAGTCCACATTAAGGTTCAGACTGTATGAGTGGAGCACATCCTCAAATTTGTCCAGGCACTCTTCAATGGACGAGTAGACCTTCTGGGTGCTGTCCTACTCGTTTCCTTGCCACTGAAGAACTGGTAGCTCACGAGGTACAACATGGGATTGGGGAGCAACTTGCTCAGTGCGGGCAGAACCAGAACGAAGCAAATGGGTGTGTGCTGGCATGAGGATAGCCAGATCGCCTTCTGTGGCCGCAATTGTCAGCCTTATTTGATTCTTGGTGTCCTCAGGCTGGTTTTGTTCAATGACATTGGCTAGGGCTATGGAAGCAGCAGCCAGGAGATCCCTAAGTCTGGTAATAGCCAACATGGACTTGTTGACCTGTTCATTGCTTGCAATTTCACTTGTGTTGAGGCTGCTCTGAACACTGGGGGCGGGAGACTGGTTTTCAGAAGACATGTTTTGATTGTGATAAGAGTTCACTGTAAAAAATGTTATATTTTTAGAAAAGAAAGAAAAACAAAGTGCAGACAAGAAGTATGTTGAGACTTTGTTTATTGATAAAAAGAAAGATGATCTTCTATTGCTATTTGCTATGTGAGTTTATATAGACATTGCATGTGTATTTAGGATAATGATATGAGTATATCATGTGATGTCTGTTTTCTTATATCATAGATAATATATTGTTAAGTTATTACCCACGCTCTTTTTTGAGTGATTAGTGATGTTGACTAAGGTGTGTGACCTTGTTATCGTTATATTCTTTATTTAATGATAGTGTGAGAAATAATGTATAATTGATACTGGTCACTTATTCAATATGTCTTTGTCTTATTGTCTGTGCACTCTATTTGAATCTACGATTATGTTGGATACAACACTGGCCTTGCAGTTCATTTTTATTCCATTCCACAGACTTATGTCATAAAAGTTAATAAAATATTTTTATCTTATATAGTATTTTACCTTCTATAGTATTGGTATGAATACCATCAGATGTAACATACTCAACATTGTGATTGACTGTTCTATGAGTATAGTTCATATCAACCACTGATGTCAATCCCCCATATGCAGCCCAGCAATCTGTGTGAATAATGCTATTGGGCTTTACATGCTTCTTTATCACTTGAAGTAGAGTTGCAGCATCTCTCTGAGGAACTGTCAGCAAAAATGTTTTTCGTTCTGCTGTTTTCTCAATACCCTCAGAACCCAAACACCTTCTACTCGATGTCCTTGGTGATATTTCCTCTTTCCAAATTTGCTTTCATCAATTTCAACAATAATGGATTGACCATTGGCATCAATACCTCCTATAAAAATATTTAATATATCTGTATATAGTTAACTCTTATAAACTTACTAATTCTCATATCATTGTTTGTTAAATCCATTTGAATCAATTGGTGAATACTAGCAATGAGATGTCTTATAGTTTCTGGAGAAACACCAAGCATAACTCCCATTGTCATTCTAGGAATCCAGTTTAACCAGTAATATATTCCTTGCATAACAACATTATAGGAAAGATGTCTTTGTGCAAAGAAAGAATCCAATCTTTCAGATTTTCTTTCTCTTTTACAACATGTTGCTCCCATGTTATTTACTCCACTGCATCTGTAACTGTAGCCTCTGTCTTTTTCAAATATATAGTCCATAGAACTGCCACCAGAACAAGTAAAAATAATATGATTTTGTGGATATAAAGCACTCTGTGCAATCAAATATCTTTATATATATTAAATATTAATATATAATAATTAAAAATAGCTTTTTTACTTACTGTTTTGCAAATTCAGATGTATATGTTAACGCCATAACATAGCTCAAAGGAGGAATAGATAATAGACGAACTGATAAAAAAGATTAATTATTCATTTCAAAATAAATAAAGTAGAAATAAAAGAAAAGAAAGCAAAAAAAAACAAATAAATATAATATTTAAACAAAATAAAAGCCACCAAAAAAACTTTTCTGTGACGTGGCACGTGACTAAACCACACAAACTATTATTTATAAGATTATAACACTTAAAATAGATACTAGAAACTTTATAATTACATTTTCTCTATCAATTTGTGACATTATGTGATGCTTAAATTGAATCTATATAGCTTACATTCACGGCATTGTTTTAAGTATATGAACGTCACTTGAAGTCACAAATTGATAGAGAAAACAAACATTAAAATAATTAATAATAATGATTTAAATATGTTATATTTCACTAAATATTGATATGTCTCTTGTGAGAATTGAACTGGTGATCTATAGATTGCTTTATGACACTGTAAGCAAAGGGTGGAGTTTGAATTTGGAGCTTTAAAAGCCCATAAACCTTCAGAAATCCCAAAAAGCTTGGGCAAGAGCATGTTTGAATCAAGTTATTGATTACAAGCACACTATACTACAAATCTTCCGATATGAACGACTTGATCTTCCACTTCCCATCAGAGTCATCCATACTGTTTCTAATCTCATCAGACGGGCTGATGATCATAGTAGGGAGTATATCCTCTTGAATCTGGGAGGCTGCATAAGAGTGCCAAGATAGCTTGTTCTCAACTGGCCCCATTCTTCCATTGTTGATGTGAATTCTTTCCACTTCTTCACTGTAGAAAAATTCAATATCATCTGTCAAAATGAAAACCAAACGGTCTAGTCTTCTAACACACGCACGATTCATATATATCGTCTTGAGCTGATTGTGCCATGGTTCAATATAATTGTTGGTCAGGTATTGTAGATGGCTGGGCTGTATGTACAGTCTTTCCCATCTTCTCAACAACTCCATTGTTCCTGCCCACCTTTGTTCAAAATACTAGAGAAATTGATTTTGACTCTGAATACGTTCTGTAAAGTAGTCAATTTTCTCCAGGAACATCTCCTCATCAGATTCAACAAGAATATCTTTCAGATCATTCTTTAAATCTTGCTTGTACTTTCCAAGCTGCTCTGATGTGTATGACGCATCTAACTTCACTTTGCTGTCATGATTTTGCTGCCAGGCACAAAGAACATGAAAGTTGCAAAAGTGGATTGCAGCTTGAGGCAGCACTGCTGTGATAGCATTGATCTCAGCTATGCTACAATCAATGGCAATGTTTGTAGATGTAAATCCACTATTTGTGTAGAGGTGTACCAGCCATTGATCTATAGGGGTGGCACTATGATCATTTGTGATCATGTATGTTATTGGCATGTCTTTGCCTGTTTCCGGATGGTGTGTGACGATTGAGTAAAGAACTTCCATACTTCTTGCAGAGATTCCATGAGTAGCATCAATGCAAACTGACTTGGAAATTGTCATGAGTGCAATTTGGGAGGGTGATTGAAATCCAAATGCAAAAGGCAACAAAGAGGCATTAAAGGATAATAGCTGGGCAGTGAAGATACAGTAATTTTGGGAGGGCAACCTTTCATTCATCCAGATTGCTAGAGATCTGTCTTCATCTGAATGAAACATGTATAACAGATTCTTCAACTATATTTTTATTTAACACTTGTTTAAAGACTTTCTTAATATTTAATCACACATCTTTTTCATTCTGTTATACACATCTTCATAGTTGGGCTTTCTAATACTTACACCCCATTCCTCAATCCGGTTTAGAACAGAAATTCTAGTATTTCTACAATTGCTTCCTCCTTTAAGAAGATTCTCAATCATTTTGATAGCTTTAGAAGACAAAGGCAAAGTTCTAAGGTCTGATTTGTTTCCAGGAACATGATTTGTATAATCTGCTGACATGCAAAAAGTAACAACATCTGAGCTGACATATTGCTTAATGTGAAGAAAAGCAGAACATCCACAACGCTTCGAATCCTTTTGTGCTAAACAGTGAGTACGCTTTGTTTCATATTTGCCTCCACAATGATATCATCTTGTCTCTGAAAACACCAAATCGTTTGAGATACACAAATCTCTTTTCTTTACCCACTTTGTTGAACAAAGTTTGTGAATGAGATCGAGACATTCCTGCCATTCACTGGCTCTAACTGACACTATTGTTTTTAATGGAAGCATTTTTATTTCTCTAAAAGGCGAGTCGACCAATGCATTCTGCATATTGGACAGGTTGTAGGTAGTGTTGGACATTGTGAAACTTGTGTTTATGATATAATATTTGTATTCAAAATAAAGGGGAGCAAGAGAAAAAAAAATAAAAAAATGTTTTAATAAAAGCCACTCTTCAAAAGCACTGTTTGTAAAAGCCACAAAGCTATGTTCAATTCAATCTCATCAAGGAAAAAAATAGTGGACCTCCCCCAAAAGAATTAAAACTCAAAGGGAATAAAAAAGTAATTCCATCAACAGTAGTGCAAGTGCAAATTGTGTGTTCCCCCAAGTCGCACAATCAGCCCAAACCCTCATCAGTATCTATGGCCGTCCTGTTAAAACCATCAGTGGTCATACTATTAATATCAATCAAAAGGCTACTCTTTCATTATTTTTCAATAGCTATATTGATACAGTTGATGTCTATGTTTTTCCTACAAAATTTGATCTCATTCTTGGCCAAGCATGGTTATAGCAGGCAAAACCTATTCTCAACTGGCAATCTGATAACTGGTACTTAAATTGTGATGGTGTAGAATTCGTCCTCCACCTACAAGGCTCTCTGAAAATGAAACTGCAACTTAACTATTCGATTTCTGCTAAGCAAGCACAGAAACTCGTTGGGAAGGTGGAGACTGCATGCTATTTTTTATACATCAAGGGTGAAATGAATAAAAAAAAACAACGATTCTCAATAGGACAACCTTGTCAAGGAATTAAGCAATGTTTCCCAAGATAGCTTATCTGATTTACCTCTAGATTGAGATGTGAAACATGTAATCAATACTGGGGATGCGTACCCAACAAACAAATTACCATTCACAATGAGTCCACATGAACAGGACGAATTAAAAAAGCAATTAAAAGAACTACTTGACCTTGGTCTGATCTGCTCAAGCTCATTACCATGGGGTGCACCAATTTTGTTTGTAAAGAAAAAGAACGGAGAGATGTGTATGTGCATTGACTACAGAGCATTAAACAAGATTACTATCAGAAACAATCATCTGCTGCTGCGAATTGACAAATGCCTGGAATGTCTTAAAGACGCCAACTATTTCACAAGCTTAGATCTACATAGTGGTTGCCATCAAGTCCGCATACAGCAATCTGATGTCCCAAAAAACACTTTCAATACAAGATACAGGCAATACAAGTTTCTGGTACTTCCTTTTGATTTGACTAATGCCCTGCCTACTTTTCAACAATTGATGAACAATGTTCTTGGAGATTGCCTCACTGAATTTGCATTGGTCTATCTGGATGATATCCTTATTTTTAGCAAGACATGAGAAGATCACAAAAAACACGTTCATCATATACTAAACCGCCTGAGAGATGCCAAGTTAATTGCAAGCCAGAAGAAGTGCAAATTCAACAAGAATGAACTTACTTTTCCAGGCTTCCAAGTTTCTGCCAAAGGCATCCTTCCCTCTTCTGAAAAAATCAAGACAATACAAGACTGGAGCCCGCCAACAAATGTTCCAGAGGTTAGGCAGTTTATTGGATTTGCTCAACATTACTGTCGATTCCTACCTGGGTTTGCTGGAATTGCCTCTCTATTAACTGATTTAACAAAAGATGCTGGTCCAAAAAGATGCCCGATCGTATGGACAGAGGTTTGCCAGACTAGTTTTGATATACTGAAAAAGAAACTCAGTTCTGCTCCCATCCTCTTGGCCCCTGAATTGAAAAAAAGTTTTTGCATTGAAACTGATGCATCGGATTTTAGTGTTGGTGCCATGTTGCTACAAGAAGATGAAAAAGGAGTCTGGAAGCCCCTAGCCTACGAATCAAAGAAATTATCTAGTGCCAAAAGATCATACCCTGCCCAAAAATGTGAGCTACTTGGAATCTTGCATGCACTACGCACATGGCGTTGCATGATTGAGAGAAAGCCATTTACTGTGTTTACAGACCTGTGAAGTTTTATAGAATAAAATCAACAGTAAAAAGATTGAGACGTATATAAAAATACTTTGAGACTGTATATAGGTTGTCTTTATTAAAGAATACAAAGTTGTCCTTTTTATATCAAAACACGATCTGCTTTGTCAGTCACATCTTAATTTCTTAAGTCTGAGTTCATTTAGATATTAGAGAGCTGGTACTGCTATGTTTATAATTTAATCTAATTGCAGTGTCCTCATATTAACTCAGTGCTTACTGAGCTGTCATAATTACAGTACTTACTGTAATTAATTATTGGTCTTATTGATTTACCATAAGTAAAATAAATAAATTATTCATTTGTTCTTGTAATGATAGCTGTTTTACTATAATAATAGGAATATGTTCTTAGATGTAATAAATCCAACAACCAAGTGTCTGGATCACCACAAGACCATCTTCCACTTAAATATTTCCAAAGTCAAGTAAAGCCTACTGCAAGACTAGTGCAGTGGATTTCCAAGTTTGAATTGTATGACCCTATAATACAGTATAAGCCTGAAAAAGAAAATGGTGTCCCAGATGTTCTTTCCCAACTAGATGGTCCAGAGTGCAATGTATCAGATGTGGAAGCAATGGAGCCCAATTATCTATATGCTATGCCTACATCTGACACTGCCAACTGGCCAAAGTTTTATACTTGCCCCAAAAATGACTGGCTGGAAGATATTAAGGATTTCCTCACAAATCCGTGCAAAAACTTTGTGGTTTGTGACCAAAAGGTATTTAGACTTGTAAAGATTGGTGCCACTGTTCAAGAAATAAGATTTGCCTTGTTCTCCAAGTGCACTGATTTGGTCAATAGCTTTCACACTGGGTTTGGACATGCTGGAGAAACCACAGTATATGACTTAATGAAGAAATGTTGTTGGTGGCCTGGTATGAGAAGTCAAATTTAAGAATGGCTTACCAAGTGTCCAGAGTGCCAGTTAGCCTTGAATGCCAAGCGAAATATTTACTATACTCCAATGATACCCCTAGATGTGCCTTCTGTGTTCTCTCATTGGCATCTAGATTTTATTGGTGAATTACTGACCTCTACACATAGTAACCGTTTGATTTTTGTTGCTGTTGATTATGCTACAAACTGGCCAATTGCTTGTGCTGTCTCTGATGCTACTGGTGAAGCTATTGCCACATTTTTATATGAAGAATTTGTGATGCGTTTTGGTTATCCTAACAAAATTCTAACTGATCGTGATCCAAATTTCATGTCTCAGATCCTCAGTTATTATATCAAGAAAATCAAGCTGCACCATAAGTTAACTTCTGCTTTCTACCCACGAACAAATGGTAAATGTGAACGCCTTAATGGTATCCTTAAGCAGATGTTATGCAAGTATGTAAATGAAGCTATTCATTGCTGGGACGAGTATCTGGACTCTGCATTGTTGGCTTGTCAAATTCGTAAGCATTGTACCACTGGTTTTAGTCCATTTTTCTTGACATATGGCCATGAACCACGATTGCCTGATGATTTCTTGAGACTGTCTCTTGATTCTGCACTTCCCAATGATCCCCAAGTTTTGGCTGACAGTTCTATTCCTTTTTTGCATCAACAAGACAAGGATTGTTGGGATTCGATTATGAAGCCACATCAATTTTCTATTGGTGAACACTTACTACTTCGTCATGAGAATAAATTTGGTCTAGAATACAACTGGATGGGACCTTACATTGTTGTCAATAAAAACACTGAAACCAATATTTATAAAATCACTACTATGGAAGGCGTCCCCTATTAATCCTGAGTTCATGCTGATAGGGTGCACCTTTTTTATAATAGACAATTTTTGAAAAGAGAACATTTTTGGAATTTAAGTACCGATTCCAAAATAGTATTTTTAAAGTCAGAGATGTGATATTTATTGATTTAATCTCAGCTTATAATGAGATTTGTGAAGCTTTGAGAATTGTTTCACGATTTCAAATGCATGTTCAGTATCATGACCAAGACTGTAGGCATTAATGTAGGCAAAACTTTTGTGGAAGTATCTTCGAATCTTTTCAGGGACATCATCTTCTGGTAGGCAAACACTATCCAGAAATGAATTGATTTTTCTATTCAATGATTGAAAAGAATAATCACATTCACGTTGTGCTTCTTTCTTGGCTGCTCCCCAGTATCTTTTGATCCAATTACATTCACAGTGATATTTTGGATACAGTTCAAATTTGTGTCCACTGCCTTCAACTATTTCTTTGAGTGCTGATTTTTGGTTGGCAAAGTCTGGTTGTCTCTCCATAATATAAATTGCACAACATCTAGAATCAGCTGTCATGACATTATTGCAAGAACTTTTTAAAGAGTATCTCTCTGCTTCGTTTATATACATAGAACGTTGCTGTAATATGCCGCAAAGGCCAATGAAATATTTTTTGTATTTTTTATTCTAAGTATGAATAGTTTATAGACACGTTTTTTAGCATAAAGTGATCCCTTATTGTAATTGTATAAATTATGTTTTTATTTGGATAGGATTGTATATAAATCACTTACTTTATAAAGCCAAGACTCAATTACTTCATATTCTTTAAGTTTTTCTTCATTACTCTTTTTTTGAAAAAAAAACTTTTTACTGTTCTGCATAGTCGTATTGCTTTCTGACATAAAATGAGCTGTCACGAAATTTTCCCTGGCCTGAGTCACTGTCTTTTACTTCAATTGCACACAAGTTCATATTTTGTGCCAAAAGAGCGTCTTCAGGATAGGTTTTATGATGGCTGCCTTGATCAAAAAGAAAGACAGCTACTGCATTTGGGTGTATGGCATTGAAAAGAGGTATTATATCTGTAAGCTGGACGCACATATGACTACTTTTCCAATAGCCTTCATATTGAGCTCCAGGATAAAATACCACTTGCAAAGTTTTGTACTGGTCTCTTACATATTCTCTCATTGTTCCATGACAAGGGCATTGGAACCCGAAGATCATTATTGATCTACTCTCAGACTTTGGCAAACAATAACTTTCACCATCTTCCACCCAGGCGTACTTTTGATAGTCATTAGCATAGAATGTACTTTTGTCATGTGTGACAAATACATGCTGTTTGACACCTTCTGGCAATTGAGAATATGACACAAGAGAAGGTGTAACATTGTCATTTTTCTCAGAGTATTGATAGTATTCCATTATGCGTTTGCTCCATGTATTTCTATAAGAAAGCACATCCTTGCGTTTATGCCCATCAAAGTATACAACTTTTCCTGTAAAATAAACATGAGTTATATTAATGTGACATTCTATTTTTATAGAGAAAACCACACTCTGGTTTTCTATATTTGCCTACCTAAATGATTAAAATGAAATCCTCAAGATATCAGCTTTCGTCTTAGACAATCTGTAGACAATGGCTTAATTGCACTATTTTTGATCTCTAACTCATCTGATAGTAAGCTGCTACCAATGGCCTTAGGCAGAATGACTTCTTTCAAGTGAACTGAAAGTCCAGCAATACTTCTTTTAGCTCTTGGCTAACCTCTGAACCATTCGAGTATTTGCTACTTGATGTCTTCATTATCAAGAACAGAGACACGTTTGGCATGCTTGCCTTGTGTACCAAGACTGATTCGTCTAGTCTCCAAATACTTCTTTGCATGTTGGCAAATCTTATGGGCTCTGTACCAAGCAGATTTTTGCTTGTATACAATGTCGCTTACAAACTTAGAAGCTGTCATTTTCTTCATGTCCATATTGATCAAAGCATATAAGTAATGATATGCTTCTTTGTACTTTCCTATCTCTGCTACACCAAGTTTTTGCTGCTCTGAAGTCAAACTGATGACAGATACTGCGAACTTTGACAAGTCAATGATTGCATCTTTTACTCTGCTTTTGAACTCTTCCTTTGACTCGACTTCATCTGCACTATCACTTTCTTCATCCAATTCAATTTCTGTCTCAGCAGAAGAAGAGTTTGTGATAGGCAAAAAAAAAGGAGTCAACTCTAGCACTTCCTTTTGCTGCTTCTCTTTCTGCCTTTTTCAGTCTACAAACATGTCGAGATAAGTATGATAAATGATTGCAACTGTATTTTCCATTGAGAGCATCTTCAGCTTTTTTGGTCCAAGAAAGTCCGAGATTTTTGACATCACTGCCAGAAGATTCCAAAATCTCAGAGGTAGGATCAACTTCCTTTCTAACTAACTCTACACTTTTGCTCTGAGAGTGAGAAAGTCTTTTAGCAGCAGCTTTTTGAGATAAAGCTCTCATTTTAGAATTGATTGTTGACATTGTCGATTGTGTTTTTATCAGGAACAAATTGTTTTTTTTAAAATAGATTGTCTTATTTAGTAACGTTTTACATTATGTAAGTTGATAAAGAACTCAGTTGGTTATATTATTGGTTGAAAAATGAAGCCATCATTTTGGCCACACTGCTTAAACACTGAGATGTTACCTTGTTTAAAAAAATATTTTTGCAGAAAAGTAGTAGATGTCTCACCACAAAGAGTTTCTAAATAGCATTAAGAGTATATTAAAGCAAACAGAACTCAAGAATATTAAGATTCCAGAAAGCCTTTTGGCTTTCTAGTTTTATTAATAAAAAATACACACTATAAAAAGATACATTATATGTTACGCAAATATCAAATTAAAACCCAGGTATCATTATTATTGGCCAGAAAATGAGGACATTTTTTGAGACTCCCTACTTAAATATCGAAACATTATCTTGCTTAAAGTTTTTTTTTGCAGAGAAATAAAAGAAGTCTTACTGCAGAGATCTTGTAAATAGTAAAGCAAACGACTCAGTGGTAACAAAATTCAAAAAAATTAAGATCCCATAAAGCCTTATGGTTTTCTAATTTTACATATAAAAATTGTCGATTATAAAAAAGGTGCACCCTAGACTGAAAATTGCAAAATCTGACGATTTTAACAAGACTTGGTATCACCCCACCATTTCCTGTTGCTGTATCCAATATAATCATACGTTCAAATAGAGCACACAGACAATAACACAAAGACATATTGAATAAGCAACCAGTATCAATTATACATTATTTCTCACACTATCATGAAATAAAGAATATACCAATAACAAGATCACACACCTTAGTCAACATCACTAATCACTTAAACAAGAGCGTGGGTAATAACTTAACAATATATTATCTATGATATAAGAAAACAGACATCACATGATATACTCATATCATTATCTTAAATACACACACAATGTCTATATAAACTCACATAGCAAATAGCAATAGAAGATCATCTCTCTTTTCATCAATAAACAAAGTCTCACCATACTTTTCGTCTGCACTTTGTTTTTCTTTCTTTTTCTAAAAATATAACACCCGTGCCCAAATGCACCATGATAACACTCTTGATTCCATCTCTCCTTTGGCGTTTTCTCTCTTGGACTCTATTTTGGTTGATTGAGAACTATCAACAGTTTTGGAAGGGGGTGATGTTGTGCTTAATTTTGGTAATACAAGTTCTAGTAACTTGTTCTTACAAAAGAAGCAGGAATTAGAATGATTATTCATCAGTTTATAATTTTAGAAATTTGTAATCAACTTATAATAATTTTTAATATTACTAGACACTACTTGAGTGTAGTCAAAGATGAATAATCATTTCAAAAAGTATATAAGATAACCCATAGCAAAATAATAAAAATCATTTTTATCCTCTCTCTTATTTGCTTACTCCTATGTTATTTGTCAAGTCTCAACTGGGTATATCTTTCTATTATTTTAACTTGTATAGGTTTTGATAATAGATCACCACCAACTAGGACGTTGTGAATAAATAGGAACAGATAGGAATATAGAGAATTAAATGCTTTTTATTGATATAAATATTGGAGTATTTATACAGATTTCTTAAAAGTGAAACTATCTAATCTAATTATTTTATCCAAGACATATTGGTTTTACATTTATGAAAGGCAATATAATATGTCTTGGTTAATAAAAAGGGGAACCAATTGGTATAACATTGAGGGTATATGTTAAAAAAATAACCAATTAGATACCTGACTTAAGGATTTTTATTCACAATGTCAACTCTGACATATTAAAGTATCATTCCTGATCTAGGCTATCTTCCAATTCACTGTAAACATAGCCAAATTGGTCAAGCTTTAATAACACAGGAGTAAGCAAATAAGAGAGAGGATAAAAAAATGATTTTTATTATTTTGCTATGGGTTATCTTATATACTTTTTGAAATGATTATTCATCTTTGACTACACTCAAGTAGTGTTTAGTAAGAGTATTCGTAGCAGTAGCATTTTAATTAGTATTAAATTGAGTGCTCATAAGCCACATCTGAGGTTAAAAACAGTCGAAAAAGCAAGAATAAAAAATCAGTAGCATTAAAAGATGAGCATTTAAATAATTATACTGCTATATATCATTTTTTTCAGTAACTTTTTTTTTATTCTTTTCTTTACTATCTTTTGATTACAATTTTCTAAGCTTCTAAATTCAATTTTATAAAATTGGACAAAGACTTTGATTCTATGATGCTTGAAAAAGAAGAATGCGATGCAGGAATGGCAGCAATGCTTCAAACCTACATTATTGACACCATGAAGCATCATTTTTCAGAACTGAGCACAAATGAGAAAAAGGAAAAGAAGACCTGTAAATTGATATTTCGTGACAGAATTTTCAGTGACTGTCAGTTGAACAAAGACTACTTTGACAAAAACTGGGTCTATAATGAAGAACAGTTTTGTAGACGGTATAGACTGAGCAAAACCTTGTTCAAACGTATCGTTGAGGGTATAAAAAGCATGATAGCTACTTCATACAGAAAGCTAATGCAGCCCGCACCCTTGGATTCTCTTCTTTCCAGAAGGTATCTGTAGCTCTTCATCAGCTTGCATATGAACTTCTTGTGGATTCTCTAAACAAAACGTTCAGAATGGCATAGGCAACCTCTCTGTAGTATTTGAGGCATTTCTGCTCTGCAGTTGTGAAAGTTTATGGGAAGGAGTACCTGAGATCGCCAAATCAGAATGACATTGAGAGACTTCTGGCAGAGGGTGATTCCAGAGGGTTTCCTGGTATGATGGGCTTGCTGGACTGTATGCACTGGGAATGGAAGAACTGTCCAACTTCCTGGCATGGATTATATGTCAGAAAGGAGAAAACTGCAACAATTGTGTTAGAAGTCATTGTCTCCTACGACTTATGGATATGGCATGCTTTTTTTGGAATGCCTGGTCTCGTTAATGACATTAATGTCTTAGAAAGATCTCCTCTTTTTGAGGATCTTGCTGGTAGACAAGGTCTAGTGATTAAATATACAGTCAATGGTAACCAGTATAAGATAGGATATTACCTGACAGATGGTATATACCCTGCGTATGCTGCTTTTGTAAAGAGCTTTAATGATTCTCAGTCTGCAAAAGAGAAGGTAATAAATTATATGCTATACTCTGAATTCTCTTAACTAATCACTTCTCTTTTTTCAAGAACTTTGCCAAGGTGCAAGAAGCAGCACAGAAAGATGTAGAGAAAGTGTTTGGCGTGTTGCAGTTGCACTTTGCAATAGTTGCAGAACCTGCAAGAATGTGGAAGCATGATACTCTTAAGAGTATCATGACTATATATATATAATTCTGCACAACATGATTGTCGAGGATGAGAGACAGCAGAGACTTGAATGAATAGACGTAGATGTGATGGCAGAAGAAAGGTTGGAAATGCAGAATATCTTGACTAGGATGCCAACTCTTCTTTCTAGATCGGAGATCTTCCTTCTGAATGGAAGCTTTGCTAGTTGTCTTCAAAGGCATTTAGAAATTCGGGACCAGGAGAAACACTTTCAGTTAAGACAAGATCTTATGGATAGCCTATAAAAAAGAGAAGGAGAAAAACAAAAAAAATACATTTAAATATTTATATTTTATTTTTTGCAAATCAATTGCTGTCAAGAACTACAACATCACTGCTACTATCATTGTTATTGATGGCAGGCTCATCCCATATACCCCTCTCTCTAATCTTCAGTTGCTGGTCCATAATCATCTGGCGGTCTCTAGGATTTTCAATGGAGAGAGGGTTCATGAACAAGACACGGAGGTCCTCAACCCTTTGAAGTGCTGAGGTATGTATTTTCAGAGCCAGTGTATTGTTCTCATAGGCTCTGATCTTCTTCTGAACATTTATTGCATTTTTTCGATCAACTCAGCACATCGTTTGCCCTTTTTCATCATCTCAGCTTGCACAGAGAGAGCCTTTTTGAGCTGCTTTTCCTGCATCTTCTGTTCTGCCACTTGGGTCTTCACTTGTTTCCTTCCTATAGGACGAGATCCAGCCTCTTCTTCTTCTTTTTCTTCTTCTTCTTCTTCTCCATCTTCTTCCTCATCTTTGGCACCACCAACAGTAGCGAGGGCAGAGCTTACCACCTTGCCCTTTCCAAACTGTTTTTTATGTGACACCTTGAGCTTTGGTTTTCTAGCCTCCCATTTCAGGTGCTTGGACAAGATGTTGTAACAATGAACAAGATTGAAGTTTGTTCCTGTTTCAGCAAAGTACATTTGCTTTGCTTTTGACTCCTAAACTTTTACTTAACTACTGTGTACATCATCATATATATTGTTTACATATTAATTATTTACATCTGATTCTTCATTTGAGCCACTTGATTGCATCCCTCTCACTTGAGACAAAAGCCCAGCATATTTACTGACTACCCTGTTAATGATATGCCAACGAGCAGGCAAAGCACACTTATCATGCTTAATAGCATCTTTACCCAAGGACTCGTGATAATAAAAGCTTATTCTTGACCAAAAATTTTCACTCTTTTGCTCAACGCAACTGACAGCATCCAAGGCAACGAAAAAATATGAGCAGCAAAGTTGTTTGTCTTCTTGGACAGAGAACTTCTTTTTTAGGAAACTTTTCTATTTTATATAAGTATTAAAAGTATTTTTTTATCAGTTACAGGAACAGAGTTCTTTACTTTAGTATCACATATAAGCTGCTTTGAATAGAAAAACTACTTTTGTCAGAAATTCTAGACTCATCATTGGAATTGGTAATGGGTGGGGTGCTCATTTTTTAAAAAAAAACTTTATTAATTTTTTGATTTTTGGTGGAAGGAAAAAGAAATAAGAAAATTTAAATGCTCAGCAAGTTTTTAAATTAAGCATCTATTTCATTGCTTAAGATCATAAAAATCACAGAGCATGGAATTAGATGCTGTTGGAAATGCTACTGCTGCAGACCACTTTTTCCAAAAAGCATTTACAAAAAGCACTTAAATCGGGAAAACTGAATTTAAATGCTACTGCTACAGATGCTCTAATATTACAAATTATTATAAGTTGATTACAAATTTCTAAAATTACAAACTGATCAATAATCATTCTAATTCCTGCTTTTTTTGTAAGAACAAGTCACTAGAACTTGTATCACTAAAATTAAGCATGACAAAAGCTTGACTAATTCGATTATGTTTACTGTCAAGTCTCGATCTGGTATTTCTTATCTGACACTTGTAACTTAGTCACAGAATCAATACCACTGGGAATTGTCAAGTTTTAAGAATAGTTTTTTTGATAAGAATAAAGATGCTTTTTATTACTTATATTTCTTGACTATTTATACAAAATGATGTTTGATTTCTGGCTAAAAGAATAGCTACAATAATATGTTTTAGATGCTTGATGTCTAGTAATATCTTCTACAAGTATATTCACCATCTTAAACATCTAAAACATATACAGGAGACTAATTGGCAATGTCAAGATCTTTTACCCTAAAAAGCCAACCATTACTGATTGCTTGGAATTCCTGATTTTAGACACCGATGTCAACTCTGACTGGTGACAGTAATTCCCCAATCAGAAAAGCAAGTCACACATTTATTTTCATTTTTTTCATTTGGGCAAACTTTTATTATGCGCTTACCCCTTAATATTTTTTTTCCAAACACACCTTTTTTACCAAATCTCAAAATGTCAACCTTTAATATTGCTGCTAATTACAACAATTGCATAATTCCAGATTATATAGAAGCTGTCGACTCCTTTGATCTTTCATCTGAAGATGAATTTACAAATTGGTTAAATGATATAGCTAAAAAACATGACAATTGGGTTTATCATCGATCTTACAGTCATGAGAAGAACATGGTCTTCGTTGGGAAGCCTCTTGAAAATCCTCTCAAAGTAAAGACAGTAGTTTACTTGTGTTATCATGCTGGAAAACCACAAGTCAAAAAAAAACTTCTCAGCCTGCTCAGAAATGCGTCAGAACAACCAAGTCCATCAAGATTGGTTGTCCTGCTAGTATCTATAAGCATACCATGACTGATGATACTGTTTGTATCAAATACAACTGGCAGCACCCAAATCATGATCCATTTAAGATTGAAGAAATCAGTTCGTCAAGATTGCCAGATGAATTAAAACAATGGGTAGAAGGGCTTGTCAGCAAAAACATGGATTGGAAATCCATCAAAAACATGTTTAGAATGAGTGAAGACAGACTTCTTGAAGTAAATATTATGTAGTATATTTTGAGACACTTTCCTTATTTAAAATTACATAGCTTGAACAAGCTGGCAATAGTTCTTTTTTCCCTTCTTCTCTTCTCATTGATTATCAATATGTGAGAAATGTTATCAATGCTGAAATAATGAAACTCTCAAGAAAACATGTGGATCATTATGAAAGTGTCAAACTGTGGGTTCAAGAGTTGAATGAAAGTGAAATTACTACTCTTTTTACAGTTCATAAGAATGTTTTCTTCCTTGTTTCGTGGGTTTCTGAGTGGCAGAAAGGAATAAATAATATGTATTATTTATATTTTATTCTATACATCTATTTATACATCTTATTATTGTATTAGTTTCTGGAGAATTCAGAAGAGTGGTGCATTGACTCAACATACAAAACAAGCAAGTCATTCAATACTGTAGCTGGTAAAGAACCTGAAGATTGCTTTGTGTTTACAATTACTGTGCAAAATCCTATCACTAATAAGGGATTGCCTGTCTGCTTCTTTATAACTGATCATGAATATACCTCAACCTTGAGTCAATGGTTAACATGGGTAAAGAACACCTTTACATTAAAGATGAAAAGAATAATAATTGACTGCAGCCCTATCGAAATTAGTGCAATTGAAGAAGTCTTTGGCAATAGTGTTAATATCCTGTTATGTCATTGACATATTAAAAGAGCATGGGAAGTTAATGTAAAGAAGCATATAAATAGTATATTTATTTAAAATTGTGTATATCTCATCACTGCAAAAACAGATCAATTTCGCATATGTAAAGTATACCTAAGTTCTGATAGACAGAATAGGTAAAATTGTAGTTCAGCTCACTTTTGTGAGTAAAGTATTTGAATAGTATTTTAAGCTACTCTATTGGCTACTGGCAGCTGTGTAGCATTAGAATGCAACATCAAACTCAAATAAAATAAAAGTGTGTTTTCTTTGTAGTCTCTTTCTTTACTATTAAATACTATTGTAAACCTTTCTTTTCATTTTAAAATGGCTCCTATTCGCAAACCAACTGTTAGAAAAGAGTGTCAATGCTCTATCTGTAAAAGCAAGACACTAGGATTCGATCGTGTATCTGTTAAAACATTTAAACGTCATCAAGAAAAAGATAATCATGATATTACACATGTTCAAACGCGTATGGTTAATACATTTGCTTTACTTTACTTTATTTTATTTTATTTTATATCATTTCCTTTTTTATTATTTTATATAATAATAATAATAATAATAATAATAATAATAATAATAACACTAATAATAATAAATGTGTAGCCCATGAAGACACATGCGATACAATTAGTAGTGCTGTTTCTGAGCCTGTAAATCAAGAGGAAGATAGTTTTGAATTTGAACAGGAAGATGTTGAAATGAATTCTGAGCTTAGAAGTAAGAAAACTTATTTTATTACATTGATTTATTTGGGTCTAACATTCCGCTATTGTAGATCTAAATGACACAAATGACATTTTGGATATACGGACAAGAAACCAACCTTTCTCTGAAACGGATTGCGTGTTTGGCCCTGAAGATAATGTCCAGTATACAAGTGACACTTATGAAGAAAAATATGAAGATGAATCCGATGTTGAGATGGACAATGATGAAGGTAGGTACACAGCTTTAGATAATAGTATATCCTAGAAAATAGAGAGTTAATCAACGTTCTTTAAAAAAAATCAAATTAAAGATTCTTCGTTGGAATCAATCTCGGAATTGAATTTGATTCACCGATTCATTGTTATTTCGGTTGCTCTTTTTGTCTCGCTATACGTCGTAGATGAAGGTGCTGTAATCCTGATTGCCATAATCAACAAGATACTGCAGTTTTTGTTTGACCCATTCCGCCTTCCAGTGAGTGTTGCTGGCCTCAAACGTTTGGCCGGATTTGAAGCGTTGACAAGTGGTGTCAAGAAGTATGTTGCATGTAGCGAATGCCATGCCATATATGATAATGAAGCCGCCCCTTTGTGTTGTACATCACCCAATTTTAGTAAAACCTCCTTGTGTGGCAACAGTTTGTTTAAGTCTGGTCCCAGATCAAAAGCACCTAAAAAGACATATGTATTCCACTCCGTCAAGAAAGCCCTAAAGACGTTTTTTCAATGCCCAGATTTTGAAAACAAGATCAACTCATGGAACCGCGGCCCGAAAATGGATAGCACTTTGTTTGACGTGTACGGTGGTGCGATGTGGAATGAGATAGTAGACATAGATGGTATACCTTTTGTTGATACCGAGCAATCACTCATGCTCACGCTGAACATTGACTGGTTTCAGCCATTTGATGGTGTTACCTACTCCTGTGGTGCCATATATCTTGCAATCAATAATCTTCCACGCAGTGAGCGGTTCAAGAAGGAGAACGTGATTCTTGTTGGGTTAATGCCAGGGCCTAAAGAAGCAAGCACTTCTGACATAAATAACTATCTGAAACCGCTTGTGGATGAGTTGATGGAGCTGTACAAAGGTATTAAGATTAAGACTCACCAATGTCCAAATGGTACTTCTATCCGAGCAGCCCTTCTCATGGTTGCCTGTGATATACCTGCTGCAAGGAAAGTATGTGGGTTCATATCCCATACAAGTACAAATGCATGCCACAAGTGTAAGCGTCAATTTTCGAGGTTGGCTGGAACGAGTTCCGTTGATTATTCTGGATTTGATTTCTCAAAGTGGCTCCTTCGCACTAAGAATGACAATCGTAAGGATGCAGAGATCTGGAGAAATGCAACCAAACCAACTAAGAGACAGCGTCTTGAAGTTGCACATGGTGTTCGTTGGTCCGAACTGCATCGTCTTCAGTACTTTGACATTGTCCGCTGCACAATCATCGATCCCATGCACAATCTTTTCTTAGGCACTGCCAAAAGAATGCTGGAGAGATGGGTTGCGGATGGATTAATCGATGATAAAAAACTCGTTGCCATGCAAAAGGCTGTTGAGAAGGTAGTGCTGCCGCCCGATTACACGTCACTTGGGACAAAGATTGCCAAGGGATTTCCCTATATGAAGGCTGATGAGTGGAAGTCTTGGTGCCTTGTGTACTCTCCTGTGGTTCTAAGGGATGTGTTGCCGTTGCCAGAGTTCAAGAACTGGATAGAGTTTGTTAACGCATGCAGATACTTCACCAAGCCTAGTGTTTCTGAAGAAGACATTGAGAAAGGACACAAATGCTTAGAAGAATTCTGTAAAGGGTGTGAGACATTGTACGACCTGGACCTTCTCTCTCCCAACATGCACCTGCATCTGCACTTACGCCAAACAATGATTGACTTTGGGCCCGTCTATGGCTATTGGCTTTTCAGCTTTGAAAGGTACAATAGTGTCCTGAAAAATATCAAGACCAATCGAAGAAACGGGTTCGAATCGACATTTATGAGACAGTTTATTGAAGAGTCGTGGAAGGGAGATTTTGTGCGTCGACTTCTGAAACCTATGCATGCACTTGCATGTTTTGAAATTTTTGATAAGTTCACCACCAACAACAACAACACCAACACCAACACCAACACTAACACCAACACCAACACCAACACCTACCTCTCTCACTCTTTCTCAATTTCCGAATATCTTGAAGCTTCACAGAATCTTTCAATGATAATTTGTGGAAACGAGCCCCTGCCACCATCCGCCTTGCCATTGAAAACAAGACCATTATCATTTATGCCAAAACATGAATATGATTGTCTTGTAGGATACTATCAAGCTGCGTACAAGAATCCACAGATCTCAGGTTGCAAAGATGTAATTGATGACTCACCTTTCGTCAATGACTGGATCGAAATGGTGAAGTCCGTTGATCTTCTTGGGCAAAGCTACAAAGGGTGCATTGGCACGAATGGCCGCGGATCATACATACAAGCATATTTCACTGAACGAACTGGGTTGGAACATGCGTATGTTGGAGAGATTCAGTACCTTTTTGTTCACAATTTTAGGCCAACTGTTTCTTCTCTAACATACAGAAATCCCCATAGTAGTCAGCATGTATTTGCATTTGTCAAATGGTTCAAATCCACTTCGGACAAAACAAGAGAATTAGAAGGAGTTGAGTTGTTACAGGATGAATTCTACAAGCAAGATTTTCAAAGCATCCTGCCAGTACATCGGATTCTCCTAACAGTTGCAATAGTAGATTACAAAACTACAAAAAATGTCAACAAAAAACTCGCGATTCCTTTACCAAAAAAAATTTACTATTAATTCTCATACACACACTTACTTATATATTTATCCTCTATTATTATTATTTCCTTTAATCAATTCAATTTCAATTATTACTATTTGGCCCTACAACAGAACATAGTAAAAAAGAAAATGTTTATTCATCGTTGATTGCCCAACGAGGCAATGACTGGGACAGAGTGGCAGGAACAGAGCAAGGCAACAATGTTGCTGGATATCTGTTCATTCTTGGCTTTGTTCCCACGCCCGCATTTAACACGTGATAGGTACGATCAATGTCATCAACCATTGTCAACAATCTGTTGAACTGTATTTATTTTTATTAGTTCTTTATTTTTCTTGTTATAAAACTTATTTATTTATTTTAAATATTATTTACCTCTTCACTTCTCCAAGTGGGGCAAGTCACATGCAAACACCGTCGTGGAAGATTGTCTACAATCTCAATATCCGACTCACCATCAGACATGGCATCCTTCTGAAAGAGTTTGAGATAGGCCTTCTCAACAGGGTTTCCAGTCTTATATCCCATTGCAGCATCAATGGCTACCCAGTTGTCCATGTATGTCAACTTGCGTCGGATAGACATCTGGTTATATAGATTGTAGCTTGAGAAAATAGTAATATATCAATTAATTTTTTATATAGTATATACAAACCTGAAGAGTACGACTGTTTGCTCTCCCCTTGCTGTTTTTCTTGGCCTTCTGCTCAGGAGACTCGTGAAAAGTACGATGACTGTGCTTGTACCTGTTCTTTATTTTATCACTTATCACCCGTGGGTGAGTACCAGCTAGACGAGTCTGGGCGCTAATGTAGCTCTTCAAGTAGTTGATAACAGCTACGTTATCGCGGTGGTTAATCTTCTCGTTCAAGTTCCACTTCTTCTTACTCTCGTTCTCAGCAACAAGAGCAGGGTTGTCAGACTCGAACTTCCAGTCCCACAACTTTTCCACAAAGATTTCCTAAATACAGGTTGTTTAATAAGTTGTTGATACTAACATATATTAATATTAATTACCGAGATAATGACAGAAACCTCGGCATCACTGAGGGAGGTCTGGGGGACATAGGATGGCATCAGAGATGGTTCTAGACTAGCCATACAAGTCTGATTGTTGGCATAGGCAGTTGCAAAGTCTGCAAATGCCGTATGTGTCTTTCCAGACATGTCAACAACAACGCCCATCCTGTTTTTAAAGGCTGCCATGTTGCTATTGACAGCAGCAATGTCATCCTTGACACCGTTGATATTGTTGTTTACTTTGTTAAACATTTCAACAATTTCCGCGTATTGCTGATCTTGGATAGTTGCGGATGAGAAACTGGGGGCAATTTCTTGAGGTCCAACACGGCCAGCCAAAACACGGTTTGCAGATGTAGATATACTTGCAGATGCTTTTCCTTTTCCTTTACGGTCTGTTTTTCTGCTGCTATTGGAAGGCATTTTTTCTTTATTGTATTTTTATTAAAGTTTTATACATTAATAAATTATTAAAATAAAATAAATGTATGGGTTGAAATATATTTATTTTTGTTTAATCAAAGATATACATACAAAATAAGTTAATATAAAGTAGATTTATGAAATAGCTGAGAAAAGGAAGAGATTATATATTATTTTCTATAAAATCCTTTATAACCTTGAACAACTTCTTTAATATTCAACATAGAACTTAGTGTTACAATATAATTTCGGACTATTCATTTTATTACTATTGTATTTTACTAGAGTCAATTCTCATCTAAACTGCCTTCTGTTTGAAAGCCCACTTTTTTTTCTTCTTTTTTTTTATTTTTTTCTTATTTCTTTTTTTCCTGTTCCTTTTCCGCTTTATTTACTTTTATTCTGGTTGATGTATTTGAGTTCACACCCTGGTAAGCAATTTGTTTTTATTATTCTACTGTTATATTTATTCTTAATGTTTTTTCTTTTATTATTATTGTGGTTGCTGATAGTATTACAAGTCTTTGCCATGTTGATTAATGGACAAGAACAAAAAGGTAAAACGCGGTTATTGTGTATGTGCTTCTTTATTAATTATTTTCTTTTTCTCTCCTCAGCTCATCATAAAGACATACCAACAGCAGAAATTTATCCGGTAAGTCTGAATAATGTATTTATTTGTTTTATTCTTATATCTAATTTTGTTTATTTTCTATCTCTGTTAGTACTGCCAACATTTCTATGTACCTGATTGAATGGCTTGTCTTTGAAAACCGGTTTTCTTTGGTAAGTAATAAAGCCAAACTTTATTCCATGATCTTTACTAATGCGTTTTATTAAACCTTTCAGAACAACAGTCAATGTGCACTATGCCTGGTTCTGACGAAAGTACTGGTAAGTAACCATATTATTTAAATTAAAGAAAAATAAATATTTATATAATCTAATATAATTGAATAAGTTTTTAGCCTTCTCTTACTAGTGAAATACCATAAACACGCGTTTCTTTTTAGGATTCTATTGTATTGGAAGTATTTATATATTATAATATATGAAAGGGTTTGTTATTATATTAATTATGTAGTAGCTTATATATTAGATTAGACTATATATTGTCAAGCCGTACATATTATAAGCAAGAAGCTTTTTTTTTAAATAAAAACAATTTTTCCAAAACAATCCCTATAAAAATATTTGAAATGAAGTGCAAGAAGTATTGCAGTAGTATGACATGTGTGAATCCTATAGTTTAGCCGTGCATAATTGTCCAATAAAAGTGTTTAGATTCGGAAGACAGTATACATAAATCCTGTTTCTTCTGTTAAATGATCCAATAGAATATCATTATTTCAGTAGACAGTTTTCTCTGTAAAGTAATCCAATAGAATTCTACTATTTCAGTAGACAGTTTTCTATCAAAAATAGATTTTTTATTGGAATCTCTGTTTCAAATCAAGTTTAATTTAATGTAACATCCAAAAAAAAAAAGATGCCATAATTTGATTATTCTCTCTGCGATTAAATAGTTTAAAAGAACCTTACATCTCTATATGGATCATTATAAGTTCAGAAGTTATATGGACAACTCACAGGTAACATAACATATTGCGAACAGAATCTATAAATGCCAAATTCCAGAATTTAATTATTCTGTCACTCAGAATTTCCCATACTATCGCATATGTGTAGAAATCTAATTCCCCAGTGCATATAACACTATAATATAGGTTAAAGTGCAAAACTCAACACATGCTTCAAACATAGCTCATAACAGTGTTTGTGCTGTATTAAGTAATATGATGCATACAACAACTTCTGTTGCCTATGATACATTGTATAATGAACTTCTTGTGAAATCTGGGAAATACAAGGACTTTATTTTGTACTTTAACAGAATGTAGGTGCTGAAAAAAGAATTATGGTGCAAAGCATGGAGATTGGTATGAAACTTTATTGATTATTAGCCCATTTCTAATATGTAATATAAACAATAGGCTGCAACCTTTCACACAAATAATTTGATAGAGTCTTATCACAATCAGCTGAAGACTTTCTATCTTGGACGTGCAAGATCTCTTCGAGTAGATAGACTTATTTATCTTCTGGCCAAAGTCTTGACTCTTAACTACAGACAAGAGAACGTCAAGATGTTATATAGATTCCAATCAGTATGCCTTACACGCCAAGAAGAGCAAAAAAGGCGAAATATATACATGTTAGATAGCAATACTGCTATGGAAATGGTTGAGAAATTGAGTGATACTGCATTCACTTGCAGATCATTCACAGTTGATTTTGCTATATATAACATTGAGCTACAGAATAGTTTTCTGCAAAACTGCACTTGCCCTAATACTTCCAAGCTTTGCAAGCATATCTTTCTCATCAATTGTATGCTAGACATTTCCTACTTTTTGCGCCAAAGTCTTTCCTTCTCCTCCTCTGCTGTCCATGTATCTAATACTAATACTAAAGCAGTAGTTGACACTTCCCTTCTTTCTGATGAGATAGAAGCTGATATCATGAAGTATCATCAATTATACTATATTGAACTTGACAGCAAGATAGCTGAGTAAAGGGAATCTCAGAAGACATGAACCAGTTCTTAGATACATTGAAGTTTGCATATAACAAGCTGAAAGAACATGGCTTCCCCTTTCAATCCCATCCACCTTGACAAGCACAATTTTTTTTATTATTTTTTTTTATTATCAATTATCAATTATATATTATCAACTACTATCTTTTTTTACTTTATTTTTAATTGTTATTTTTTTTAAAATTGTCTTTATAAAAAAATCAAAATCAAAGAATGTTTTAAGTTGTGACTTTCTTTTCTGTTTGGGGAATTAACAGTACTCAACTCTGACATTACAGTGAATTTGTCGGACATTATTTTGATGAATCCGAGAAATCACGATAATTGACCGCAGCAGTTCTGTGTGTCAAAGATATCTCATAGATAACAAACCACAGTAATATCTTGTAAAGATTAACCACAGTAACATCTTCTGAGCATCAACCGTAGTAAAAGAACTTCTCTTGTAATTAAATAGAGTATAATAGTTTACTGCAGATAATGTGCAGTATTAGTTTAGAAAACTATATAAGACAATTCAATTCCTATCAATAAAAAGTATCTTTTATTCTCTTTTTGATTTTACGTACACTTCTTGATCCCCAGTGGGTTTGACCTTTTGACTTTGTTATAGTAAAAGGAAGACTAACCCAGATTGGGAACGACAAATTGGAAGATAGCCTAGATCAGAAATGACACAGGAACAACATTATCAAAATCACTGAGCATAAAAAATATTGCACTAACGTTATTGCCCACTACAGGGGTCGAACCTGTGGCCTTGGCGTTATTAGCACCACGCTCTAACCAACTGAGCTAAGCGGGCCTTGTTGTTGTGTCACGTGTGTTGTAACTAAGTTTTGGTTTGGCAAATTTCTGGTGAGGAATACTGGACGGTGGATTCCTTCAGTGGTTTGGTCTGGCGGTGAGCCATGACAGGTGGTACCAGACTCGTGGGCATTGACGTCAATGGTGAGTCGACCGAGTGATGTGTCTTGAGGGACAAGAGTGGTCCCTCAGATTTCTTGGGAAATCTTGCTCCCGATACCCCTATACCCAAACCCCCTAATATAATCTCGTTCCTTAAAATTAAAATGCCCATCTACATCATCACCTCAGAAACACCTGTCACCCACTAAAAACATTATACTTCTTTCCCCTAATTTTATACACTTCTTTATCGCCAACATTTATTTTACACTATTTTTATTACATTTTATTAGATTCTATTATTATACTATTATTATATTTTTTACTTTACTTTACTACATTATTATTATATTATTACTTTACTTCTATTCTACCTCACTATATTTTTACTTTATCTTTATTCAATTATTATATTTTTACTATATGTTGTATCCAACATAATTGTAGATTTAAATTAAAAGTACAGACACTCAATAAATACGTACATTGAGTTACCAACAACTAGTAATGATACAAAAAGATATACCTTCCCTTATACAAGAAAATTACGTAAGGAACATACTAAGACAAATACTAAGACTCTAGTCAATAACACTAAAAACATAAGAACTAAATCATAGAAGATAATGGTAGAGAAACAGATATTACATGATATCATCATATCATTACCAAGCTAAATACAATGTCTATATAAACGCACAATACTGATAGCAATAGAACAGCATCTCTTTTCTGATTCTTTCACTTCTTCTAATAAAACAAAGTCTTACTATACTCTCATCTGCACTTGCTTTATTTTATATCTTATTTTTATCTCATATATAACACTATACTTTTATTTTACTCTCTCTATAATTTTTTATTCTACTTCTACTATCAACACCAGTTATATGTAGTAAAAATTTTTACTTGACTTTCTTTTCTATTCCTCAAAAAATTATTTTAACCAAACATTTTTGTTTATAAAAGGAACAACCTTTTCAATCAATAAAATCATCATTCTATCCTTGATCTTATTTATTTTTGTCCATTATTATCATTATTCTTCATTCATATACAGTGTTCTTGTTCTTTGGAGTGTTGTCTGTCAATTTTGATATATTTCGTTTCTCTGCTTTCCCTTTTCTGTCTTTCTCAGACTTTGTCATTGCCACAATTTCCATTTTAATCTTCTCCCTATTTTTTCTACCCGTCTGTCACCAATTCTTACCTGTCAAATTACCTATTCTTTTCCATTCTTATTGTATTTGTTATATCCAACATAATTGTAGATTCAAATAGAGCGCACAGACAATAAGACAAAGACATATTGAATAAGCGACCAGTATCAATTATACATTATTTCTCACACTATCATTAAATAAAGAATATACCAATAACAAGGTCACACACCTTAGTCAACATCACTAATCACTCAAACAAGAGCATGGGTAATAACTTAACAATATATTATCTATGATATAAGAAAACAGACATCACATGATATACTCATATCATTATCCTAAATACACACGCAATGTCTATATAAACTCACATAGCAAATAGCAATCACTATGGCAGGATGAATGGCAGTTGGGCCGAAAGTAGGCACATAACTGCCATTTTTTTGGTCGAAACCCAATAAAATCTCCGCTGTTTGTTGTAAGATGGTAATGTCATTCGTAGCAATTTAAAAAAGTAACATGAAAACACTTTTTTTGTTGCTGTACAATATTTTCAATACTGTAAAAAATGTTTGTAAGTTGTAATGACTACTTTGAGTATTGAAATATATGTTTTATTGAATATCAAAGATGTCAACAATTATTAAGATTAATAATTTTTGGAATGTGTGAACGAAATGGTAACATAACTGCCATTTTTTTATTTTTTAAACTACGTTCTTTTTTTTTTTAGATATTCTTTTTATCTTGATGAATTGGCAATTTGATTTTATTTAAATCGCGTAATGGCGTATAGAGCATATAGGGAATGAAGAGAAAAGCATAAGGTGTATAGAGAATAGAAAAAAAACTGGAGTATATAAAGAAGAAAAGAAAGATGGGACATATAGAAATTAAAAAAAACATAAGAAATAGAGAAAATTAAAAAAAGAATATAAGATACAAGAATGATATAAAAAATATAAAAGATATAAGGATATAGAGCATATAGAAAAATAAGATAAAAATAAAAAGGATTACAGAATGAAAAGATTGCCTTTAGTAATGCACATGTTGTTGTTAAAGATATAATAGAGCGCGATTACATAAAACTGGTTTCCATTCGGTGGGTATTGGACCAGACCAACTTGATGACAAATGTCATTTACACTTATAACTGCATAAGTCGGTTGCGTTTGGTGGCCTAGTGTATGGGTGCTTTGTGACCGTTGTTTGACGATAGGTACTGATGAGTCATGACCAGCCGCATCATGTTCCTTCATGACCTCCACGAAAGCAAGAAAGTGTGGGAAGCCATAGAAATCTACATGCTGAAAGTAGAACTGTACTGTACCGACGAGCCAGCTGTGAACAATTACATTACGGTTGCTAAAATAAATAAATAAATAGAATGTAAGCAACTTTTGATTGTATATCGAAAAATATTATACTTACTTTCTATAGGGGCAAGTAAACATCACGTAATGGTTGCCACGGCTGGTCTCGTTTTTCTTTCTTTGGTACATGCATGAGGAATATACAGTCGAGTCCATCCACAGACGTGCAGCTACAACAACAACAGAGTCACCAAACTCGTGGCCAGTCAAGCCTGTTGTTCTCCGGTAGTATTTCAATAAAGCTTCCTTCACACTAGGGCCACCTACACCTTCCACTGAATCATTGTTCAAATTAACAAACTGATGAAATGGCTCCCACAACTGCGCACCACTAGGATCATTAGGAAGGTCCATGTAGCTCTCTCTTCCATATGGCTTTGGCCGAATGAGGTTGATTTCATCACAGATGCTGATTGCCGTGCTGGTATAATTGTGAATCGCAAATCGCTCGACGAGAAAACTGGCGTTTCAGCCACCCTTTGATTTGGACTTTATCAATTTCGAGAAGACGCCAATTACTCTCTCCATTGAGCGAGTGGAGTAGCATCGCAGGGGGCCTTGCTGCTTGATGATATAGGGTATATGGACCAGGTAATGTTGCACTGGTCGGAAAACACTACGAGACAGGGTATTATTCTGGACTTGTTGGTATAAAAACGAGTGCCAGTGCTTGAAGTATCTATTATTAATATTTAAAAAATGGTAACAATCAGCTATTTGTAATGATAATATATGAGACGTATAATAACTTACGACTCCATCTCATCAAGCAATTCTGATGTCAACGTCCATTGCAAGGCAAGCGCGCAACCTTTCATGAGAGATAATAGAGCTGTTTTAACAGCCCTATTTGGTAAATAAGGCATGACCAAAGTGGGGACAAGGTATAAGAGAAAGTCAAGCCAGTCCACTGCGCGAGTACCATCGATCTTGGCAAATACGTTGTCGAAACTGCCTTGAAATGAGGTGGGTATATATTTTCGTGAGCTGGTGATACAGTTTCCGATTGTTACAAGGTCTGCTCTTGGTATATGAAAAGGGTATTCGGTGGTATTGAGGGTATTGTCTGGATGGGTATAATAAAATTTGGTTTCCTTTGTGAGGGTGACGGTAATCAGGTCATACACAAGCTTTCCAATCCCTCTTGCAATTAAATGAAGTTCATCTAATGCAAAAAATGATGATCCAGAGAAGGTTGAGAGTTGGGTATATATGCTCGGCTGGTATATGTTCTTCGACTATTACAAGCAGTTATTTAGTATGAAAAAAAGATGGCTAACTGAACATTTGTATACTTACAGGGCTGCCTACTTTGAAGTCTTCCAAAGGTCTTAACCGGGCGGAAATGTCATCAAAGTACATGCCATGCCGTCTGTTAGTAGGGCATTTGCCTTTGGTCTCACAAAAACGGCAACCAAATAAACTTGTATGGGAACCAATGTGGGCCATATCAGCTACAGCTGGAATATCGCCAGAAGCAAGCAGAAGATAGACCTTGGATCTGCAAAGCTCCACTCCATTGTGCTTGACAACCAAGCCATGTGCCTCAAGATCTCGCAATTCATTGATGATGGGTATTAGAAAGGAGTCCAAATGAGTTGGCTTCTTGGGGCCAGGCAAGATTGCCAGTTGCAAAAGGTATTTGTTGGTATATATAAGTATTTTATTAGTAATTTTTTTTTAAAAAAAATGTAATAATAATAATAAATAGTAATAAATTAATTAATTACCTGATGGATGGGTCTAGGTTGAATATTATGCAATGGATGATGGGATATGAGTTTTTGCCTTTCTTTTGATTGACAAACCCATCGGTATAAAGCCCAATAGCAATATCATCGGGATTGGAGAACAGGCCCTGCTGCACCAACTGCTTGTAATTGTCACCATCAAAAATGTCGGTTAGCTGACCAGCTACAGATTCCCGGTTTGCTCTGTAACAGAGGAGTTCTCTTGTGGCTGGATCTGCCAACATTTGAGAAAGCATATCCCCAACTGACATAAGTTTTATACTGGCGGCTGGTGTCTGACTTTGATTGGGATCAGTCTTGTATCACGGTTTGCCGCAGTCAACACAAGATTCCTGGTCGTCATTAATGCCATACAATTGACAACCACTAGAGCAGACATCATACTCATGGCCCTTGACACTTGACTTTGACTTGAGCAAAGCATCAACAGTTTTGCCATGACTGATCTTAGCCCCAGGTTCTAAAAAAAACGATATCACTACATGTTAGTGATCTGGAATTAAAGTACAAGGTAACAGAAAATATAATATTTTACCCATCATTATATCGTCATGGTCTCGGATGACAGTGTTTATAAATTGAACAATGTCTCTATATGCTGCTCTAGCAATTCTATGCTGTAGCATCAATTGAGACAGATGAATACTCATCAACTCGGCCTTGGTAAAAGTATTTGTACTGATTTGGCTGCTGTCGTAAATGTGAGCTTCACCCTCACTGTCCTCAAAATTACATGCACACTTATATAAAATAGTATTATCAAGCTCCATAGACTCCATAGTATATTCTGTAATACATTATTTAGTAATTGAAAAATAAATAATACAATTACAGCTCTTTTCATTACCTGAATTGCTAACAGATTCATCTTCATTACTAGTATCATTTTCGTCATGGTACATGTCAACATCATCCAGAATAGACTGGTCAATTTCAGTCATTGTTGCTGAATCTCCTCTGTGAATTCTCTTGTGGTTTTGCAGCTTCTGGTAGTTATCAAAAAACAAGACACATTGATCACATTGGTATTGCTGTGTAGATATTCTATCTCTCTGCTGGCTGGCGTTGGAAGAAGACATATTGGTTGGGTTGGTACGTATGTAATATATAAAATAAAGCTGCGAAGAGGATTTTGGTGCTATTTATTAAATGTAAAAGACATCTTTATATACTCTTTATTTTTTAACCAAAATGCTTGCGGCTCTTTTTCTTTCTCTCTCTCATAATGATGATATAGCAATGATTACAGTAATGTCAATGCTAGGTGAAACACCTGTCAGTAAATAATTCCCGTGGTTGGAAAGATTCTTCTTCATTAATAATTATGATGTAAGTTAAAATACTTCTTGGTTGACAAGGGGGTACCATTAAAAGAGCACCGGTGAAACAGACATGTACTCTTTACTTGTGAGCGATTAGATATTCTTTGGGCTTTATAAAGAGGTATATGTATATTTAGAATAATTAATGACCAAATAATTTATGTTTTTTTTTAAATAAATTATCAATTACTCTCTAATACCAAAGGCAAAGAAAAACAGCCTTCTAATAATTAACAGTTAAAAAAAAGTAGTACTGTCTAAACACATTGGTAGAAAAGACATATTTATATTATCTGTGTTGTACTAATAATATTTTTGAGATAGTGAATATATATTTAGCTAATAGCATTATTTTCTTGTTTATGTATAAAACTTAAAGAAATAGATATAGATAATGAGGGCTATAGTCTGATACTCTTTTACTGACATCATCAAGATAAGCACTACTGATTGAAAGGGGTGTTAATTGAAAGTGCTGATGTGAGTTAAAGCACACCTTTTTCAAAAATGTACGGTTTCAGTCAAAAATGCCCCTTGGTAAATAATAGTAATGACAGTTAAAATTATTTTTACCTTTGATGACAGCATCAATCAAAAGTTTTAGTCGATAATGATAATAAGTATGATATGAACTTGAGTAGCATAACATTTACTTTAATGTTGATAAAAAGGGGCTAATTAACTATATGATGTTCAGATGTTATATAGCTACTGTAGAGTATATTTAAAGTTATAATTTTAACTGGTACAGGGTTTTGTCATCGAGAACTTTAATCAAATTTCATGCTATATCTGCAATATGTATAGAGTTATATTATTATATCATATACTTTAAAACGTTTAATATGTAGACAGTGCAAAGTATGAACATTTATACATATAATATTGATTTAAAGTCTAATTCATTTTATCTTTATATTTCTTACAGTTTTGTTGTGTCGACACGAAAAGACTGTATCATGTTCACATGAGCTACTGCAGACAGGTGCAGACAGGTGCATACAAGTGCATAAGCATCCCTTCTTCTATATGTTTTGTTTGTACATCTGTCTGTATCTTTTTCATATAAATAGCTATCAATTGCTTGTAATAAATTGTTGCCTTTCTCAAACTCAAATCGCTCTTATTCTACTTGTCTAAACTATCATCTTTTCTTTTCAACTCACTGCTTATAGCTAAAAAAAAACTTAAACATGTCCGATATTAACACAACTCTCCTCAACTCAATTCAAAAGATTGAGGTTGATCTTGCTGAAATCAAGCAAGCATTGCATGAGCTTCAAAGGCAATTCAGCAATCAATTTTCGCCAGCAGTCAGTGCGGAAGATCTAACTACAATGCAACAAAGCATTATTGAGCAAAGTTGTAAGTCATATATATTCTGTGCTTAGATGTTTATTTACTTTATTAATATTGTCATACATTTTTTGTAGCTCTTGAGTGCATTGCCAAGTCTGTGAAAAGAGCCCAGCTCACAGAGTATCCTGATCAGCTCGGTAAGCAAGTAATCAATACTGGCGGCAAGTTCAAAGGAAAAAACGAAGCACAAAAATACAATCTGTTGCTTCAGATTCTTCACGAGCAGGACTGGAAGGCGCGCTGCAAAGAAGTTCCACAAGGGCAGCCTTTGCCCCCATTAGTCCCTCTTTCAGACCATGATTTGACAGTAAAAGGACTGCATCTCAAAACATTAGGCTGTACGGTAAAGCATGATATCATTGACAAAGACTATCCTGCGGCCTCAAAAGAATGGAAGAATATCCCAGAGAAAAACAGGGAATACTACATGATGCATTTGGAGAGGTTGGCGAAGAATGGTGGATTGCACATCCACCAATGTAAAAGAATGTGATGTGCAAGAAGCCTTCTTCGGGAAAGCTTCAAGAGCGACAACCAGACGCACAAGAGAAGAATGGCAGAGAAGAACAAAGTAAGTTTATCAATTAACAAATCTATATATTGTAAACTTTAATTAACATCGTTTCCTTTTATTATGCTATAGACACAGCAAGACATAAGTGATTCTTCACTTTCTTCTCCTGATATGTCAGAAACTGGTGATGTTGAGTCGCCCATAATGGCAGATGTGCTGTAAGTTACCATTGTTGCTTTTTCTCATGCGCTGTTAATACAAAACTAATATAAACTTCTTACTCTTTTATGTAGGTCTCCTCCACCCACAGCAAGTGTTGAGCCTGCTCGCAAGAGAAGCCGAAGATCGTAGTTTGGCTGCTGTGATTGGCCGAGTTTGATTTTTTTAGTCTGTCTTTAGTGCATTTTTTTTCTTATCTCGTCATTTTTCTTTTTATGTTTTTTATTCCTTTTTTCTTTCATATAAAAAATTTATCGACCTCTTTCATATGATTGCTAATGTTGTGATTACAAGAATTTGAAGCTAATGTACAGCATCTACAATTCCGCTACATTCAAATATAAAAGGAAATAGTATATAGCCTTTTTTTTGGGAAAAAAATTAATGGTAATATTTTTGTACTGATATATTATACTTGGGAGTCGTTCTATTATATGTAAGTATATTGAGTAGAATAAACACGTTAAGCTTTCTAACAAGATGCTCATTCCGGTTGTATGAATCAGATTCGAATTAGCTTCATGTTACATGACTTGAATCTTTGCTCAAGTTTTTCTTCTTCTACGATAACGACTTTCTATAGTGCTTATGTTTTATTGCTTTTCTTATATATAGATCTTAAATATTAATACATTCTTTAATATATATATATATTCTTAGAGTAAATGCTTATTTTACTGAACAAGTAAGCATATTATATAAAGGTAAGCATTATAATAATATTATATCTATTTATTTATTTTAAGTTTTTTCTCTAATATTAGTATATTTGTAGAAATCGGTAAAAAATAATAAGTGCTATCTAAGATATATTAGAATACCCGAAGTATATGAAATACAATTTGAATAGTAGTGTTTTACTGCATATGTTTTGCAGTAGCTAAACAGAACCATTTTTTATTGCAAGTGGCCGATGGAATTGTTTTTTCATTATTACTATTATTATTATCATTTTCATTTAATAAAACATGTATTGAAATAAAGATTCAATTCAATTAAACCCGATTCAATATTGTATAATAAAAAACAGACCATTCTGTTAAAGCTGCAAAGGAAAAACAAGAGGTTGTGCTAGAATTGAAAGCAATAGAACAAAAGAAAGAATGTAATAGAGGAAAGGAAGGACGCTTGATTTTTTTTTGAAAAATGGTAACAGTGCCTGTTTTGGCTTTTTACATAATAAATAACTGCCATTTTTTATTATGAAAAAAATGGTAACAGTGCTTGTTTTGGCTTTTTACATAATAAATAACTGCCATTTTTTACTATGTAAAAAATGGTAACAGTGCCTGTTTTGGTCTTATACAGAGTCATAACTGCCATTTTTTATTAAGTAAAAAATGGCAGTTATGTTACCAAAGTGGTAACATGTTATCATTTTCTCCGCCGTAGTGAATAGAACATCATTACTCTTTTCATCAATAAACAAAGTCTCACCGTACTTCTCGTCTGCACTTTGTTTTTCTTTCTTTTCTAAAAATATAACAGTATTCTTCTTTTTGTATTTCGTAATTCACATTACATTTATTTGCCAAGTGATACTGTTACAATCCACAACAAGCAAACGCATCACATGTCAAATTGGAGGTCGTACCGAGGGATTCTTTTTCAATTTTTTAAACTTATCTTACTCAAATTGTGCTATGCAATATGCCCCCTTCTTCTTCTCCTGCTCCCATAGGAGAATGTAAATCATCCAACATCTCCAAGTACCTCTCAGCTCCGGAAATCTTTGTCGGTGGCCCAAATGGCAAGTCTTTCTCCTGGTTGCTACATATGGATCAACTGAAAAAAGGTATCGGTATGACTGACGAAGAAGCAATTCTGGTGGCGGCCACCCACTTCTGTGGCATGGCTGCCAAGTGGTGGGCCATCTGTGAGGCCAAAGTCACAATGTGGGAAGTCTTCTCCAAGGAGTTCAAGAAGCAGTTCGTCTCCCAGCAGATGAAAGACGTCAGGTGGACGGAAATTGAAGAAACCAGACAAGGCTCAGGACAAACCGTCGGTAAGGTAGCCCTCCACCTGCAGGAACTCTTTGGCCTGGTCACTTTGTCCAATAAGGCCCAAAAAATCCGGATTTTGTTGAAGGCTCTCCGTCCAGAGATTGCTTATGAGATAGAGAAGTCTGGTCTTCCTCGCTCCTGGGACAAGTTGGTTTGATGAGCCGCCAAGGTAGAGGCGGTCGAAGAGAAGTACTGTCGTTCTGGTTTGCACTCTGTCCCCGAGTTTGGTCACTTCTCCGGGCAAGGTTTGGTGTCCAAGAACTCCTTCATGGAAGATGCTCTCTCCAAACTCATTTAAGAATTCAAATCTATGAAGATCCATTTGGTTGACACTCGTCATCCCCTCCCTCAAACTTCCGGCTCTTCTGGATTTGATTTGTCTGGCTTTGGTGGTTCTGGTTCTGGTTCTGGTGGTTCTGGTGGTCCTGGTGGTTCTGGTGGTTCTGATGAGTTCTCTGGTTCTGGTCCTCATGGGTCTGGTTTTGGTGGCTCTGGTCCTGTGGCTGGTTTGGCTGGCTCTTCTGGTCCTCAAACTTATTGTTGTTTCTGGTGTGAGGAAGAGGGTCATATCAAACCCAATTGTCCCAAACGTTTGAACAAAGACAACGATTTGGGAAAAGGCCAAGGGCGTTAGTAAGTTTTGCTGACACCCATAATCAACCTAAGGTGTCTGTCTCTGAGGACGCTGCTGTCAACATGGTTGAGACCGCTCCGGTGTATGCTGCTGAATGTGCTAGGGTGGTTGACCCGTTGTCTTCTAAGGGTCCATATACTCATAACAAAGGAAAGGCTGTTGACAAAACAGTACCATTACACTCTCTCTTAAACACGCTTCCACTGCTTCAACAGCACTTATATGCACAGGGTCAGCTCAACACTTTCCCTACCAACGATACCTATATGACTCCAGCTCCGGACCTCTCACTGGAAAAACCGCCCTGATTAACAATGTGGCCAGGTTGGTAAACACATGTGTAGAAATAGTGATTTTTTTCAACTCAGTGTGTTTTTTGAAGTTCAGGTCAAAGATGTAGTTTTAGTTGGTTTCATTGGCTAACAGAATTTTAGAATATCAGTCTGGTACTGAAGGCTAAATTCACATACAGAGACCTATCATAATTCTCATTCTACCACCCCTTTTTTTTATTCCTACTATTTTCTGGATTTACTCTCGCAATAATCTATTTATAAACTCATAGTAGAAAAATATATGTCTTTTACACACAACAGGCATTCTTGAAAACATTTGAATAAAGACTATGAATTGATAATATCATAATTGTCATGTCTCTTTCTATATTTAATAATATAGAAAAGAACTTGTTAGAAGAATTTAATTAAACAACTATAAAATATAGTGCTTTTTTTTTACTATAAAGTCGGTGCAAATAAAGTATATTTTACGCTTGTTCCTCTTTTTATTTTCAATAAATCACATCAAACAAAACACATAAAATGCCTTCTATCCCTCACCGCCGTAATGTTGTCTGCCGTTGTGCTCAATGTAGCAGAAATTCACAGAGATACTCATTGGTGACAAGCAGAACCGCTGAGTGCCATATTAGAAAAGATGAGCTTGAGAGAATCGAGAGACTGGATATGGCTGAAAGATTGGCAAATAGTATGTTATATTCAGGGTTTATTTTTTGATTACTGAGTAATAACTTCTTTATTTTTTTAATTTTAATGAAACACAGCTGTGCAAGAAGAACAAATGATGGATGTTGATACCCAATGTAAGAAAAGAAAAGAAAAAAAAATATTTGAAAACCAGTAGAGACAATAAGCTAAACTAATCTATATTTGTATATATCCCAACCTGTCAATCTGAATCCATCGAAAAAATAGACAATCAGGCCGACTCACCTGATTCAAATGCCGCCACGATGGCTGACAATGTCTCGGTAGACGATGAGATCAGCGAGGTCAATGGCAATGACTCTGACATTGAAAGAGACATAAACTCTGACTCTGGCAGTGGTGAAGAAGAAGGTGTTGAGACAGACGTTGAAGAGTTTGTTAATGAAGGTCAGTCATAAATGATTTTGTTTTCTTAAAAACAGACCTAAAGAAAATTTGTTCTAATTTATTTTTGTTAATTTTAAATAGACCCATTTGATGCTCCTAACATGCCTGAAAACCCTGTCCATCGGTTCATTGCTACCTTTGCCGTTCTTTTTATCTCACGTTATGTTGTTAACAAAGGTGCCGCCGTATTGATTGAATTTATCAATCAGTTACTCAAGATCTACGGCGAAGATTTCCAATTACCAACAAGTCTTATTGGCCTGCAAAGAATGACTGGTTTTTCCAATTACGCCAATGGTATCAAGAAGTCTGTTGTATGTGAAGACTGCCACAAGGTTTACGAACAAGATGTGCCTCTCCCTACTCATTGCGACTTCAAAAAGCATGGTTCTCAATCAGCATGCAATTGTGAATTGATGAAGGTTTCATCTTCTGGTGCCATGGTAGCCAAGCGATCATACGTCTACAACTCTATCCAGAGATCATTACAAGTTTTCTTTCTTCGTCCTGGGTTCGAGCAAAAAATCAGACAATGGAACAAAGAGCTTAAGGTCGTAGATACACTATGCGACGTCTATGATGGTGCTATGTGGAAGGAGCTAAAGGACCAAAGTGGCGTATCGTTTGTGGATGAACCTCGTTCATTGATGCTAACAATGAACATCGACTGGTTCCAGCCATTTGATGGCGTTACATATTCAACTGGAGCTATCTACCTTGCGATAAATAACTTGCCTCGTGAGGAAAGATTTAAGCCTGAAAATGTCATCCTTGTTGGTTTGATGCCTGGTCCTAAGGAGCCAAAGACCGAAGAGATCAACCACTATTTAAAGCCAATAGTCGATGAATTGCTGCAGTTGTTTACAGGGATAACCATCCCGACCTTTGAGTGCCCAGCCGGTGTTAATGTACGTGCCGCGTTACATATGGTTGCCTGTGACATCCCCGCCGCCAGGAAGACCAGTGGATTCACCGCCCACAACAGTACTTGTGCATGCCCCAGATGTGTGAGGCAGTTTACCAGGTTACCAAGCACCAATCAGGTCGACTTCAGTGGGTTCGACTATTCGACATGGAAAATCCGTAGCGGTCTGGAAAACAGGTTGCATGCTGAGGAGTGGAAGAGTGCCAGTACGCCCTCAGAAAGGCATCAGTTGGAAATCGAAAATGGTGTTCGATGGTCGCAGCTGCATCGCCTTGGATACTTTGATCTAGTATGTGGAACGATCATCGATCCCATGCATAATTTATTCCTGGGGACACCAAAGAGAATGATGGAGCAGTGGATAAAAGAAGGACTGATAGATGATAGAAAGCTAGCTACGATGCAAACAATGGCAGAGACAATGGTGGTGCCAATGGATTACGTGGTGTTGAAATCAAAGATCGGAAAGGGCTTTCCATACATGAAAGCTGATGAATGGAAGTCCTGGGTGCTAGTGTATTCGCCTATCTTGTTGAAGGCCGTCCTGCCAATTGAAATGTTCAGAAATTGGATCAGTTTTGTTGATGCCTGCCGCCAATTAGTAAAGCCAAGCATCACGTTCTCTGACATTGATGACGGCCATAAATTTCTTCAAGAATTCTGTACTGAGTGCCAGCGTATTTACACTCCAACTATTCTCACCTGTAACATGCATTTACATCTCCATCTTCGCGAGACCATCCGTGATTTTGGACCAGTATATGGATATTGGCTCTTCGGGTTTGAGCGATATAATGGTCTGCTAAAGAACGTGAATACGAACAGAAAAGATTCCTTTGAGGTTACATACATGAATAGTTTCGTCCAAGATACATTCAAAGGTGATTTCGTTCATGCTGCTCTCACATGCCCAAGCCAAGTACCGTTTCTTCCTCTTCTCGCCAAGCTTACTGCCACAGCTCAACCCTCCACTTCAAAAAATACAATAACTTTTCCCCAGCGCCCGTTCAGACTATCAGCCTTTATCCAAGCATACTCAAACCCTTCTCTTCCAGTCCTTGGCAATGAACCTCTTCCTCCATCCGCATTTCCTCTCCATATCGAACCCCCATCAGCAATGAGTGATGTCGACTATCCTCATTTGCTTGATTACTATAAAGTCGCATACTGCATGCCAAATCTTGAAGGTTACCAGCATCCCTCCTCTCCATTCTCCTTTGTCGACAACCAAATCATAAAGTTGAAATCAATCAATTTGCTTGGTCAGGTTTACAAAGGCTGCAAATATGCTTCTGGTCGCGGCTCATTTGTTCAATCTCTGTTCCTTGGAAGTCAAGGCAATAATTGGTTGGCATACACTGGCCAAATTCAGTATCTGTTCTTGCACTCTTTCACTCCACCAGCAGACAACACAGAGCTCCAAACACGTGTCGTTTATCAAGATAAACACGTGTTTGCGTTTGTTAAGTGGTTCCAGATTGAGCATGACCGTTCAAGAGAGTTGGAAAGTGTTGACATCTGCAGTGCAGATTTTATTGCGTGTGATTTTGAATGCATCTTGCCAGTACATCGAATATCATCAGTTGTTGCAACATGTGATTATAAAACCAGCACAAATAATAAGAAAATACTTGTCAACACTTTACCACACAAACAATACAATTAATATTTAATACATTTCTTTTTTAATAAAAAATTTCAATACATAAGCTAATGTAGTCTTATTATATATGTTGCGAACAATACATATGTGTTAAGAAATTTTGAGAGTAAAAGAAAAAAAAACGACGAAAAATGAGTTTTATTTATGACCCATATTTAAGAGCCCATTGAGGTAGAGCAGGATCTAAATCAATTGGGACTGTTGATTCCACTGTTCTACCATAAACTCTCTTAAGCAGTTGGCGGGAATTTGCACCCAATTGCTTAACAACAAACGAGTCAACCTCCGTAATGAATTTGTTAAGCTAAGTAATAAACATATATTAACATTCAGCCTGGCATCATTCAAAAAAGAAAACTGTTAGGTTTTACCTCATCACTTCTCCAACTTGGGCGAGCAACACGAATCTAATTTCTTGGCTGAGAGGGGGACATATCATCGTCTGATTCGCCTTCAGACATGACCGACTTTTGGATCAGTCCAGAGCAGTTTCGACCCATCTTGAGATCAATGTCAGCCTTGTAAGCATCATAAGCAAGGCGACGGCGAGTGTAGTTCTAAAGGAAAAAGACAATACAATTAATATTCTAATTGTTATTATTTAGCATAAATTGAAAATATAGTTTACATCAGTTTCACGGCCAGATCTTCTTGAATTAGTATTCAAGGCTCGTCTTGTTTCCGGAAGTTCCCTTTGCTGGCGACGTCTACTACAGAAGTTTGTATATATACACTTACGAAGGTCGCGTGTCCTCATATCAGTGCCAGCAAACTTCTTTTCCAAGTAATACAAGAGTTGTTTGACTAACTCTCTATTTGGAGAGCGATCAAAACGAACATCAACTGCCCACTTTGGTTTTATGGCGTTTGCTTGGATTTCTGCCTGGTCTCTTGATTTTAGCTTTGGGTTCCACATATAACCATGAATGTATCCCTATTATATTTTAATTAGCAACAAGATTGGCAAGTGTCTTTTGTATCTTTATACTTACAAATACAGCGTTAGTATCACTTGATTCGGTGATGGGAAGGGCAGCAGAAGTGGATGCAACATTAGTGGACACATGCGCAGATGCTGGGAGGGCAGACAAGGCATCAATGCCATTAATGGCGGTTGCGTTACCGGTGATCACTACACCGATTCTTGTATCCATCAATGTGATTTTATCCTTCATGGCCTTCATCTCTTCTTTCATCGCATTCAAAGCTTGTAGCAACTGGACATCAGTGCTAGCAAGAGAAGGAGTGAGTCTGCAGTTGGGGGTAGGCATTATCTATAATACATTATAATATTTTCAATTGTTAATATTAGTTCTTTTTCTTTTTTATTCTCTTTTGTAAGAGACAATCCATTTATTTTGTTATGTAAATTACAATAAATTCGCAACGTAGATTTGTTGAGATGATATAATCAAGAGTGAGTGACATTGAATTGCAAGTAGAAATATTAAGTATTTATAGGCGGTAGTGATGCTTCAGGAACACTTCAAAGACAACTTCTTGAAACACTGAGATGCAAATCGGCCTTGATACATTTTTTGGCCTCAATTGATCACCTCTTTTCAGTTTTTTTTGCTATCATTTATTGGATAAGCTTTTCGGTATTTTGTTTCAAACGCGGAAAAAAAATTTACGTCTTTTTCTTTCTTCTTTTCTGCTCCTTTCCTCTTTTCCAACGTTTGTCATTATTATATTAGTGGCTTTTTTTTTTTGGTAACATACTTCTTTATTAAATACTTTTTTATAAACAATAAAAATTAATACATTCTTTTATTATCATAATAGATACTCGTTTGCTCTCATTTAAATGCATTCATTTCACAATCGCTGTCCAGATTAACAAAGGTCAATATTATATTTTGCGAAATTGACATCTATAAAAATCCTTCTGACTTGTTTTTTTTATTACAGACTTGATCATCAAGAATAACTGCTACAAATGAATTTGGTTAAAAACATCAAGGTAGTATATATATATATATTATTTTGACATGTATCTTACTAAAATGAAGTCTTATTATAGATGAACACTGTTGATCCCGTCTTTGATTTCCCTTACATTATACAGCTGGAAATGACATTACATGGTAAGGATCACTACTTTATTTTTTATTTTAGTTATATTAATATTATAATGTGTTAACATAAAATATTATTATTTTTCACTAGAGTTCTATCAAGTGTTTACAAAGACAATCTATCTCTGTTAATATATATTCTTGCTACTGGTATGTAAATTATTTATTATTTTATTCGATTCACAAAAATTAATGTTTTTCGTTGTTTTTATAGTGAAAGATATCATAAGGAACGCCATGGATTATCAATATCAACATCTATTTTTTGCTCGCTCTTTTCCAATATTTACAATGTAAGTATAAAAGTGTACACAAAATGTAAAAGCATACTACATTAAATGTAGTACCCAGCACACAGCTAATAATTTTTCTATGCTTCTTAAAGACTGTTGTATTTCAACAAACAGTCTGCTTTCTTTTTATATTTTCAGGTATTTCTTTTCTGTAGATAATTATTCTATTCAAACAGTATCAAGCAGACCAGTAGAAGCAATAACGGATATCCAATAAATCAATACTATAAGATTGTTATAGTTCTAGAAACATTCTGTTCTTTCCAAATAAATACTATTATAAACTTTTACCAATAAAACAATTTCTGAAATTAAAATAAAAACGATTGAACTATACTATGGTTCAGAATCCAAAGAATTGCTCAAGTATTGAATTTAATTGGATATAAAAGATAACGAAGAGGTGTAATGTTGAACTATACTACTGTGTCAAGATCGAAAATAAATATATTATCCACCTTTAAAGCTCCATATAAAACATATAAAAATAAAACCTTGGTTTCAAAAAACTCTTTTCAATATCCCAAGTCAGATCAACACACCAAAAGTGCTAAAGAACTATATCCCCGTCATTTTTATTTGACCCCACACATGTGTATAGCTGGTCATGGCACATGGTGCTAAGACGAACTTGTTACATGGTGATATGTATCTGGACTCAATGTTAAACCTCGTCTTGACACCTGAGTAACTACGCCTTTACACATACGTATGTCAGGTCATTTTTCCAGTGTCTTCCCTCCTGTTGGTTCTTCCTCATTGGCTCCCAAGCCCCATCGTTTGCGTCCGCCTCTGAGGGAACTCCCAGTGCACATCAGCCACACACTGCAAAAGGAGGGTGGATTTGGTCAAATTTTATTTTTTGAATTTTGGCAAAATTTGGAAAAATATTTCAAACACCATCATTTTTCAATATATTTTTTTCTTGAGATGTGAATTCGCAATTTTTTCTGATTATATTAAATAAACACAGATACAAACACAAATATTTATTAATTAGGTAATAAATCGCACAATTGTCTTAAAGAATATATGTTTCAATTGACTTGGCAGAAAAATAAAAAATAAAAATAAAATATTAAATGTTAAATGTAGTATTTAATTATTTTTCTGGAAGGAAAAACTTGTTGTTACAGATGCACCTAATTTAGACTCAATAATATTTTTATTGCATCGCAAAAAATACCAATTTTTATTAGAATATAATAATGTATGATATATGACTTATTTTTAATAAGAAAGTATATCAAAAAAAATTGAAAAAAAGAGCAAGAATTGATGTCATAAAAAATATAAGAAAAAGAAAATCCAAAAAGGCCACTTACCAAAATGAGCGAGAATTGATGTCATGTTAAAAAAACGCGAAAGAGAAAAACTACGTCATGATATCAGTGATTATTAAATTGAAGCCCCATTAATAATCAGGCACACTTTTTTTAAGAAAAGATTGCTGTATCAAAATCTATTTGTAATTCTTACTAATAGGGACGGTAAGCTCAATGTAGTAAACAACATAGTGAACAAGATATATCAACTCATTATTAATGACAAAAATAAGAGACATATAAAAGATGAAAATAAAATATAGTATACACCTCTTTATTATTTTATTATTATTAATATTATTCTTACTGTTATGAATTCTACAACTAAAACCTACACTGTTATGTGTACATGTTTATCATGTACCAAAAATGCAATTGGCGGAATTTTGCAAAATGCACAGACCTTTAAGCATCATAATAATGCTGATAAGTTATTAGACATTGGCCCAAAAAATCGAGGTAAATGACATTTGAGTAGTACATGCATTACTGGATAAATTGTAATCTAATATTTTTTTTTGTTAATTATCAGTTAATACAGAAGTTGTCAAAGAAGAGACAGATGTTGAGATGGTAGATGTATCTGAAACATCAATTGATTGTGAGTATAAAATTTCTTTTTAATAAATCATAATTTAGATAGCTAATAGTCTGGTTTTACTATAGATGAAAACAATTATTCTATTGTATCAGCCAAAACTACCATACAGAGTGTACCTTTTTTGAGAGAAGACGAGATTTTTCAATTCGAAGAGTCTGATGTTGAGACAACATCATTGGCTTCTGACAATGACAATTCTGATTCAAGCGATGAGTCTGAAGATGAGAGTGAAGTTGAGGTTGCTGGTGTTGAAGATTTTGAAGACATAGTTGCTTCCGGTATGCATACATTTAAAAAAGAAATATATATAAATTGTGTTACAAATAATTAACAGAAATACTTGCCTTTGTAGTTGCTTCTTTGAAAATTCATGAAATGTCTCAAACAAGCCAATTCATGGCTCTATTTGGCGTTATCTTTCAGGCGTTTTACTTGGTTCAAGCAGGTGGAACTGCTATGTTGAAATTCTTCCACCATCTTCTTGTTGCCTTTGATAAGGATACCGATCTCCCACTCACCATTGATGCATTAAAGACTATGACCGGCTTCAATTTCATGACAAAAAGCATCATCAAATACACCGTCTGCAACAAGTGCTTTGCAATTTACCTACCGGGAAATCACCAACCAAATTGCACATTCAAAAAATACATAACCACACCACTAACATACTGCAGAAATTCTCTTTTCTCTGACACCGAAGCTGATCGCCCTGTCCCTCTCATAGTTTTCCCATACAACTTGCTCAAGAATGCATTGGCACAGCATTTCACCAAACCTGGGTTTGAGCATCAAATCGTTCAATGGAGATCAAGGGAAACCGTAAACAGTACCTTGTTGGACGTCTATGATGGTGCAATGTGGTCTGAGCTCCTTGATGAAGATGACGAGCCTTTTGTGAATCACAACCATTCTTTGATGTTGGCATTGAATGTGGATTGGTTTCAACTGTTCGAGGGTTGTACACATGCAAGTGGGACCTTGTACCTGTCAATAAACAACCTGCCTAGGGAAGAAAGAATGAAGCCAGAAAACATTATCCTTGTTGATGTCATGCCTGGTCCAAAGGAAGCAAAGATCGACCAGATGAACAACTTCTTCAAACCTCTGGTAGACGGGCTGGTAGAGTTATACAGTGGCATAACTATGAAAACTCCAGAGTTCCCCAATGATACTAGTATCCGTGCTGCTCTTATGTGTGTTGCTTGCAACATACCTGCTGCAAGAAAGACTGCTGGATTTACAGGATTTGCAAGTACAAACGCCTGTCACATATGCAAGCGTCATTTCACTGTTGTTGCTGGAACAAGTAAGATCAATTATTCTGGATTTGATCATGAGAACTAGGTCTCCCAAACAAAAGAGGAAAATGCAACAAAAGCTGAGATGTGGTTCTGCGCAGAATCTGATGCAGAGAGAGCTGTTTTGGAGAAGCAGAATGGCACCCGTTTTTCTGAGTTGCATTGCCTACACTACTTTGATCCCGTCCAATGCACAATTGTTGATCCCATGCACAATTTGTTTCTTGGGACAGCAAAGTGTATGATCAGTGTTTGGAAAGACCTGAGGTATCTCCCAACTGCTGTTCTTGTCCGTATGCAACGTCTTGCCAATGGTATTCTTGTTCCTCCTGGGTATGCTGTTTTATCAACAAAGATTGAATCTGGTTTCCCATATATGAAGGCAGACGAGTGGCAATTGTGATGTCTGATTTATTTGTTGGTGGTACTAAAAGACGCATTGCTTGAAGACGACTACAAAAACTGGACTCTCTTTGTAAAAGCATGCCAAAAGTTGACCAGTCCTTCAGTCACATATTCAGAAATTGACAGCACACACCAGCTCCTTGGAGAATTCGGAAAAGAGTGTGAGACTCTTTATGGAGAGGGCAGCATCACGCCAAATATGCACTTGCATATGCAGTTGTGTGAGTTGATGCTTAACTTTGGTCCGGTGTATGCATTCTGGTTGTATAGCTTCGAGAGATACAATGGCAAGTTGAAGAACATCAAGACAAAACGTCGCAATGGTCTTGAGGTCACCTTCATGAGAGTCTTCCTGGAGAAAGCATTCATTGGTAACTTTCTTCGAGCGTATTCTATCAATCTTTCATCACCACTGATAGAGTTCCTTAAGGGGGTTGTCCAAGTAAAATCAAATTCCAACAGCTCTTCTCCCTTGAATTTAGATGATGGCCACCCTCCTGCGTTGCCATTTAGCTTAGCAATGTTCCAGCAAGCTGCTACCAATCCATGGTACAATGTCACCGGAAGTGAGGCCTTGTCCCCGACCACATTACCAATCAAGTTGCAGCCTTTGACTATGATGAAGGATGATCACTATCAGTGGTTATTTGAATTCTATGTCAAGGCTTACCGGAGTACAAGTGTTTCCTTCTGTGTGGTAAGGAGAATCCCAATTGGTGAGGATGTATTTGTGAACAATCGGATTCAAAAGGTGAAGAAGATTTCGTTGCTGGGGCAAGAGTACTGCAGTGGTGAAAAGAAGAAGTGCAGATCTTTTGCGAGGGTATTGTTTCTTGAGAGAACAAATGACAATGTATCTGAATTCCCTGGTCAAATAGAGTATTTATTTACTCATACCATCAAGATCAGTAGAGTCAAAAGAGTGTCAACATTTGCATTCATTAAATGGTTTCCCACCTACCATTCAAGTAGTCATCAGCTATTAGCTGATCAAGGTCTGCAGTTGTGGGACAAGGGATTTATGGAAGAGGATGCTTCATACATTGTGTTGACTACGCATAAAATGCAGAGTGGGACGCAAAAGCACCTGGTTATCCCACTGCCTAGAAAAGTAGTCACATAAAAACAAATAAAAATAGCAACTATTTAGGTTACCAGTATAAATAATTATAATATGAGTTTTTTTGACTGTAAAAAGATTTAGCTTTATTTATCTTTGTATTCTTATTTAGTTTTAACATTACTTCTTTAT